CCAAAATGCCTTGATTCGTCCTCCTTTTATAGATTCCCTCGAAGCTGTGGCTCCGTCGGGCACAACTCGAGCTGAAAATGTTGCCGCCTGTTCTTTGGCCCCTTTTACTGTATGTACCACCTTGTCCAATGAAAACACAGCACTGCAACGGTGGAGGGTTCTTTCAAAAAATTGATTTCAAACAAAGCTGAAGAAAAAAAATGTTCTCGCGTTTCACCTCGCCTTGTGGAGAATTTCACCACGCTTGTGGCCTCTGAGCAAAGTGAACACTTTTTTGTTGTAGTTGCACTCCGTTAAAAGGCTCTCCTTTCCTTCCCTCCAAACGGCAGAGCACAGCAGTAACCGGCCGCGGTCGGATTGCTGTGTAAACACAGCCGGCTGTGCCGTCTGAAAATTGTGACATTTGCATAAGGTGTGTTTGAGGGAGGAGCACAAAAGGAGAACGCCTTGAAAAGATGAGGGGAGGGAGGAGCTACGGAGGTGCACTAAACCATTAAAAGTTCCATGCTCAGCGTAGCTCGAGGCAGATTATGCAACTGCACCTTAATGCCAGGGAGCAGAGGGGCGTGGCCTGCCAAGAAGGTACATCACAAAACTCCCCATCAGATTGCATCCTCTTATCTGGCCGCCTCTCCCTGTGTGGTTCTATTTCATCCTTACTGACCGCCAGAGGCGGTGTGCAGCACTCTCTGGATGCCTCCAGGATTCATAGAACCGTAGTTAGATACGTAACTTTCGTTTTATTTCTATCACGCTTCCAACAAAAGATTTGATCTTCCTTTTCCTGTTCACGTGGTCTGCCCGGTGATAAGGCGTCATGACAGGAAGGAAGTTGTCGAGAATGAATCAGCAACACAACAAGCTCCTTCCTGCCTGAACAAGATTTGAAATGATGAACTCATGCGTCGGTTTGTCAGGCAGATGGTTAGGCAGGCGTGGGGGTGGAAGTGAGCCATTACCAGTCTAAAATAATTATAGAACCACAGAGCATTGACATATTTCATGTGTTTGACTAGATTAGTGACAATTAGGACAATATTATGAAAAAAAAAAAGTTTCCTGTCGGCTTTATGATTATTAAATACGGTTTTCAAAGCCAGATTAAATGATTGTTTGGACATGGACATGTGTTAATTATTTTTCTTCTTCTCTACAGTGGTAAAAGAAGACAGCCTACAGTTTTCTAGCACATATTCTATGCATTTTAAGCATATGTGGATATGCTGGATATTACACAACAGACAATAAAAACGTATCTGCGTATCCACAGCAAGCAAGCTGTTAGCTTAAACGAAACATTAAAAGAAAAACGATGAACATATTTTAGAAATTGAATAACTTATTGAAGGGAAAGGCTTACGCTATCTTGCATAGCCATTATCGCCACCCCCCACCCCAAAAAAACGCATAAGCTCAAAGATACTGGGTACTAAATATATGTGTGTTTGAAAAGTAAGACAAGACTGTAAACATAGCAAGCACTAAAGGTCACAACCTTTCTTACGAGGGGATGGCGTTAGGTCTGGTCGGGGCGCCGTGGTAAAATATCTGGCTGTTCCTTTTTTATCTGCGCTTGTCCTGATGAGCAGGGAGCATCTGGATGGGTCTCATTAGAGGACTAAATGCTCCTGCGACTCAGTGTTTATGGAGGAGGACTGGACTAATGAGATCCGAAGAAAGACACGCTTCCTTTTGGGGGAACAGAGGCTGTGCAGTGATCACATGCAGCGAGAAACGAGGAGCGCAGAGCTGGTAAACTGGTAATGGCCATTTAGGATCCCAGTGGGCATATATCACACATCCCAATGCCAATGAACATGAAAGGCAGATGTGATGGCAGATTTGTGTGTCTGGCACATGGCTCTTAACATATTTTGATATATTTGTAGGCGGTGCCCTCCCTACAAAATTCATCCGTCATTTAGACGTACTAATAAATAAAAAGACCAGACAGGATTAACAGTTATTTTCTGAATGTGAAATATGAAAACAAAAAGCGGGGCCGTCTGCCAAAGGGAAATGTGGGAGAAACTCCTGCATTGAGCAAACTGGACTTAATGATAATCAATGGTGGTCTGGTGTGGTGAATGAACACAGCTGAGAAAGAGAAAAAGACAGAAGCTGCGGAGGAGTAACCATGGCCAGAGGGCGAAAGGAGAGATCCACTGCTGAGTATGCCATTTTTTTTTTCATAATACAGCATCGGCCCTTTGAGGGACCTGGGGAAGGGCAGAACAAACACTGGGAGTAAATATCTGATCTGGGGAGGGAATTCGAGCCCCCGCCCAAACAAGTAGGGTTGATTTCTCTTCGGTGATCCACATTTGCTTTTACTTGATTTTCGACAGAATTGAGAATTTGATATACCTCGCAGTGTCATTGTATATATTGAGAAGACATGAGGTATACATTTTTGTTTGTTTTTATTACATTTTACCCACAGGCTAAATCAAATTCACTCCTATTCAGCAGCCAAACATCAAAGAGAGGCCGTTGAGGGAACAGTTCCTGTCGTGTTAACAAAAAGCATATGGATGCCACGGGCGGCTCAGTGTGTAAAGTGGTTCTATCGTTAGACACCGAGGATGCCGGTTCCGTCCCCAGCTCTCAGAGTAACAGTGTCAAAATGTCCTTGAGCGGGTCCTGAACTCTGAGGGGCTCCACCGCCGCTTTACAGCAAACAGATGTTGTCAGTGCTTCGGATGGGTTAAATGCAGTGGTCAGATTTCATGTTCATTTTTGGTGATTCAAATAAAATGTTTGTTTTTCTAAGTGAAAAAAGTCCCACTATGTGAGCTTCCACAAGTAAATACGTGTAACTGCTTTAGTGTGAAGTTGGCTGTTGCCCTAAAAAGAAAATGTGCAACATTTGCTCGCACAATATAGGAAAGTAGATATGTGGTTGTCCATGCAAAATACCATTATCTCAACAAAGGCTTGGTTGTCTACTGTGAAACAAGTGGCTGGTAATAAAAATGATTCCAACAGATGGAAAGGCGATGAGGAAATGGGGCCATGTCATGTTACAAAAGCGGAGACGGTTGAATGAAGAAAGGCTGACAGAATGCTGAACGTCTTGACATTTGTGGCTAACTTGTAAAAAGGTGGGCTGGAGCTATGGGGGTGGGGGGTGGGGGGGAAGCTGCTACAGCGTGCCAAAAAATGTGCACATCAAGCCCACACTTGTCAAACGGAGCTTGTATAGCAGGTATTAACACAAAAATACACACACAGTTCCACTTGTATAAGAGTATTACAGCCCTCTGTTGCGTACCATAATTACATGGCAGCGAGATACAGTCCATCGTGAAATGTAATTCAATGCATTTGCAACCAGGCAACGCAGTAGGGGAAACACCCAGCGTTCGTTTCGTTTAGGAAATGAGTCAGTTGGTATTTGTAAGTAAAATGAGGTCTATCTTTTAGAAGTACTTTGACTACAGCGGTGCTCCAGTCATTCGAGCATGTAGTTTTTGAGTGTGTGTGTATGTGTGTGTGTCTGCCAGTTACTCCCCTCTGCTGGGTTTTCCAGGATACTGCATCATTTTTTGACTATTAGGAATAGTTACTTCATCACTGGAGTGTAAAAAACAGGAAGGCACAGGGTGCGCACACACAGACGTGCTACGACAACTAACCGGGCCATCAGGATTTTTACGTGGGGCTTCCAAAAGGACAGGCTGGCAAACATGCAAATGCACAACTTGGAAGTATGTCAAGAGTCTCAAGGTCGGCGGGTAAACTGGGGCGTAAAGCGAACTTCTACCAACATTGAATAAAAAAGGAATGCATCCTTCTCGTTCATTCTAGGAGGACCACTGTTTGGGCACAACATGCATTGTGATGCAGAGCGTTCAAGCACATAAAAATCATCTCAGCATGAATGGACTTGCATGACCTGGCTAACATTATGAACATTTAATCGTCAGGTGTTCCTATGTGGATGAGAGTATTTAGCAGCCCTAAAGACTAGCCTCACTACCTCACTCCATCTCTGCTTATTGCTCAGTGGTGAAATGACTATACGGCTGCCTGACTTTGTCCTCATTTGGGAGGTATTTTGGTCTTGCCCTATAAAGAGAGAATTGTGCCTTTTGGGACGGAAATGGATAAAGCTGGTACTTCAGTCTACAGAACCTCAACATATTGGTGCAAATAACCATTGGGCGGTAATTTGGTCTAAATGTTTACTGTTTCTCAAACAGTTGCGCATTTAAAAATGTTAACTTAAGTTACCATACTGGCCTTATAGGATAATGTTGTCTCCAAGGATTATATTTTGAAAAGGGGATGTGTTGCATTATACTCGGGAACTAGAGAGATTGCAACCACAGGTGTTCTGCTCGAGAGGACTAAACTCACGATCACAAAGTGAGAATCTTATTTTACAAGGTCTGTATTATGTGTAAGTGAATACTAACATATCTGAACAGGTAATGTCCACTTGAAGGACATTCAAAGGACTTATTCTGGCTTCTTTAATACAAAAATGTAGTAATCTATTTTCCTTTAAAAAATAAGCTGTCAACGATTGTGGTGTTAAAACCCGGTGGATAAAAAGGCAGTTTTTAAAAGGCCGATATTCAAAGAAAATTATCCGTCCCAAATCTGCTGTCAACGAAATCCTGACAGTGTCAAGTCAGGGAGTGACTGAAAACACTTACACTTGAAAGCTCGAGGCATTCAAAAACACTCAATGCCCTTATGGAAATATCGTAATATACATTTTTTTGGTTCAGTCAAAAAAAAATTGGGACTTTGCTGAATGTTTCAACAGCTTACATTTTACGATGTACTTTTTAAAATCTTTTAAATGTGTTGTATGAATAATTAGAATAACGATCAGATCAAATAACTTAAATCTCAAATATTGCACTTTTGCCAGGCTAGTAAACTGAAAATGTCTGCATCCCTGATGATTTTTAACAGTCAAACTGCTTCAAACTGATCTGTATGTTTGTCGGTCATCGTCACACACGGTTACCAAAGGTGTAGCGTACCTGCGAGAGCCTTGATGCGCGAGCGCTCGAAGAGGCGCGCGGAGCTGTTCTCATTGTCCCAGTCGGTCTCTGCTGCCAGGTCCCAGCGGTTGTTGATGTCATTGTACTGCTGCTGGATCTCCAAGCTGTCAAAGTCCGTCGGCGAGAGGGTGCTCATGGTGTTGGCGCTGGAGGAAGACGCATTCAACCTGCAGTTCAGACACGGGGGACAGAGAAGCGGCGAAACTCAGTATGTGGACAGAAGGGACGGGGCGACGCGTGGCGGCGGGAGCTTCAGGAGACAGACCCCCTAAAACTTTGCCGAGTTACTGTTGGTTTGTAAACAGAGGCCAGATGATGCTCTGGAACACGCGCTCTCCTCACAGATGCACTCATGTTTTATAAGATCAAATGACAGTCATATGCAAATAGAGGCCTAGACTTTCCAACTGCCAGAGTGTACGGGGAGATTAAAATGTTGAGGCCTGTGCTCAGCAACTCTCACAAAGTCGCTCGGTTAGAACACCCAGCGATAGAGCACACGTCATCACACACACGCACACACACGGGCAACTCCAGTAATAGCATTTTATCCGGAGAGTTGACGGGCTGAAACACCGTCAATCGGCACATGCCACCCGCCGACCCGGCCGCACACCCTTAATAGTCAAACCCCACAGAATAAAACACTTAGTTTTCTCAGTTGCTGTCATTGTCCTTGTCCTTGTACCCACTGCTAGCCATGCAACCCCCTCCCACACTATCCTGCTGTTTGTACTAACTCAGCATCCAGTTATAATAACAAAGGGTACCCCCGCTGGCAACATTCAATAGGCATCCTTCCTACACACCGATTCTCAAACCAGATGAGTTAAGGATTTTGCTGGACAATGGTTAGCTTGAGCCGCTATATAACATTTGGTGTAGTTCACTTAACTATCATGTCAAAAATACTACTTTCAGAAGATCAAAATCTTTTTGATCTTACAAAAGATCACCACACAGGAAAGCATGAATATATTAATAGGTTCTCCACTTTGACATAGATAAAGGGACATAAACCCAAACGTTCAGCAGACGGCAGCAGGGAGGTAAATCCGATATGTGTATTTGCATGGATTTAGATGAAAAAAAAACAAAGAAGTCCAAATAGATTTCAAATATATAGCAACTCAAAAACGTACCAGACAGATCCTGTCACTGGATCTACATCAAGATTAAACCCCCCAACAGAGAGACCCATTAACTAACTGGGGCCATTTGTATAAGAGCATTGAAGAGATTAATAGACATGGTTGAGTAGTCCGTTTGATAATACCTGTTACTTGTGTCTAGCAGCTGTGGCCGCCTTTTCATTGGGATTTTATTGAGCGCTTACAAAGAGTCGTTTAGTCTTTCCATCATGTCATGATGAGTTTAGATCGGCCGTGGTTAGATTACATGGGGGGGGGGGTTGAAAGAAAGAGATTCTAGGCAACAAACGAGGTGGTGCTGTAAGTGAGATTAAGTAGGCCATCCATGCAACACGTCACACATTAATGAGGCGATGCATTCCTTCTCCGTTCTCATCCTGGTTGATTGAAAAAAAGGATTACAGCTGCTTGATGTCACGCTGTCAGTAATGTGTCAGCTCGGATGATTCTTGGACTAGTCTGGTCATGAAAGCCCATCCATCCTCTTAATCAAACCCGGGTTGTTGTTTCGGCATTTGGGGCAATCGTGCATTTATTGGATGGCTTCCAGTTTAGATGGTCACGAGAAACAAGTGAGAACGAGCCGGAGGAGATGGAACAAATGTCCACGGCCACACGCTAACTGACATAAACTCACACAAATTAATACTAATTGCTAATCACCCAATCACATGGCCGTATATCAATGCATTTAGGCGTGTAGACGTGATCAAACAGAGCATCAAAATGGGGGGAAAAAGTAGGAGGATATTTAAGTAACTTTGAACGTGTCATGGTTGTTGGTGGCAGACGGGCTGGTCTGAGTACGTCGCAGACTGCTGATCTACTGGGATTTTCACACACAACCATCTCTAAGGTTTACAGAGAATGGGACGAGAAAGAGAAAATATCCAGTGAGCAGAAGTTGTGTGGATAAAAATACCGTGTTGATGTGAGAGGGCAGAGAGAACGGGCAGAGCGGTTTGAGATGATAGAAAGGCAGTAACCAAGCAGAATAGCATCTCTGAACGCACGTGGAACCTTGAAGAAGACGTCTACAGCAGCAGGAGACCAGACCGTCAGCCAAGAACAGGAAACTAGACTACGAATCGCACAAGGTCATTAAAACTGGACAATAGAACATTGGAAAAACGTTGCCTGTCCGATGAGTCAGTGATTGGTTTGCTGCGACATTCAGATGGTCGGGTCAAAGTTTGGCGTAAACAACATGAAAGCACGGATCCTTCCTGCCTTGTATTAATGGTTCAGGCTGGTGGTGGTGGTGGTGTAATGGTGTGGGTGTGTTTTCATGGTTAAAAGGCTAGAATTTAGTTAGAAGTCAAATGTATTCCATCCTGCTGGGCAATACAACAGATACCTGAACATTAATGCACCTTACCACTAGTCAAACATGCCGCTCAAATTCTAGCTATACAAAAAAACAAACTAAAAAAACGTGGTAAATCCTATTAGTGGCAGATTAAGAAGCGGCTGGGAATAGAAACTAAATGCAGGGATTAGAGAAGAAGGCAGAACAACGCCTCCACGTCAACCGCAAACCTGTCACCTCCCCACTAACCGGCACCCCAGGAGTTTGCAAATGCCAAGACCCCCTCAAAGTGTGTATGTGTGTAGTCGGTATGTTTTATTCCTTGGTTGAATATAATTTTATGTGATTTGAATATATTGTCTAATTATTGAATTACAATACAATAACTATACAATTATTGTATGACAGATTTTATAACAGATTATAGATTCTATAATACAATAATTACATGGTCAATTCACAAACTCAACTTCACCTTTTTACCCTCAGCCTCACCGTGTCAAAGTACCAGGCAAATTGATAAACAATAAATAATAATAACCACAGGCGGGCCCACATCCAGGAAGTGGGAACATTTACATGCAGCTTAAATAACCACCAAACGTCACAACGTGGAAGCAGGAGTCCACAAAGAGCACACACTATCCAGGACACGCCTGGCAGCCATGAAGTCAATGACAATCTGTCTGTGGGAGTGGACCAGGGTGGGGGCTGGAGGGTGGGGTGGGGGGGGGGTAGACCAATGTGGTCACAGCAGTCTGGCCGAGGCGAATCGAGGCCAAACCTCCTTTTATTGTCAGGAGGAAGAGGCTCGACTCCGTGTCTGCACTAATCGCCCCTCGATGGATCAGACAAACAATCCCCTGACCTACTACGATACAACCTAGTGCACGCGCACACACACACACACACACGCACGCACGCACGCACGCACGCACGCACGCACGCACGCACACCAGCTGACCTATTACACCCTCACCACAGTCAACCTCACACAAACCCAGTGCTTATAAAAAGCCCCACACACACACACACACACACACACACGCGCACACGCACAAATCCACCCACTCAGCATGTGCAAATCAGTATTCTGCATACAAAATGGGTTGGTTCAACACCTACATCCTGGCAGCCTGAGTGAAGTACAGTTGCCTCCCAGAGAGAAACAAGGCAAGAGACGGAAAATAACTTCCGAACTCAAACCGTGGTGTGCAAACCTTCAAGTCAAGAAATCCGATGGTACCCCCGAGGCTATTGCACCGCAAACATCACCATTACTGCTCTTATCACGGGGAAAAAAGACGGGCAGGCAGTCGGACAGAAGTGGCACAAAGGGGAGGCATAAAAAAAAGGTTCCATTAACAAAATTCCCTCAAGGTGAAAAGAAACTAAATTAAAACCCCCTTGCGTGTCCTTCAAATGTCCACATGCGTTACTCTGAGAACATGCAATCGACAAAACCTAATAAGAAAGCTGTATGTGCGGCCTACTACAGTCATAGCTGGACAACGTCGAATGGCTGAGTGGAACCGACAGATCCTCAAGCTGGGTAACGAGGCCTAAACGGAGGCCAGCCTTTTCAACACAAGACGGCACGCTGTCTCCAAAGTCAGAATATGAAAGCGTGACGTGTACCGCAAGTTACTGTGAGTACCGCTTCTGAAAAAGCGACGAGTGAAAGTGGGGCACGGAGAAACGCCTCAGGGCAAAAAACCCGGCCTCTGGCTTGGCCGACACACATCAGAGCTCAAAAGCAGAGCGACACCGGCAGAGAAAGCAAAGCCGCCGCCTCTTTCTGTCTCCGCCATCCCTCAACCCCTCCCTGAGCTGCTTCCCTTTACCCAGCTGGTCTATTTGTCATTGCACCCGTTAATGAGAGAGAGAGCGGAAAAAGAGAAATGGAGCCCACGATCAGTCACCCGCAGGGAATTAGGCCTGTGCACACTTAACCAGCCACACTGTCCCGGTGCCCCCCCCCCCACACACACACACACACACACACACACACACACACACGCGGACACACACACACACACACACACACTCACACACTCACCCACGCGTGGGGCGCACGCGAGGAGGAGGGTCAGACACATACACTGTTATCGGCGCACAAGAGGGAGAACTGCCTTTTCAAAAACACAGCTACTTCATATTAAAAATGCGACTGAAAACATATTATTCTTATTGTCCAGCAGCCAAGAGCTTCGCAAAAAAACTTCAAGCTGAGGTGGTACCTCTGTGCTGCCTGCCTGTCACACTCAGACAAGCAATTGGGGGGGGGGCAGATCCCCAAATTTCTCGGACAAAGCCTGCACGGGCAAACCAACTCCTGACAAAGGAAGAGTCAGCAGAGAGTTGAGGCCAGCCGTTCGAGCCCTTCCTGTTTGCAGAGACGAGGCGTTGGAGGCCCCTCAGCGGGCTGCTGATCCGGGCCTGAATGCCCCGCTGAATAGAACAGCAGAGGTCCTTTGTTGACCTGTAGCATCACATTGATCAAATACTCAAGCTTCGGGCATGCCTTCCACACATGGACATAGAGATGTCACTTTGGTTTTGGACACCTGGTCTGTAAAGGGCATGATAGCACATCGACAAAATTAAAGTTAAGTTAGAAGACGATCAACATTAAAAAACTTCAGGCCCTAGTATTCATTCATTCATTCATACATATCCTGATAATCTTGGAATTTTATGTAAATATGTTAACAATTTGAGGACTGAGAAAAACAGGACCTGAACACATCCAATCTGCATATATGAATCTTTGTCAATCAGCCATTTTTATTGCAAAGTATTATTTTACACATACAGGAAATTGTTCTCTGCATTTCACCCATCCCACACAGTGGGAGCAGTGGGCTGCCGCAGGAGTATACAGTGTCACACATTACACAGCCAAGCTCTCCTGGAGAATGACCTTTAGTAACCCCACTGATACTAATACTATGCAGGTTTAAATACACGCACTATTGCTTTACTGGGATGTTGAATTATACCGGCTAGGCAAAACATCTTCAAAGCCTTCATCCCACTGTGGAAATTCTTGCCCACCGAAAGCATAATCAGTGTTTCTCCCCCCCACCAACCCTGAAGCTGTCTGGAATAAAACATTTAAAAAGATGAACTCTTCTTCTTCCCCTTCCGGACCAACATGTGCGCAAATATGTCCAATAAGTTGTCCAAACTGTTTGCCCGACTACTACCCCTCCACCACCCTGAAGTTGTCAACTTTGGGGAAACACTGCTCATGCATAACAGCATGTGTTATGTGTATTCATAATCAGGATCAAGCAAAAGTCATAGTGGATGCAGCTCCCGTCTTGCCTCTGCTACTGAATGATCCCGAGCTTAGTCGGCACTTTGAAAAACACTAGCGCCTGAAAGTCACGGTAGCGGCATCAATCTCGAAGGCTGCCAGAAAGCCAAATTAAAAACAGCAGTGAATGAAATATTTCCACAGATCAGGGTAATCCACCGTGGATTGATTCTTGCCATTTTTAAACCTACAAGAGCAACAAGTAGGCATTGAAGGCCCCTCCGCTGTGCTGCATGGTTGATTGGAAAGCTCTTTATAACCATCCGTTGATCTCAACCGATCCTAAGAGCTAAACATCAACAGTCATAATGCATGTGAGGGGAGGACAGTTAAGCGTGTGTCAAAAGTGAAATACATCTTTTCTCTTTTGCTTTCCTTTTTGCCCTTGACTTGCAATATGCATCGGCAGATGCATGTGCAAGCCAACCACTCAGTGTGGCTGCTTCGGAACAAAACCAGGAAACACCACTAAACCATTGTTTCTTTTTTTTTTGTTGCTAGTAATCTGCCAATAAATGCACATTCAAAAAGGACTTGGATCCCAAACTATCAAATCAGATGTTTTTATGGGTATACAGATAGTGAAATAGTGCTAATAAAAAATGTTAGGATTGCTTGGCATGGCTCTGTAGTTCTCTTTAATAATACATGAAGTATGGTAGTACAAGCGTTCCTGGTGGTTGTGGCTACGTACAGCTCCTGGTTGCTGCCATGTGGGTCCCTGTTAGGAGGGAAGACTGAATTGCCCTTTCTATGGAGGATAAATAATAGTTAAGCACTCTGCTGCTGTTTGGTTATGGACGCAAGACAACTTGCACATTCATGTTGATAACACAAAAAAATAACTGCATGCAAATGAGATGACACAGTTGTTCAGCATGCCAAATGACATGCAGTTCTCGTTTTTATGGTGGAAGATAAAAAAGCGTGTTAGCATCAATGTCACTTTCTGGCCTCCCAACACAGATAAATAAACATTTTACAGCTCCAGAGAGCTGAAGAACGAAGAGGATGAAATGATCAACAGCCCATCAGAAGGCAGCACTAGTTGCACAAGGCGTATGCTGCTCTACCGACATGCTTCACTGCAGCACAATGAAAGTGTGAATAGCAGGAACTGAAAAAAAAAAAGCTTGTTCAAGAGGGATTTTGAGAATCAGCACTCTGGGGGGGCCCACTTTCACAGCCCCGTTCCATTGTTGTAACGCTGTTCATCTAGCTGGCCACTAACAGCCATAACTCATAAGTCTATCATCACAAACCCAGAGTCTCTACGTCAAAAGGGCATGAAGGCATTTACACCCACAGCCATGAACACAACAGCAAAATATGACTATGGCTATTTGAGGCACGAGTATCATCTCACTAGATACAGTGCGATAAAGGGTTGTTGGTGGATTTTAACTATTTTGTGTAGGTATATGTTCTTCTTGGGAACCCTATGCAGTGTTGAGTGGATCAATATGTATTTTCTAATTATATAACAGAAGTTGTATCGCAGCCACGCTCACTGCACATCCTGCAGATGGGTTCTCATTTCCTCGAGCTGCAACCAGAAAAATCTAAATTTGGAAAACATTTGTTTTTTTTGTTGTTTATCTTTTTAAATCGTAAAAAAGTAACATTTCAAGTATCGTGTTTTCCAATTGACCTGTAGAAAAACAAGGGTCCAACGGTGTATCTAGTTCATCTACAGATATTATCAAATATAATGAAATGGGGTTTTTTTTGTTACTCCTCACAGGCATGATCAGTTTCATGTTTGGCAGATTCTCTGTAGCAATCGGAATATGTCCGGGTAAGCCATGAAAGAGACAAAGACACACAAGGACTGCACAACGGCCAGTAAATTAGTCCAAGCACATCATCATTTTTAAGCACAATTACACAATGATGTTTTCCTTGTAATCTCCGGTTTGTCTGTTTAGTCATATCACAGCGGGCCTCCCCGGATAGATTTCAGCCACAGCTGTTAAGGGACTTCATACATTTTTAAACGGACTGTTTGCGGCCGGCTTCAACCATACACACCTAATGCTGCCTGCAGACAAAGCTCCACCAGCATCATTGCAACAACGTCAACAGGAAGGGGGAAGCCATCATGTCGCCCTCCGGTGGTACAATTCCCCGCTTAATGAAACCAGGATTCGCTTGTCTGTGAGGACTTTTGTGGAAATGTAAAAAATTGTTATATTTGATAAATGCATTTTGTTGACTCCAGAGTTACCAAATTGACTAGCTTTGTATGCCTTTAATAACAGGATTCAAAGTTTACTCAAGGTTATTACACATAATTAAATATGGCTAATCTGTGAATTATTGGAGAGGGGTATTTCTTCTACAATGAATGTGTCTAGCAGTTGGAGAAGGTGAAGCTGACCACAACAAAAACTCTTTAAAAGCATGTTAGACTTTGTGCTTCCATATTAATGCCGTGACAATATATTGGGGACGGCGATTGGTGAATTTTATGGAAAGATTCGGTCTAGACTACGTAAAAGCAATGTAGTCTCTGAAACAAATGAAGCAATGTAGATATGATGACCAAGACAGAAGAGGTATTTAAAATATCAGGGCATGTCATTTTTACGGTGCTGATTTGGAGAACTGCAAATTACAATGACATCAGTGGAAAGGAGGCATTAGGAAAACCAGTACAAGTGAGGAAATATGAAATAATTTGACAAATCTAGTCCATAAATTCCAGTTATCTGGCCTCAAAGCCAAGGTGAAAGTAGTGAGAGACAGAGGAGGTATTTTAAATGTTGCAGAATGAAGCCCTGGCTTTCTCTCCCACTCTCTTTAGAATGCAATAAATTGCAGTCATCTGGAGTCTAGATGACTGCAATTTATTGCATTCAGCTTTCAATCAACGTGTGAAGCAGTCCCTGAATATAAAGTGGGCTGGAACCTTGATCTACATTGTATTAAGAGACACTGCCAGAAGATAGAAATAGCGGGCCCCGTACAGTGGAGAGGTTTAGCTTCACAGAACAGCCAGAGCTCTTGTCACTGAACCCCTAACCATTGACTACCTTCTTAGTGCTCCAAGAGTAGTTAAATATCATCAATGTAGACGATTTAGACCGATAGCAGTTTTGCATGGAAGAGGAGCTTTCTATTCAGAGTATCACACCTCTACTCCTTAACTAATGTAATAGTGCTGCAGCTCTTTTTCACTGTAGATTTCAAAGCCAACCTTTTAATACAGCACATCATCTTTTATAACTGGCCTAATCTCAGTCATGGGCAAAAAGTGCCCATCTATTGGACACAAAAAAAAACCTTTTGAAACGGGCTGATCGGAGGGAGTCACTCGTGTATTTCTACTGCCACCATACCATTTATTTCCCTCAATGGGCCGATGCCTCAGGGCTATAAAACATGGCTCTTCTACACGTGGTGGCGAATGTCAGATCTCCCCGTCTTCTAAACAAGGAGGTATCTTCGTTCCATAACAACGTGCCCCATTGGACTTGGTGTGTAGAGTGATATTTAGCTCAGGCGTTTACCTGATGCATCCCCGCTATGAATGACTCACGGACGGTGTAGGCCAGGCAGGCACGCAGCCTACAGCCCCATCACAACACACAATGTCGGCAGCAAAAAACATACACACACACACACACACCCAAACAGCAGCAGCAGATTTACGAGACGCCACATCTCGATTAAAACCACGCACCCACCACGCCGGGGGGGGGGTCGTGGGGCAGATGTTGGTCGTACAAGGAGGCGCAGACACAAATGTGGCTGCGTTGTGACATCGGTTGAGACAAAGGCGAGAGGAGACAAGACGTGCAGGGGAACGGTTCCCTCCGATAAAGACTCGTCGAGCAAGCTGCTAATTTACACACGCGAATTTATTTGAGCCGGAACCTCTTTTATGAGGTTTTGTGTGTGTGAGGGGGGGAGGGGGCGACGCTATTGTGTGAGATACGGTAACGTATCCGTGGTGTTGACTTGGACGGCTAATGAGTAGCGATGGCGAGCTAACAGCGTTTACCTGAACATCACTCCCCCTCCCCCTGTCTCTCTCCCGTTAGCTGCTACCAGCGGGAAATAATAAAGAGCATCAGTGGAAGAAGAAACAAAAAAGCAGGCTTACCCCTTAGTTTTGTCTCCCGTCACAGAGGTTGTCGATAATGTGGACAACGCGTCGCTGTGATATCTTCCGTTGCTACCAGCGCGTGCGACTGTGAGCTGACGTTAACGTGAGACGCAACGGTGAAAGAATCCCAGGTAACGCGGGGCAACGGCTTTCCTTTAAATCCGCATCTTCCAACAAAAAAATAAATAATAATATCAACAGCTTTTCCTCCGCGTCGCTACCCGGTTACGAAACGAAACCAGGCTTTTTGCATGTAGCTATATGTGAAATAGGTCGCTTTCACGCAAAGCTGTCAGCGGGGGGAGACAAACAAAAAAGAAATAAGCGATGAAAAGAGCCCGTTTTGAGGCAGGTATGAGACGGATATCCGCAGCAGCTTCTTCCTCCCCCCGTGGCCGAGCATCAGAAGGGCCGTCTCATCTCACTCGCTCCCGTTCAACAGGGAGAAGAAAGAAACCAGTGGACATGGTGGTGGTTAGGGGTGTGTGTGTGTGTGTGTGGGTGGGTGGGGGGTGGGTGTTGGGTGAGTGGGCGGGTGTGTGGGTGTGGGTGTTGACCCCTCACAGTCACATGAGAAACACATTTTTCAGCATCCTCAAAGATAAGTGTACCATAACTGAGAGAAGCGGATGCTCTGGCCCTCGTCTGGTGCTGTCCCTGGTGCTAAAACTGAATCATTCACATACCCTTTGGTTTTGATTCTCGAGACATCTTTATCTTGCAATCCTGTTAAAATGAATGAGGAAATTCTACAATTGCCAGGCTGGGACTTTTTAGCCTACATTGAATGCATCTTCAATCCACATGGGGTTGCAGCCAATTTGAGCATCCTACTGGTTTCTCCTTTGTAACGATAAAATGAATTCAACACATCAATGTCAGTGGTGTCATTCTTTTTATCCATTTATATTGCGGTCATTGTATTGTAGGCATACATCACATTGTGGAATTACATTATGTGAATCAACACCTTGAGCCTTAATTGAGCCGCAACTTCTTTCAGAAATCCCCAAACCGATTTTTTCAGATGGTTCTCCACTCATTTTAGTATTTTATCTCTAGGAAATGCCAATGCACTGAATTATTCGTGAGACACTTTGCAGCACCTGGTTTGTGAGACATCAAGCAGGTCACCCAGATCTGGGTTATTCATAAAGCCTTGGGAGACTCCTATGCTCTAGAGCCCTGAAGACCAGGGTCTTCCCCTGTGCGTTTCTCCATTGCACAGTAAAGTATGCGGTGATTCAAAAAGGTCCTGCAATCGAGTCAAATCAAATCTGGAGGGACTCATTAATGCCGTTGGTCTGCAGAAAGGCCCTAAGGAAGGCACCCAAAAAACAAAACTATGACTATCTTTGTGTTGTCTGCACTGTGTGTCATTGGCTGTGCATCTGTGAGCGTAATTAACCAACAAAGTGGTGGTGCGAGTTGTTTTTATGGGATGATGGGTCTCATTTCAATGTTTGGCTGCTCAAAAACTTGTATTTCAGTATGCACCTGCATCAACGGCCGTGTTCCGGTTGGGTTGGCATGCAAGGTGAGGAACATATTTAAAAGGGACCTTGTACCTCAAAGATAGTACTGTGGTTTAATGTTAAGCCTAAATTCACACTAGCCAATCAGATTGCAGTTGTTAAGGACATGTGAATGTGTGAAACTGTTACCAGAGTAATACAGAAACAACCCTGATTAAGTGAAGGTTAAATACTATTTTCAAAATGTTGAGGACTTTATGTAAACTGACGTTTTTAGGACATCCAAAACTAATGTAGACGTCAGATGAAATCAGACTGACAAGGCTTTTCATCTGCATTCAGTCCGCTGACTAATGTCATTGGAGAAAACAATTAATCTGTTCTTTTAAATGGTTTAAAAGGTAATGGAGACATCACACACTGTTTGAACCCAGACTTCTATCATTGTATTTGCTAATGTCACCCTCCCACCTACGATGACATAATCCAGATTACAATTTTGAAATCCAAACATTAAAAACACTATTGTAGTTTAGCATAAACATAAACAATAATTAGCTGTACAGTTCAGTTAGTCACTGGATCCTACATGTATTCTGATATATTTTGCTAGAATTTTTTATTTTTTTTAATATTGCCTTCGTGTTTACCTCATTTCCCCTTCAGTGACACTGATTCAAATTAATACCCGACATTTATTTTGTTTCTCCTACTGTCTAATTGTTTTATCTAATATAATCATATTGGCAGCCTCTGGCATATGCATCTCTATATAACTGTCATTATCATCTAAACAATATAGTATATATATACAGTATAGTATATATAGTATATAACAATATACAATATAATATGGACAAACTCAAGCTCAGGTGGATTTACACATTTCTCCTTGAAGGTTACAGTCCAGACTCTGTAAAGGCATATACGCCAAAATAAAAATAATTCAAATGTTTTTATTAATTTGAGCTGTGAGTATCTGTTATAGCGCACACAGACAACCTGTTTACGCCCCAGTCCCCAGTCCCCACCCCTGCTCACAGACCCACAGCCCAGCAGAGAGCTCATCCACAATCCACCGTGACAAAGAGAAAGAGCTGAGTGCAGGATATAAGGCGGCCACTGGCTCCAGAGTGGGTCCAGCACAGTAGTTTCTGCAGATTACAGCAGTTTAAGCTAAACCCCCTCTCTGTCTGCTCACTATAGACGGGACCTGTGTGGGTGGGGTCATCATTAGTGTGTGCAGCCACCAGGGTGGAGTTGGGGGGGGTGGCGTTGCAAATTGGTGAAGTTGACTGTAAAGCTTCACAGCCCGGTGGACATGATCTCTACTACACCCCCCCCCCCCCCCCTCTCCTCCCCCACTGCCACAGCACAATGTGACTGATATTTCCAGCCTTAAATCTGAATCGCATGACTCTAATTCCGGTAAAGGTGGGGGTGCTGACCTTAAATAAGGAGTCTGAGGCTGGGACTGACACAAGCATAAAGAAGCGCATTGCTGTTCCTCCCGTCGTGCATGCAGTTGCAGCTGCATTGTTTCAGTTTACTCTATTCCAAAGTTTTACCACAATTTACCACAGGCTAGATTATTTGACATCTGAACTAAAAAGATAATTAGAATTCTATTTAAATATTTTGTTTGTGTTTTATCTGACCCTTGTTGGTTGTGTTTCCTTATTAGCAACACCTCTGATAGCAAACTCCTTCAAATTTGGCGAGAAATTAAATTCTTTGTTTGGAAATGCAGACGAGCTTCACTTCCGAAGGTGAATTGTTGGTGATACTTTATCTATTGATGAAACTTTAAATATAAGCGATTCTCTTTGTAGCCTTTTTGTTCAGCACAGGCTCACGTAGAATATCTATAGTAAGCTGTTTTAATAAACCGACCACAGTACATAAAAGAATCCATAAAAACAGAGAAACTGAGAAACCATAACTCATTTCCACACTGTAAAAGACAACCATTCCAAGGACTTCTACTGTTGACTGACTTAAAGATGCAATGACTGGTGAAATGATGGACTCAATTAAATATATGTGAAATATGAAGTCATTACAAAACCTGTCATCCTTCTCACCGAAACTCAGAAGACAACCAAAGAAGTACTTCACCAACAAAGAAGAACGTATAGCTTCAGTCAATGGCCACTGGTACCTTGTGGGTGATAGTTGGGTCAGTGTGACCTACTGAAAGATATTTATAGACTCTTCTCCCTAGGACAACTATGCTATTTCTGTCTCGTTTCTTGCTCATCCTCTATCCCTCCCGTCTTATCTCTTTCTCCCTAAACTAGTTGCTGGAGGTCATCCTGCTGTTCCAGTTTCAAATTATACAATAGTTCGACAGAATGAAACCAGGACGGTGAGGCGCTGAGGTGCCGATATGGTGCAACGTGACTCACTGAGCTCACAGTATATAGACTGCGTATGAAGACAGACAGACAGCTTTCTGAGTTATTGCACCGGTTTCTTGGTGTATAAATCAGTCAACAAGATCCTGCTTCAGAGTTGTGGTGAAAGCAATACTTGAGTCGCCGGTTTTTGTTTGTTTGTTGCTATTTTTCTAATCCTCTTTGCACAGTGATCTCAGTGTGGCGATAATGCTTAATGATACCATGAGCACTGTGTTTATACAGTATCATAATATATTGTACATACTGTTACCACATAGATGTGTCTGCACATGCCTGAATATACTTAAACAGGCAAAAATGTTGTAAAGTTGTTTTCCTGAATAATTTCAATCATGATGATTCTAGAAAAGAAGATTCACAAGCTTCAGCAGTAAATCTATGAAACAGATTAATCCTGAAAAGGCAGTTGTATTTCAAATTAACAAATAAAACATATAGGTTTCCTCCATATAATTGAAATAACTTGCAACTTCAATGGTACATTTACTTGCCTGGTTCTATATGTTGACTCCTTATCGGTGAATTTATAGCAGGCACACACCTAAAGTGCAGATATCGTGCTGGCGTATACCCGGATGGATTGATGGAAAGAATATTCAGTACTGTTCAGATGTACAAGCAGCCCCCTCTAGTGGAAAGGGCTTGTGAATAACTTTACTCAGACATAGTATGATCAATTAGATTAGATGTTTGTTGGAAAACATCAATTAAATCAATAAAGCCTAAATACAATTGCATCTGGTGAGGCAACTAGTATTGTGTAAAATACAATAAAAATAGTGCAGCAGGTTTCTGTGTACCTGGTTGTGTTTGCCGTTTCTCACAATTCCAATGTAGCCGCCTTGCTGCAAACAATCTGCACCCTCCTTATTGTTCATTTTTTTCTAATCTCAGCTTCTGCTTCAACGGCCTGCAAGAACTACCAATTAAAAAGGTTTATGCTTTCTTGTTATGAGATGATGCATGTATACTGATGTCTTAATGGAAGGAATTTTTAATCGGAATACATTACATACATATACAGTAGCAGTCAAAAGTTTGGACACATTTCTCATTCATTTCAATGAGAAAGTGTGTGTATATAGAAGAAGAAACAAAAATAACATCATCGGATATATATATATATATATATATATATAGCCCTATATATATATATATGGTTATATAGACAGTAGGAAAAACTAAATAAATGTTGGGTATAAATCACATCATATCAATATATCAAAAAGTATATAATATTTTGACTTCCCATTCATTGTAGCCTATCTAACTTGACCAGTGATCTGGCGCACTATGGGGCCTTGTCATTGGCTGAGAGGATGCGAGAAATAGAGAGAGTCAAACCTACGGATACACACTGGTACCAGTTTCTAAGATGAGACGTTTATGGAACCCGTAGAGTCCACTACTTATATAGTATTATTCGTGTAGTACCCCCGTGTTATTGATTTGAACTATATACTTAGTGTACTTTTAATATGACAAGCATTATTGTATTATATGTAATACAATAATGCATGTTGCACTTAAACATGACTGACTGCGATAAAAATGACTCACTGCATCAACGCAGTGTTGTGCTCTTCTGCCCGTTTCTAACGGAGTCCCGCGTTTACGAGCAGCCCCTGAAGGGCTCCACCGTCTGCGCTCTGATCCATCCCTGCGCCGCCGCAGCGCGCGTGGACCGAGAGCCTCTGCCCAATGACGGACGGGTCGGACTGCCCGCAGGCCTGATTACCCCCCACCACCGCTCCAGACGGGTCGCGATGGACTTCGTGCTGAGCGGAGCGGCGGCGTGCGGCGCCTGTCTCTTCACCAACCCGCTGGAGGTGGTGAAGACGCGGATGCAGCTCCAGGGAGAGCTCCAGAGCCGAGGCTCGTACCGGGTTTACTACCGCAACGTCTTCCACGCGTTTTACACCATCGGCAGAGTGGACGGACTGGCCGGCCTGCAGAAAGGACTCGCCCCCGGGCTCGTGTATCAGTTCTTCATGAATGGCATCAGACTCGGCTCTTACGCCATCATCGAGTCCTCCGGATACATCCACACTAACGGACGGGTCAGCGCGGCCAAAACCACCCTAGCCGGGGCCGCGGCCGGAGTGGTGGGAGCCGTGATTGGAAGTCCCGTGTACCTGGTCAGTAGCTGGTTTTAGGCTTGACTTTTTTCTTTGTACTGCTACTTTTTTTTACGGTTTTATTCGGCAATGGCATTTCAAGGTGAGCTGTCACTTTTTAACTTGTCTCCGTTTATTGACAGGTGAAGACTCATCTGCAGAGTCAGTCTACCGCCTCTATTGCAGTTGGACATCAGCACAAACACCCGGTAACAAGTTGACCCTTGAGAGTGTGTTAAAGGGCACCGGCAGGGCAGAGACAGATGTGTGTGTTTTCCCTCTTCCCATGCCAGGGGATGGTCCTCGCTCTGGCAGCTATCTACAAGGAGCACGGCCTCCTGGGACTGTGGAGGGGCTCTAGTGCCGCCGTGCCGAGGGTCAGCGTGGGTTCGGCCGCACAGCTCTCCACCTTCTCCTCCTCCAAGGAGTTCGTGGTTGACCTGCAGGTGAGAACATTGTACTGCTTCCCCCCCTCGAAAGGGCCGTTGAGGTTCAACAAGGGACGTCTGACTTCAGCGTTGTTGGATGGAATCAGGGCGACTGGAGGAATGTGTTCTCCTTGGCATTACGCTGCGTGCGCACGTCTTTCTCATGACCACGCCACTCCATTCGGAGCCCTAAATGTGCTGGTTATGGTTCCTACAATGTTAAAATGTAGTGATTTTCCTTCGCTTATGGCACGTCTCTCTGTCACTGGCTTTGGAAAAGCCAGTATGTAGTCAGTAACTGTTTACAGACTATAAAACCAGCCTTGTGTGGCACGGACAAGGCATTGCACTCTTCTGTAACAGAAATTTGACACCTTTCACCCCCCCCCCCATCCCCCTCGATTACATAACTAGTGCTCCGTCTCATCAGTTACAAGTTGCTGCTGAACCGGCTGTAGTTTAAAAAAAGAGGGGGAAAAAACTCCTTTACACTTTGTAACTATTATACTTATCATTGGACTGCATTCAATTGAAAGGTCAGCAAAAGAAATCAGAATATTATCCTGAAATTCTGGTTCTAACCTTTTCATGCGCTGCTTTCTTGATTTGACTAAGGACCTTTTAATTGGCTTACGGTGCAATTAAAAGGCCTTGCGTGAGGTTAAAAAGTCGTCTTTAGAAACACATGAGACAAACCTTGCCGAATCAGGTATTGTATGTGTCACTATTAACCATCCTTCTGTTTTAGTGCATAACAGTGCACCCCCAGTTTAAATAGGACCTTGATAAGGATACACTGGTCTAGAATCACTACACTGCTGCGCAGCCAGTGGCAAAGCTTGTCCATTCTCACTGCTAGCAGAGCCTCTCATGTTTCGTACCGTCATCTGTCCTTATGTCATTTGTCTCCTCCCAAGGTGTTCCCAAAGGACAGCTGGTTGGTGGCCCTGAGCGCCGGCATGATCAGCAGCGTGGTGGTGGTAACGGCCATGACGCCTTTTGATGTAGTGAGCACACGGCTCTACAACCAGCCTGTGGATCATGTGGGCAAGGTGAGGAGAGACGTGATATAGTGATATAGTGACCCATCGAGGTTTTGGTCATGAAACCCCTTTTTGTGACACCAGGTTTGTAAACGTTCACATTTTATTTCTGCAACAGCTATTCAGAGTTTACCTTGCATGGCACCTCGATTCACGAGACACACAAACCAATCCATTCGCTCAGGCTGTGATCGATACATTTGTGTCCTGGTAAGCCGGAGCACGGACCGGTCAGCGTCCCGTGAGGAGCCATTGGTGGACTTGCATTGGGAAATTGCCGCTCTGACAATGTGGTAGTTTTAATTGGAACAACCGGGGTCTGACATTTTATACAAGAGGGAATAATACACGTGGGAGTAGACAGCAGGTTGCGTGTGCGCATTGTGTTTTTTAAGGCAGAAGACATCATTCTATCAAAGTGATGCGTTGTTTGATGCCTTTGATGCCACAGAGTTCTTTTCGGGAATATTACGACAATTTTTTATTTTCATTTTGTGTCACATGATGTCTGATTACCGCTTGAGTCAGCAACAGCTGGGCCAGAAGAAGGGGCACAAATACAGACTGGATGCACTGGGTCAGGTGGGATGTGGGGCACCGTATTTTATTGGGTACCCAATAAAATAGCCCAGCTAACTGATTGCAAAATATGTGTGTGTATACACATCGTGAGTCTCACGCTGTCATAACATAAGTGTCGTCGCTCGTGAGAAGTGACTCAAAGTGGAGTTCAAACAGACTTTCAAGCTGACTTTCATTTCCTCGTCTTTTAGGGGCAGCTTTATAAAGGATTCGCTGACTGCTTTTCGAAGACGCTGAAGAAGGAGGGCTTGGTGGGACTCTACAAAGGCTTGGGAGCCTCTTATTTCCGGCTGGGCCCACACACCATTCTGTCTTTGTTCTTCTGGGATGAACTGCGCAAACTGTACCACGGGCGCAGATAACACCAGTACAACGTGTATCGCATTAAAATGATTCCTCATTGAAGGAGGAAGCGATTATGAGGTTAAAGACAAAACAGCAGATGGCCGTCTTTCTTAACGGGGAAAGAGAAAAGGTTACATTTTACACTCCGATAACAAGACACATTGCTACGTTCAAAAGTGTCCCTGAGAAGTTGAAAGGAAGCGTCATATGTGCACAGATGTGATGACAACTGGGATATGAACTTATAGGATAAGCGCAATACTGAATGTGGAACATCATTTAAACATTTTTATAGCACCTTAACTCCTTGGTTACGCTTTTACCAAAGATGTGAACAAACAAACAAACAAAGATGTGAATAATCTACGCTTCACACAATTCTGTACTCCAAGAATTGTTCCCCACAACTGAGGCACAAAAACGTGTACAAAATGTTTGATGCAAATGAGAGAACAGGTGTCACTTTGCTCAATGCTTCATTTCTGTACAAATTCTCTCTGACTGTTATCCATGGAATAAGACTACCTCCAAGTTCTTTATGCAGGACACCTAAATCGTCAGCATTACTTCCTGCTTTACGAGCACCTTTTTTTAATAGTGATGGATGCATCGTACAACTGTTACGGGAAGGCGTACTGTCAGAGCAATAGTTGCGCTCTGGGTGTGGCCCTGATGTGGGTCTCTCTTCCTGCAAAGAAGGATACTCAAATGTCAACGTTTCACATGGACTGAACTGAATATGAAACCAGGGGAATTTACATTTGGTTATAGCGTGGACTAATTTGCATTGCTTATGCTTTTCTTAAATAATAATTATAGAGTTTTAAAAAATAGAACAATGTAATAGAATATGCTAATTAATGAATGAAGGGAATAATAAAGGTACCGCGTCACTGTACCCCTTAAAGGGGCTGCTTACATATTTACACAGCTTTCAATCTTCTTCAATCAAGATTTCATTACCACTACTATTCTTATATGTTGCTGATGGTAAGCTGTTTGCTGCACTATATTTGTTTCTATTTACATTGTACATCAAAAATTCTATTAAAACTATTTTGACTTAAATGAATGACAATAGTCTGTGTGCTTCATATTCCACCACTCTTCACGGTACCCAAATGTCAAAGTTTCATATGGACTGAACTGAATATGAAACCAGAGGAATTCTCAACCTTCAGTACTATTGTCTTCCACTATTTTGAGGGTATTTTAGTTAGATTGCAAGACATCTAAAATTGATAAATTTTTGAAGTTCTCGGCCGACCTTTAGGAGAAGTAATAATAAAGTACTTCCCCATTTCAACACATTTATCAACCAGTAAGGGACCAGTAAGCTTTTCACTTTGAGGAAGGTCTTTGTGTTAAGGCCACTATGACAGTGTTGAGCTTTGGATATTTAACTGTCATTCACAAAGTCAGCTATGTGAAAATGAAAACATAATGACAGAATAGACTCATGTGAAAACATACAATGCCGTGTTTATTATGTACACACAGATTACACAGATCGAGTGGGAACAGGCCAAAGGTCTTTGACGGTCCCGGAAAAGATGACTGAAGGTGACAATTTTTATTATTATTTTTTTAAATTTTCGGACACAATAAATCAGTGTCCTTTACTGTACAGTTCAGCAGGTAAGCAAGTGAGAAACTCCATAAATGTGCTACAGTAAAAACAAGGCGGTTTACTGTAGCAGGTGAGCCACTACTTCAGTATTTCTGTGTTTGGTTCAATGGTACAAACCGGTAACTCCCAAAACAAACAGGGTTGGTGTGATATTGGCTCTCAGGTCACCTCAGTGAATTTCCTGGAGAGTTACTCAGTAACACTGAACATTGTTCCCCCGGCTGGCATTACTTAAACCTCCGAAGAGGCATTCAATGAACTATTTTTAAATACAAAATTGGTGCCGCTTGGAATTCTAAAAACATCAATAGACTCCAGCGTATTCCACATCCCTTACGTAGGTAAAACGATGGTTTTAATCTTGATCTTTGACACAATTTACTAGAGCTACCGCAGCACCGGGACATGAAGCGTTCCCCTCATTGTGAATCTCACGTCTGAGCAGAGAAATGATTGACAAGCTCCCAACCCTAATGTCCCACCTGAGCCCTTAATCCTTGAACCCTGACAGACTCAACTAACGCCACCTGGGAAATGCTTGCATGTGAGAGGCTACATGGGGAAATCTGACATGAATCATGCATCATCATCATCGTCGTCATCAGGATTTATTGTAAACCACATAGGAGGGAGTGACTAATTGCTGAAACTGAAGCTTGCAAGTAAGCTTGTTTATACTGCATGACTAGACCTCTTCTGCAGTTTAAAAACCTGCAATTAAAAATGACCTCTACTGGAATTCTTTTTTAAACCACTAGAAAACAATCTTTTTATTCACCGACATTAATGAGGATAAAACAGCAATATAATTTCTGGCAATTGTTCAGAAGCATTTGCGTGTTGTGCCACCGTCCAGCACCTCTACTCACTCTTGGTCTTAGTGGAGGCGGCGCTGCTCCTGCAGCAGAGGACCTGGGCCACGAGGACGCAGCTCACACCGGCTGACAGCGTGTGTGACAAAGTGGTGAACCAGCTACCTGTCTCCTGCAGGACAAACAGCCGTGCAGTTAGTAAAGACGCCAAGGACAGACTGGACTAGTGGGAAATGTGCCACTTTGTATATTGACCCTGACTGCATACCTGCAGAGACACAAAGAGAACACCCAGAGATCCAGCCCACGACAGCAACACAGACAGAGACGACAGTTGGCCCGTGTGGCCGTGACAGTGGTTAGTTCTAGCTTGGAGAACCTGGAAACAACAAATACGCAAAATGCATTCACTCTCCTGAGAGATTTGCAGTGTGCACGATCACTTCACAGCTCACAGGTCCTGGTGATTGTAGGACAGCTCCAAAAGTGCAACGACCACGTCAGCCATTCGGTTGCTACCTTGCTTGTGATTAAAGCTGCCAAGCTGGAGGCCTGCATCACTGAGACAACTGCTGCAGCTGCGTAGGAGCCCAGAAGGAACATGGCAGCGCCGTAAGCCGAGAGGAACAGCAGCCCTGGCAAACATCAAACAGGCTGCAATGAAGAACCAAGAAACAAAGAAAATGCTGCGCAAGGAACCCTTTAATGTTTTACCAAGAATGCTCACGTACAAAATCAATGGTGATCTGACAAAATCACCATTGATTCACTCACTAGCTCACCATTGATTCACTCACTCTATTCATTGTTTTCTTTCTCTTTGAGAAGTTGATAAGTGGAGCGGCAACACCACAAGGTGTCGCTCCAGTACAACACTGACTATGAGATAACATCGTCACACACACACACACACACACACACACACACACACACACACACACACTTACTTTATGGTTGCCTGTTTCTGGACCAACTACTTCTAAGATTTTCTTTTCAGTTACTCGCTGCTATGAACTATATTGCAACTGTTCAACCCGAGAGGCACAGACAGAAGTCAAAGTATTTAAAGACGTGGTTTTTCTGTCTTTTTATAGGAAGATAACAAAAAAATAGACTCATCCTGAAAGTGTGTAATAATAGAATACTGGTACATTATTTGGTATGTGTGTACCTGAGAGCGTATTGCCACGATAATGCAGGATGAGGAAGACCATCGCTGCCGTTTGAGCCAAGGTGAAGAGCCTTTCAGCCCAGGCGCTGTGGAGCAGTCAATGTAAAACACATGTAAAGCACACAGCTATGATGACAGTTACATGCTATGAAATGCAAAACTACTATTTATGAACTACTAAGTACTCTATAAATATTCAAAGAACCAATAATCCATAAGTAAATTCACCTCCCAGCCTTTGAACGCGCATTGAGACCGTGTAATAACTATATTTTACCAGGGTACATAAATAGAAAATATGTTTTTAAGCCTAAACGTTAATGACATCTGCTTTGTTTCTAGCATCACTCAGACAAACTCCTGGGATTTAAGGACACCGGGTTGCTTAGAGTTCAACATGTTGCGACATTTCTCTCTGCTATGCTGGAACAACAGGAACTTGACTTTCCTAGATACATACAAGAGCGGGTAGTTGTTGGCCATTGCGTACACGACAGGACACGAGAAGCCATACAGCTGCAGGAGCATGGAGGTCAAACTCAGGCCCTCTGCACTTCTTCTCCACAGTATCTTCAGCAGCTGAGGGAGCTGTGCTGCAGGGAGACAGCAGGCTATATGAAGTAACACTGTCTGCTTTAGTGCACTGTGGTAAAGTTCAGTGACTGTGCTTCTGCATAAATGATATGCGGATGCAGGGCCTTGCGATACCCTCATGTTGTCATGGTGATCTCCACCAGTGCAGCAGTGACTGTTTACCCAACCACTGATATCACATCAATAATGATCAATCATTGTGGGGGACAAGAGACAGCTTTGTTAGTTGTGTTTGTGCAGGATAGCCAGCTGCTGCTGCGGTTATTTAATCAGATTTAAAGTCAGGGTACTTACCCAGGAAGGTTTCCAGAATTATCCAAATTCCAACAATTCTGTTCATTATAAACTTCAGGCAAGACACTGCGACATAAACGAAAACATATTCAGACGACCAGTTCGCCCACTGCTGCATATATATAACACGAACGAAAAAACAACAAGAGCAATGTTGAACTGCAACTACGGGAGGAGAAACCTTATTACAGAATTACATCTAAACTTACATTACATCTGGAAAAACGTTTTTCGTTTCACGCGTTCATTTATTACATTCAAACCCTCCGCGAACTCACCGTTCATGTGAAAGTTGACGAAAATCCTCTCGTAGCATTTTTCCGGCATTAGATACGTGACCAGGAAGTCTTTGACGCCGGACGAGGCCATGCTGGGTCCGCTGTGACCCGGGCCGAGCCCTCGGTCCTGCTCCGTGACGGCGGAGGGTTCCCCGAAGGAGGACACGAGGGGTGCGGACCGGAAGTGCACCCAGGCTTCTCAAAGTCGGGTCCTCACGGTGTTAGAAAAATACTACTCGCTTTATGTGTATGTGCTAGTTATTTTTCCACAAGGAGGTTCAAGCTAAAACTGATGAAATATGACAGACTGATAACAGCTTTAGCATTAAGCATTAGCAGCTTTAACATTTTAGCCAGAGTGTGGGTGATTCTTCAATCTAATCTACGCCTATTTTTTATTCCTAAGAACGTTGTGACCTTGTTCAATCTCTTCCCTCACTTGCTTGCATAAACAAGAGATTAAGTCCATCTTTTAACACGCTTTTAGTTATTGGATTCATGGTTTTTCTTTCATCATCATCATCATTCTGCAGGTTTACATTTAAAAACATAGGAATGATATAAATAGCAGGGTAAGCTAGTAACTCTATATTCAGAGGTATGATATTATGAAACAATGAAATAGATTTTCCAATGGCTGTAGGTTTTACATGAACAATTACTTAAATAAAAAGTTATAACGTTATTGAGCTCCTTAGTTTTTTTTTAAGGGAAATGCATGAATTGATTTGAAAAGAACAGTTAGATGTCTTTGAATATATCCCTATTTTTACATGCAGTATTGATTTTGCTCCCTACCAGAGTAAAGGTACAAAGCTTGTTGAACTAAAATTACTCAATCAACTATAAAACACACAGAAACAGCAATCAATAAGAACAGCAATTCACTGTGACTCGTTTCCGCAAAAAATAGGAAGGATTTGACCAAAAACCCAATGAACACGCAGTTATACAGCAGTTTCCACTCTGACACCATGTGCTCTGGGAGCTGTTCCCGTTGCATCGGAGTATCTCTGTACCCGTTGGTGCTGATATCCATCATCTGCAACATAGTGTTGTTCTTTCCTGGCTGGGACGTCAAGTATGTCAAAGAAGGACACATTACTCCGGAGGTGCAATATTTGGGGGGACTCCTTGGAGGTGGTTTCATGGTGAGTAGTCTGTTAATGAAAAAGCTGTGACTCTGGTCTAACAATAGGTAAATACTTGTTTGTGAAATGTGCAGCATCAGATCAAACTTGTTTGTACTGTACGTTGTATGTTTATTGGTTTCGCGGTGGTCATCTCACCCGTTTGTGAGTTATCAGTATCTGATAAAACTTCAGCTCAATTGCGATGTTCTTTAGTATCACCATATTTGGTATGATACAGTCATTCCTCCAGACTCGGGTGCCTGAGTCTGGCACCTGAGTCTGGATGAATGAGGGTTAAACTGTGACAAGTTTGACACAGCATAAAATGAAATTCCTCATAACAAGTTTGACCCAAAACTGCTCTAAGTGCATCTAATTCCTTGTTACCACAGATGTTGATCCCAGCAATTTACCTCCACTCGACTGCAGAGAACGGGTGCTGTGGAATCCGCTTTGGGGTGAGTCAGACATTTTAGGTGCTTGGAAAAAGGTAAAGGAAAAAGTAAGGATGCTAAATAAGAACAGCTTGAGTTAGGGTTAGTTTATTAAACTGTTGTTTCTATGCTCAGGAATAACTGCCACACACTAGATTTAACTGTCTGATGGACACCCGTCGATCTGACGATGAGGCAAAAAGAAAAAAGTGTTTTATGTTGCTGCATCATTGTTGCTCAACATTTATTCTAGAGATAGGTGTGAAAACCCACAAACTGAACAGACTACTTCTCTTTGCCTTTTCGCAGAGAAAATTCATCTATAACTGCAAGTTCTGTGACGGCATTAAGTGTAGTGTTGGGGTATAGAGACACCAAACAGCACTGAATTCATTTATTATCTGAAAATAGCTGTAATTTCACCTCCGCAGATGTTCCTATCCATTCTGTTGGCTGCAGCGGGGGTGGTCGGTGGCCTGTACAGTTTCGCTGTGGCATTGGTTGGTCTGCACAACGGGCCCTTTTGCATGTCCACCGGAACTTGGCAGACACCTTTCAAAGACAGGTAACAAACAGAGGTATCTTTGGGATGACATAAACACCATTGGGATGTTATTAACAAGCCTCTTCATTTACACAGTAAATTCAACTACCTGACCGACTCCACCATTTGGGACAAATGCTCAGAGCCGAAGAACGTGGTGGAGTTCAACACCGGGTTGTTCTTCACCCTGATGATCACAAGCTGTCTGCAGGTGCTGCTCTGCGCCATCCAGATGATCAACGGCCTCGTCGGCTGCCTGTGTGGAGCCTGCAACAACAAAGCGGTACCACATGTCTTATCACATTGAATATAACGTTTTTTAATTCTCTTTCCTTTGCTTTGACTTCTGTTTTGTTTTTCTTGTTTTTCAGGGACCTTAAATTCCAGGTCCACATGGTGAAGATGTTATAATATCACATGATGGGCGCCCCAGCTGGAGGACTGGAGTCGTGTTTCTGTTTCGGCTTAAAGCATTCATCCTATTTAAATAATTTAAATCCACGGTATTATAAATGATTTATGATCATTATGTGGTCATGTTTAAATAAATTGGCTTACATTAAAAAGCTTGCAGATCCACAATTCTGTCTGGTGTTCCATCGTAAAACAAGACTAAATGTCACTCAATAACGTGCCAACATTCATATCACATGTTTCAGTGTTATATCAGATTGATAAACATTAAAACAACTGTGCGGGCTGTTTGTGGCCTGGTAGGAAGACCAACATCTTAGATCCTAATCGGCCAGGATGGAGTCAAGTATAAGCCAAATACCACGATTCTGCAGATCATAACCCATTGACCCACACGTGGTGGTGTTAGCAGGGACAGTTGCAGAAAAGTGAGTAAAAGAAATGTGGTATTTTTCTATTCTAGTTCCTGCAGTTACATTTTAGATAAAAGGGAATTAACGATGGGTTCATCTCCACACATCCCATTCAGTATTTCAATTTATGTTTATTCATTCATTCATAATTTGTAAATAAAAGGAAATGGTCTTCAAGGGAATCCTTTTCCTAAAATGTACTGTACACTGCATACATTCATTCACTGCTTCTGAGGTTTATGTTTCCTCTTTGAAATATACAGTAACATCTTTACCACAGCACACTTTAATTTAATGAGAAATTGGACTACACATGAACTGAGAACAGGGCGTTAATCTCGGACTCATTCAGGAAGTGAATCAGTGCCACGGCTGAGTAATGCTCAGAGACATTTTTCAACTTTTCTGTGAATTTAACAACGCCAAGCCGCCTTAACTGCATTCAAGAGTTTAGTGAACAAAGTGAAAAACGTAGCCTGTCGGGTCTCTGGTCTGTCCAACTAAATGCCAAATATGTAACTGGTTTGCAGTCAGAAGCAATGGCCGCTTGTTCTTGTTCCACTAAGCACGCTGCGACAAGTCTAAAGTCCAACTATGCTCCTGGCGTCACAACGTCAACATGGCCAGAATACTTGTATACAACAGGTGGAGTCGAAACGCGCCTCACAGTAAATCTCTGCGTCTCTGTCGTAATCCCCAGAAAGAAGCAGGAAGCACTGAAACCAGGAGAGAATTATGTAAGAGACGTTGACCATTAATAATTCATGTGACTCCAATCACATTTCAACAGAACTGTTGTCTGTCAAAAGATTTCCAGGGAATGAGTCACATTTGTAGAACGCGACCTATCCCAGGCTCTTTGTCCGCCCTATCAGCATGTCACTACACCTCCCACACCCTCACATCACTCAATTTGTTTTTTGCTCCCAGACTAAATCCACTTCCCTCTTTAGGTCAGTCTCACGTGGAACTCCTCTCTGGAAACAGAAAGGGAACCAGCTCAAACTTAAGTTGATTTTCAGCCGTTAAGTTTCTTCTATTTATTTTTTTTAAACTTTGACATCATGTGTACCGGAAAATGCTCCCGCTGCATTGCGGTGGCTCTGTACCCGTTAGCGATCATATCCATCATCTGTAACATCGTGTTGTTCTTTCCTGGCGGAGAGGTCAAGTATGCCCAAGACGGACACATTACTGAAGAGGTGAAGTACATGGGGGGACTCGTTGGAGGGGGTTTAATGGTGAGTAGTCTTTTCCTCAAGGGTGTGGCTCTCCACCACAACAAAAAAGTGTTAAGATACGTGAAATGAAAAGCAGAAAGAACTGGATTCTGACTTGTGTGAGGTGGTCATGTGATGGTTTTAATGCCATTTGATGAGGTAGACTGCCTTCCTGTCCATCCCGACACTCTACAAACTCAAAGATAAATGTAAGATAAAGGGAAAATGCGCGACGGTTTTGTCAAAATGTACCTTAATATTAGCTACTGTTCAATCATGTTTCCTTCCACAGGTTTTGCTCCCAGCACTTTACATCAACTTGACTGGAAAACCGGGGTGTTGCGCAAATCGCTGCGGGGTGAGACACAAAAACTAATCATTGGAAAGATGAAAGCAGGTTTAAAGAGTCACACTGTATCATCTCCACATGCAGACATACACTTGTCTCGCTGAAGGGTTGGTCGGAACGAGTTTATACAGTAGAAAATAAATGTATGAAAATAATAGTTTCTGTGACACATTCCAATTAATAAAGCCATTGAATGTATTTTAGCACCTTTTAAGCTTAAGCATAGTTTGTCCTGAGCAATGAGAAAGATGTTGCAGCTGGTTTTGTTGATACTGCAGGAAAAAAGAGAGACAATCTGAGGAATGTGGTTTACAACACATGTTGAGTCTGTTCCACCAAGGAGTCATAAATACCAATTTATCAGTGGGATCAGAATGGGAGGAGGGAGGAGGAGGTTGTGCATTGGGAAGAATTCTGTGAATGAATGAGGTTTTATACTCGAACACAAGACATGATGTTCCCTTCCCTTCTGCAGATGTTCTTGTCAATTGCATTTGCTGCAGTGGGCGTGGCCGGCGCGCTGTACAGTTTCAGTGTCGCAGTGCTCGGCTTGCAGAACGGGCCTCTGTGCAAAGTGATTCTTATTTGGACGACACCTTTTAAGGACAGGTGACACCTCGGAGTGACTTGCAGATGAAATTTGATGCGGACCAAAGTCTTGTTCCCCTTACTCACTTCCTCCTCCTCCTCCTCCTCTGCACAGTAACCCCAGTTACCTGACCGATAAGACCTGGTGGGGGAAGTGCACGGAGCCTAAAAACGTGGTGCAATTCAACGTTGGACTGTTTGCTACTCTGCTGGCCACGAGCTGTCTGCAGCTGGTCTTCTGCGCCATTCAGATGATCAACGGGCTCTTTGGCTGCCTGTGCGGCACCTGCATCGACAAAGGGGTGAGAAGGGTGTGAAAGAGAACCGGTGGAGGTGAAAACACAGAAAGTCTCAAATTCAGACACTTCAAAATAATCTCTCCTAACGTTTTTGGTGCGTTTGACTTCCAGCCTCTGTGAGGTCCTGACAGTTGAGCGGCGCTCCCTGCTGGAAGATGGAGAGAAGCTTTCCTGCTGCATGACATATTTACTGATATCGTGGATTTTTATACTTTTTTTGTGCATCTCACGGTCCTTCATGTGGTATTACGCTGAAGTGTTAGCTGTGTATTCGGTAAGGTTGTCAAAATGGCAGTGATTAATAATGCATTCCAAATATATGGTTTATTTGAAATAAATTTGATGTAAATATAAGCCACTCATTCAATTCTATGTAACATTATATGTGGCGTCACACATTGATATTACGCTTTTCCTTTAATGCACATTTCTTAAATATTTGAATACAAAGGATTGCAAATAAAATAAAATGCAGTACAAAGTTATTCTTCCATGAAACCTTTAATATAAGTTGCGATTTATATACAAACATTTCACTCGTTCCAAATTGCATTTTAAAATACCTACAATTCTCAAATCGGTCAGAATAGCACAAGCACTGACTACTGGAAAAAAACTGCAGGAGGAATGCAGTTGAAATGGCACATTCGATGAGGCAGCTGATATGTTCTCATTGTCTTGTATGGAACCCTTCAGGTTACCCAACAAAAAAAAGGCAAAGTTTAGTCATTTAAAAAGATCAACACTGGGTTCAAAATAATGGAAACAGGAGTGTAAAAACATGAAGACAAAACACCCTGTTTAGTTATTAGTTATTGCTGGCTTTGGGTTTTTTTAAGCTGATGAAACTTTTACATCTTTCAAGACTGTCGAAAGAGTAAAGCTGCTCAATGTGAACAGTAATCAAAAAGAAAATAACATTGCTTTTATTTTGCCACATTACTGAAACAAACTGAGACTTGGTCCCAAACTGAGGCAAAAAATAAGCTGTGAATGATTCGATAATTGCAAACACAAGTCATCTCACCACATTGTGGGGCAACTTAAAATAAATCAGAATATGCCACTTCACTTTTATAAATAAAAGCTTTAGAAGTGAGGATCACAACAACCTCTCCGGGAAGAAGACTCGCTCGAGGTCCGCTGATAAACACTGCACACGGTGCTTTAAAGATTGTGCGTGTTTAAGACAACCTCATCCAGCGTTTCTCTTTCCCGTCTATCAGCTCGCAGAGAAAGTAATGAATGAATGGAATTGAGAGGGAGGGAGATGGCTCTGTGCGGATTTCAACTTTGTTGAGGTAGACATCTAATATCAAACTGGAGTGTTAACAGTTGCTCACAAAGAGGTGGGGCGGTTAAGCTTGCTCAATACTGTGCTGCCCTTATACGTTTCTCATATATGTGCTGGGTTGGCATAGTACTTACGGGGAGTTAAAAACAAACTATATCTAGTTTGGGTTGGCGTAGTATTCACGCGGAGTTCAAAACAAATCTTAATCTAAATTAAATTAAATTAAATCTAAAATCCATAAAAATCAATTAATACAAGGTTTTAAATGACTTGAAAAACCCTTCAGGCGTAGTTTTGTTAAACACAGAGTCCCACACACAATAAGCTTCAACTGGAGTTTTGATGACATTAGTCGCAACGATACTTCACTTCCAGTTCAGTATCCATCATTTGTGCTGTGCAAATTCTAGCTGTCAAACTTTTTCATCATGAGCTTGCGGCTGGCCTCATAACCCAGGAACAGAGCTCCATTAGCGGGGAAGGTGCGGACCATGGTGGGGGCCAGACCGGAGTAGAGTGCCCTCACGCCTTCACAAAAAGAAACCGCAAAGATTACGTTCTGATTGACAACGCGAACAGCAGAAGGCCGAACACCTCGGATGAAACCACAAAACACACCAAAATCATTGCGGCCGCCCTTCTACTGACCTTCAGCGCGAGCGATGGTCGTGAAGGTTTTGAAGAAGCCGGCCTGTTTGCCCGTCATGGACATGACTTGGATGCGGGACTTGACGCAGTCAAAGGGATAGACGACCAGCCACAGACACGCCCCCCCGAAACCTCCGCTGAACATGATTGGAGCCACACCTTCAACATCAATCACACAAGTAGGAGTTGAAAGCAAATATATGTAAACAAAGTTTTCTGATTTGTATTTTCGTTATTATTTTATAACTAATTTATCTTTCTGACAGCTCTGGTCCCTGATAAGATAAGTAGAGCACACGTGTTACAACCAGTTAGTCCCCTTTCGAAAGATTTTCTGGATTGTGAATTTGTCAGTTGTTTTTGAATAAAAGGGTTGGAAATAAATGTTTTTTTTTAGCTTTGTATCCAATTCCCCTAAAAACTAAATAAACAGATTAATCAATTTTTCAAATATATATTTTTAATAGATTTATTCTTTATTCTAAGGTGCAGCCTTTGAAAGGGGGGGACATTGTCCCTGTACCTAAGTCCTCTTTGTCGCACTTCATGTGGTCCGCGAAGGTGGTGCGGCAGAGCTCGTAGGCCCCGAAGAAGCAGAAGTAGCCAGGGACCTCTCTGGCTATGGTGGTGGTAAGGCCCTGGAAGAAGCCCTGAGGTCCCTCGTTCCTCATGATGGACTTCACCACGGACCACACTGTGCTTGAGACAGAGGACAGGGATGTGCGGCTCAGTCAATGCAATACATAACAATGGGGGATCTTCATGGGGAGATGGCAAATTGCAGCCAAATAGAAGTGTGATACATCATCTGAAACCTTGGAAATTGAATATTATGCAACTGAAAATCATATTAATTGAAGCACACAGTGATGCGAGTGTTTTAAGTTGAAAATGTTACCAACTGTAACATTTTCAGTTACTAACTATTACCAACTCTCTATAAAGAGCAAATAATAATATACAGTTGTCTTTGATTGTTAGTAAATGAGCCTTGCAAACAGCGCATGATCATTAAAAAAAAAAAAAAAAAAAAAAAAGACATTTACTTCTGGCTCTTAGCGATCTTGCCTGATGACTCCATCTCGTACATGGCTTGCAGCCGGCACTTGACCAGCTCGGTGGGACACAGCACCAGTGAGGAGAATATGGAGGCTACGGAGCCGGCACAGGCTTTCTGCACGTCGCTGGCAGGAAGAAGCAGAGGACAGTTGGACATCTGTACACGTGTTCGCAGAGAAACAGATGGGACAGCCTGGTTCAATCACAGCCCTGGTTTCTCTTTCTCTCTCTTTACCTCAGCACAGCCTCGGCGTGCAGTCCGGCCGTGAAGCGGATCACCTGCTGGCAGAAGCCGTAGCTCATAAAGAGCACGGAGTTCTCTGCGATGTTGGCCATCAGGGCCGGCGTGGTGCCCTGGTAGAGCCCGCGCAGACCCACTTGTTTGTAGGTGGATGAGATGCAGTGGACAAAACCCCGGTAGAGATTGGGAAAGGTCTGCATCTTGACCTTCGCCGTGTCCAGAGGCTGCCCGCTAAAGACACACGCAGCTCCACCTGAGAGAACAACGGCGCGATAACTGTCAGAAACAGGAGTGATCCAACGAGAACACCCAGTGGCTGTTATGGCATATTACGAGAGAACATGTACATAAATGAAGGTATACAAATGAATAATGCCCCCTGCCAGTAAACATATATATATTTTTAATCAGTGCACACTACATGGGCTGGCAGGGAGGAAAGCCTCGGCAGCGGGTTTGCACTCCACTGACCAGCATAACAAGTCAATGGAAACCAAGAGGTAACGAGCTGGAAAAACACAGGAGTCATCGGAATCCTGTGCCACGACGGTCCAGTGAGTCCAGCAAGCCAAATGAAGAGCAGCGTGGTAATGTCATTACAAAAAATAAATACTGGTCGTTTGCCGACTTTGGAAGACAAAGCACTGTAGTTACCTACAGCCCCCGCGGAGAGGTCAATGGCGGCTTGGACCACAGGGTGCGGCGCCATGTTGTCAGAAGACAAGGTTTCTCCTTCTCTCAGCTACCTGGGTAAAAAAAGACAAAAACACTTTTAACTCCACACATAATGTACTCTCAATTAGAGCACTTTAATTACTGTAAACACAGAAGAGGAATCTGACCCTTACCCTTGTTTACACACTCCTCTGATACACAGTGTGTGTGTTTCCACACAGGAATACAACAGGCAGCTGAGTTATAAAGTTCAGAGCAATAAAACCGGTCCTCATCCACAACCAAAGTTATTTATAGCGAGTTAAGAATGGATCTGTGTAGAAGAATAACCGGCATGTACGATCATGTGCAAGGAAGACATGATTTCACCACAACTGACTAAGTTTGCATGACCAGAAACTACACAACTGTAGTCTTAACTTTGTCTTAATATTACCACATAATTATATTATTCATCTGGAATCATGTACAGTTCAAACATAAATGTCACCATTTGATGCACAGTACCAAAGGCGTGTTGTGTTTTCACCATGTAACGTCAGCTGTCTAAATGCTACAGTGTTTCTTCTACTTTTAGGGGCACCGAGGGCTCATCCCCCTGCTGAGGTCACATCGTGCAGCGAACTGGACGGGATTTGTAACACAAGGTGACCGCCAGCAAGGGACAGGCTGCGCCTCCTTCAACAGATCGCCCACTCGTCATCCGGTGCCGGCTTGTGTCTTCCATAGACATATATAAAGGCTAGATGTCTTACGGCGGCCATTTTGGTACGGTCAGCTCGCTCACCCATAACATTGTGTTGTTAGTGGTACATGTACTTTAAATAATACTAACTTGATTTTAAACGGTTTGGTTTGTTATAGACGTCAGAGATGTGGTTATGCCACTGCATACTTGAATGATGAATAATTCCATGTTTAATATAATTTTAGTATGAAAACCCATGGTTATAATAATCCACAAGTGTGCAGTGGCATAAATACATCTCTTTACAGGGTGGGGATTTCAACATGCAGCATGTCTTGATGTACATATGGGGAAATATTGTGCCTATTTTCGAGCATTATTCTATTTAAAATAGCAATTATTCATGTTAAGTATGCAGTATCATAACTACATCCCCGGCGTTTATAACAAACCAACCAGTTTAAAAATCGGTTGAAAATTTGAAAAGCTATGGTTATCACCACCAACATGTTATGGGTGAGCGAGCTGACCGTACCAAGATGGCCGCTATATACGGACGTTCGACTCCGTTGGCTGGCAACGCGGACGAGACATGTAGCCTTTATATAAGTCTATGGGGTCTTCTGTGACATTTAACGACGCGTTACGTTGCGGTGCTACGGTGTGAACGTAGCATAAGGTCACGTTGAGCCGAAACACGGGTGAAAGTCAATTGACTTTTTCAATACAAAGGCAAACCGACATAAAAGGGTGTAAATCTTTTTTTTTTCATACAAACCTTACAGATAAAGCGACAAGTCGCCCTCGGGTCACCGGCGTGCGGAGGATGACGAGAGCGACCGCCCGTGGTGTTAGCATTAAGCTAATGCTAACGCGCTGGAGAGCGGTAACGTTAACCGAGCGAAGCTAACGTCGTCCGGGAGTGACCGCATGCTAAGGCCTCCGCGGTGGCGTAACTTGTTGTTATCTCATGTGTAGCCTGTAACACCGAGGAGGGCATTGGCGGTAAGTGAATCAGTGAAGCGACGCTGAGAGGCAACATGTTGTTTCATTGCGCAGACGAAGAGCTCTCACTCCGCTCGGAATCCCGTTGCACCAAAACCGCCTTCGCTCCGCTCCGCAGTCGTTCTGTTCACTGTGTTTTCTGTGAAACATCATCGATAGTAATGTTGCATGATTACGAATAGAAAATGACGCACGCACCTTTGCATTACATAATGTTTTTGTTTCTCTGTTTGATAGGAAGAATTTGGAAACCACTTAAGTTGATTTATATAAACACCGAGTGATGGTCTGTATTTAGGATCTATGATCTAAGCGTGAATGTGAAAGCTTCCGGTTCAAATTCTGTTTTGTTTTTCGAAATAAACTCTCCCCAGAAGTTGCTACAACACCCCCTGTTGGTTGTTTCCAATTTTTTAATAATACAAAATACATGTTTTATTTTTTACCTCCCTATCAAGGACGTTATGTTATACGTCATGTGAGTTTATTGCTTTTGAAATACACGCTTTTCAACATGCTACAACAATCTACTCTTTGCATTATGCACGTTTATACGTAAGTTAAAAAGTTTAAATACTTCCTCTCATTTAAAGCAGTGTCTGTTTTTTTCTTTGTTCAGTGATAGTCAAACAAACAATCCTCCTTTGATTATTTCAGACAAACAAGCACGTCGACGTGTAAATATTTGCCTCCACCTCATGACCTGGAATGAGTAACATGCAAGGACCTAAATGGCAAAAGCAAGCACAAAATTGTATGTGAAACATATGTTGGTGAAATGACAAATCTATTAGAAACCGTTGTTGTAGTCACGTTGTTGTTTTTCACCTGTGAACTTACATTCTGCCAAAATACCATCTGTTTAAACTGAGTAGCCTGGGATTAAAAACATGCGCCCTCTGTCCACGCACGGGCTTATCCTCAAAAACCGGCGATGGCTTACCGCAGTCTAGACTCAGCAAAACCTCATCATGATCAAAGGGCGCGCAGTCAATAAAATACACCATTTTTATGTCACTTTGCTTTTTATATATAAAAAAAAACATTGACGTTGTCTACATCACAGACAAGAATCATCAATATTCTGTTTAAAACAATGTTGCCATGAACAGAAGGAACCCCATGCCCATCCTCCTCTATACACAGTATACTGTAGTTCCTCTTCTGTCATTTTGCATTTTTATCAAAGTAGTATCAATAGCTTTAAAATACATACAATGCTCTTTCCATTGCAATTATAGTCGCTATCCTGATTGTACATACAGTATAATTTCCCACAGTTAGTCTGATTTTCAACATGTTGTCACAAAGTATTCCGAGCAGACAACGTTTCATTCATTTAACACTTGGCAGAATTGTAATGTTTTGTACATGAGAAGCATTTCCATACGACCGCCGGCTGTCGTGAGAATGGACACACTGCAGAGTTTTTGAATACACAGTTTTGAATACACAATACATTAAATTATTTTATCCCTAATCCACATCTTTTATTCATGTGTTCCTCCCATTTGACGTCAGAAATGTCCTGAACCCTTCTCAGACTCTCCAAGGGGCTTTACTGCCAACTGGTACATCTGCCCAAAATTGAGATTATAAGGTACAGTCAGAGAATCTCAGTAATCCTCAATAAGAAGAGTTACACTAAAGGAACAACAGAGAGATTATAAAAGGTCACTTCAACAAAAGAGTTATAAAAGCGGAACTTGTCCATGTATTTCTATGGATTTGTTATACAAGAGTTTGGCAATAAAGTTCTAAGTGTTGAACACAAGCTGTTGGCAGTAGTGGGGCTGTGCTCAATCAACTTTTTACTACATAGGATTAAAAAACTGATTTATAAGTACCCGACGAATTGGAAAAAAACAACTAACTAATTAAACCTCGTATTAGTGTCATGGAGCTCCAGTGTTCAGCTCAGAGATCACCATGCACACACAACTTTACAAATAATTGAGTGGAAGACTTGTTTTTCCAGGAGTAGGTTTGGATTTCTATCTCCGCATGGAGAGAATTCAAACATACAGTAACTGATTAATGACCAAAAACCAGTAATCACAGCCAGGCACTGGAGTGTCCTCTCACATATGAGTTGAGGGCCGAGTCAGAGTAAATATCGCAAACTTTTTAACTCTAGGATTAAAACCCTCAAATTGTATTTCATGTGTATCAGCTGGCGAGTGCAGTCAAGTGTTTAATATCTACCGCAGGGTCAACATTATTTGGTTAGGGAAATAAAAACTCAACCTAAATGTGGGAAAAGCTACCATTCTCAAAATCACATCAAGAGAGCCTTTTCATTCGTACCCTGTAGACACACAGCCACAGCCCAGCATGAAAGAGTTGGTCGATGCCGTGTGTTCAGCATCGCAGCACCATATCCAGTAGACGATTTAGTTGCATACCAACACGTCCTGATTCAATGTACAGTATCACTAAAGTCACAACATGACCAAACTCTCCACCAGCACCTTTGGATACAGTAACCAGCCATAAACTTTAGATCACATCACCTTATGAAAAACACGTAACGTATCTTTTGGCCCAGTGGCTGTCCAAGTAAAAAAAAGGATTATTTTTTTGTGTTCTTTTTTATTTATTTTTTTTTAAATCAGCTGTGGCTGATTCCGTGACAACTTTTTAAAAAACTATCTTCATAGTAGACTTTTGAATTGTTGTCAGACTTTTTTTTGGCAATTTGTTTGACAGCAGCAGCAGCCTGTTGTCAATGGAATAAATGACAAAGTAATGCGGGTGAGCAGGAATGGCACTCGTAGTTTCAACCAAGTCCAGTGTTTGAGTGTTAGAGAAAAAACGAGAGAGAAGTAGCACGATTCAGGGAACCGAATCCCCGTCCAGATAATCCACATCCAAATAACAGCCGCACGCAGGCGTGTTAATGCTGTTTTAGCCCCGCATCAGCATTCACACACCAGCAATTGCTGCACTGAGGAGTTACAATCGTCTCCTTTCATGAGTGTTTTTGGGGGTTCAGAATATACTGCAAGTGAATTGGAAAACGCATTTCCTTTTCTGTGATGCATTGAGTAAGAAGGGGACAACTTATTTTATATACAAGACACCGGTAACTCCATTCATTTCTTCTGGGTGTAAAAAAAACAGGAAAGTCATTCAAAATACGATTTGACATCAAATTCTTTACAATGCAGAATCCTCAGACTCATTCGTAACATTTTCTCTCTGCAACTTGTTGGCTGCAATGTGTCTACTGATAATCTGCTCCGTGTGGAACGTCCCGGCTGCAACGTGGCGTCAGCTTTTACACCGAGCAAGTGGGCGGCTGGTAGTGGATAGTTCAAAATGAAAACACAATAAGGGGCCTGAAGTGAATGAAACCGAGTGTGTGAAACGAATGATGATCTTTTTTCTTCTTCTTCTGTTTCTTTTTGGCCGAACCGTAGCGTGACGAAGCCAAAGAAAAGAGTGATGGAGTGCTTACATTGTGGCTGAAGTGTTAGGCACTGCAAAAAAATAGAACGTTTTTTTTTTTTCTTCATCTTTCTCATAAACACAGTAAGGCAATTTGATTATGGCTGACTGATATCAATATAAGTGTCCAATCTGTCTTCTGTTAAGTTCGACATATTCGCAATTTAGACTCCGGAGATAAACAACACTTTTTTCCATTTTCACAACCCATTTTAAGATTACCTGTGTAAAAACAGCTACAATCAAAAATGAGGCACTTTATAAAAGAGTATATAGTTATCTAGGCTATATAGTAATAATCATATGTATGCTGTATATTTGATATACCATTGTAATGTGTCACTTTATATTAGAATTGTGAAAATGAGGAAAACTGACTACAGCACGTACTATAGTTTCATAGTTTCATTCTACTTGTACACTGTAGTATAGTATAAATACACATATAATAAAGCTCAGTTGCCCCAAAAAAGTATTTACACTCTTACTTTTTTAACTTTTTGCACTACAAAATGGTTTAAATGCAAGAGCTTATTTGGTCTGCGTCAACTCAAAAAGCTACATTATGTTATACTGTCATTGATACAGTTGTGTGAAATTTGAAAATTCCAGCTGGGAAAAATAACATTGCTTATTATCTAGTCAAATGTATTATTATCTAGTCAAAATCTATATCTACGACTTCCTATGTGGGCATTTTGAGCATCTCAGATTCATTCTTGGTGTAATAAATAAGGAGTGGAACAATAAAGACTATTTACCATTTTGCTGTCATTGTCAAAATACATATATTATACTGAGATATGGGGGGAGTAAGGTTGTTTTGTAAAATTAGAAATGAGTCGGCCCCTCCCTACCCAAATGATTTTCATTAACAATCATTTGAAAGCCCCCCAGGCTGTTTTATTTTCAATAGTCTGTTATCACGTCCCCTCAGTGACAACATTTATATACGTACAATTTAATTATTGTCCTTGCTGCGCATTTGAAGCCAATTAGATTAAGCTGTTTACAAGCATAGCAGAAGAACATTATGTTGATTTGGCAATTTTTATGCAATGTTGCACACGGTGATCATTGAATACATTGCTGTTTGTGTATGCATCCCTTTTGATCCAATTAAATGATTGAATGTTTTTTCTGTTGATTGCAGTTACAGAAGGTTTGAAGTATTAGTAAATGTGTTCAATATGTTCAGTTTTATTTTGAGTTAAAAACTATAATTGTATAAAACGGGGCAGACATTCTACAAAAAGGACAGAAGTCTCACTGAGGCGACAGGTGAATGAACGTTCCCTTCATTCCTTACACCCCACCGTATGAATGACTCCACCAAATATCCAAAATACCACTGAAATACATCAACTAATATTACCTGCAGCTTTCGAGGATGAGCTACGGGACTTGACTAAATCATGATTTGTTTGTGAAAAATCAAAGGTGGGGCTGTATAAGCACGTATCCTGTGTGAGTGCACGTTGAAGGATTTAGGAATAAAACGTCTGTTTGTACTGTGTAGGAAAACACTGAATTACATCACGACCATTTTTGAAAGGAAAAAAAAAACTCATCCCTCAACCGCAACCTAAAGCTCAGCTCAGAGTACAAGAGATGTCAATGTCAAATGCTGTGTGAAAAGGAATTTGTAATACTAGGATATACTGTTATTAATATTTCATAAAGAATATATCAGATGTGTGGAATTTCAACACAACCAATTTCCCCTTATTTGAAAAACGGAAACAAATGAAAAATGTCAATTCAATGTGTATGTCGTTATGTAATTGTCAATAATATGAACCTAATTGTACCTCAGAAATCAAACAGTATAGCACAAGAAAAGTGGTAAAGTATAAAGGCTTTTTTGGGCAACTGTATGTAATAAACCAATGACTTTAACAGTGACAGAGAATGTGTAAGTGTATGAAACCTCTTTCAATCTGTATTTCCTTCCCTTTTCAAAATGACACCTGATGATCATTTAACTTAATACACATGGACAAAGGACGATATATAAAAACATGAAGCTCAAGTTTGGCACTTAATAAATAACACTCCGGAGTGCAGCCTAGAATGGTTTAGGATGGTTTGAAAGATTGTGTGTAAAATTAACAATTATTTTAATTTATTATGCACAGATGGACATTTGTATTGCCAGAATGGCCACCTGAGAAGTCACCCACAGTCACGCATCAACGTGTCATTCTTTATCTGTATTAAGCTAAAAGGTGATCAAAAGTCATATTGGTTCAAATCGAGGCAAAAACAAAACGTTTTTTCTCAGCCTATGTGTGTGTGTGTGTGTGTGTGTGTTTGGCACACATTTGGTTGACTGAAAACAGCCACCAGGACGAGGAGGAGTTTTCCAGGGTTTTCAGTGTTCACACTCCGGGTACGGTTGTGTTGTGGCAACAGATCGGGCCGCCGGCCGCCCCCTCAACAATCTGTTGGAGACCAACAATCTGAAAGAAAACAATCAAAAGCAGGACCGAATTAAAATCAACTCCTCTTCAAAATAAAAGGGTTTGTTATTGTTGTAGTTTGCATTTGAATTCACCGTGAATCTAATTTAAATCTACCCATACAGAAATGAACTGTACTAACGGCTCGCTCCTTTCACTTTCACAGTCAGGCGATTGTCTGCAGCCTCCACGTTCTGCGCTCATGCTGCTGTGTTAAAAAGGCAGACGTGTTCTGCACTGCTGTTCACCGCAAATTTATTCTTTGTTTTTTTATGCATCCATTATTATAAATTTGTATTTTTTAAAGTTATATGATTTTTCTTTGCATCTTGCAAAGACAATAAACAGCATCGGCAGAGACTTATCATGAAGAAAAAGCAGACGTGGCAATACAGCATCAAACATAATCTATCTCTTAAACAATATCTTAATGTCATTCTGTGGTTTTTACTGAAAATGTATTTTCAGATTATAATTGAAACATAATGAAAACGTGGAGGAATGTGATATTAAAAGGATTATTCCACTGTTGATTAGATCACTGAGAAGCCTGTTTGTTTGAGGTTTTGCATGCTGCAGTACAGCCATCGTCCTCCAAGTATCCAGGCTGCATATATTGAGCTCCATTATTAGAATATGGCTGCAGTCGTAGAAAGCGACGTTTGTGGCTCATGAGACAAGAAGCACAATCAATCACTAATCGCAGTGTGGAAAATTACATGAAATAGTGATTCACAGAATATTAACAGATATGCACATGTTTGATGCGTATACATATATTCGCGATTTAAATAATTAGGCAATTATTATGAATATACATTTACATCTGGAGATTGAATAGCATTAGATGAATCAATTGTGCAAATGTTGTTTCTGTGCCAAATAAATACGCCTGCAAAAGTTGCTTCTTCCCAAGTCCGCTAATTCCTACTTTTGTTTGTTTATACATTTTATTTCCTGGTATGTAAAAAAGATGGATCTCTTAATGAATTTTGCATTCAACCATCAACAAATGTACTTTATATTAACCATTAAATATTTTTCATCCGTGCAATGTGAGGGAAGCCTCCGAGCTGCCATGTGAAATCTTGCAGCCAATAGCACACCCACACATAAACACAAACACCTGGCCGAGTCGTCTCCTCTCTACCTCCATTTATGCGAAATGGCTCATTACCAGCAGACAAATCAATTGCCGTTGCTCTTGTGAACACCCACTTGTGATAATAAGAGACTCTACAGACAACCCACAGCCTGGAAACACAGTGCTGCCCTCCAGCTTAAAGCGGAGGGACACGTTGGGAGAGGATGAAAGGAGAACCAGTGACAAAGAGCCAGACATTAGTTTTGTCTGTGGATTATTCACATCAAAAGCTTACATCCGGCTAGACAACCCAGAGTCTTACCTGTTTTGAATAATTTCTTTCACATTCCTTGGTGTTCTTTAAACAAATGATAGTTAGTAATGCAATTGCCAATTATGCTGTAATTAATGAATAATCATCTCATAATTATCACGAATTGAACTAATATTTATCGACAGTGAAAATCTAACAGCTTACTGTGTTAGACCAACAGCCCATAACCCTGAAATAGGTTGTATACTATCATAGAGAACATGGTAAAGAAACAGATATTTGAAAATGAAAATCTAGATTGGTTATTTATTTATTAATCAGATACATTTTTTGTTGATTGACTAATCAATTAATAACTAATCATTTCAGATGTTATGATATTGCATCTTGAACAAAAAAAGCATAACTATCAACGACAATAGTCCGTCATCAACTTGTTTTGAAATGAATAAATACAAATTGTAACAAATAGAGCAACGCAGGATTATTTTACCAATTGATCTACAGATTATTTTCTTGACCAGCTAAATTAAAAACATAAATAATTTTATAATTTACCGGAGAATAAAATAGGATGTTCAAATTCATCAATCCAATTATGGGAAGATAATCATAATATATTATATATATATACACACACACTATATATATACTATGTATATATATATATATATATATATATATATATATATATATATATATATATATATATATAGCAGTGTGCCAATACAGACACTGCAATCTTCTACAAGTAGTTTGCACTGGAATCCGAAAAAAAATCTAAGAATGAGATGTAAAATATGTGACAATATTGACACAAAATCTGACGTTGCATATCAAATCAAAGGTGAGTTTGATAGATATTTTAAGATAAAATGGGTTTGCAGTGCAAGTTGTACTTACCCTGACCATCCGCTCTACTTCCCTGGTGTGCTCGCAGTTCTTCTGACTTATAGAAATCAATACTGGCATACGTATTGATGCCGGGGGCGGCACCGCTGCCCATGGCGCTTCCTCCTATGTTGTAGGCGGCGGAGGTGTGCTCCTCTCCGGCTTGAGGGCTCTCCTTAATGGCCAGTTCAAGGTCAATGTAGTTAAGGCCCTGTTGAGCAGGTGAGGTGGAGGCCTGTGGTGGAGGTGTGGCAGATAAACTAGGCGCCTGCCTGTTCTCCCACGTTGAGCAATCCAAACCGTGCCGATGGCTCGCCGCCTGGCTACCCTCCGGGAAGATGGAGGTAGAAGAGGGTGGATGACGAGGGCGGGAGGAAGGCGAGTTAAATGGCTCTGAAAGGTGACCCGGGCGGCCCTGCGAGTCGCCTCGGGCCAATCTGCCGCCGCGCTCGGGAGACTTGTAGGACTTGACTGCGGAGAAGCCCGAGTTTGTCTCCTGCTCTGTGGATGAGGTCTGACCAGGTCTTGCTGAGATGCTGGGATCTGAACCTTTCTTGTCCTTGAATGCAGTTGGGGCGTCTGTTGTCATTGCTGTCATCTTTACTTTTGCTCTGTACCCGGCGTTGACCTCTGCCGCCGGAGGGGAGGACTTGCTGTGTTCATGGCGGCCCTTGGGGGCACCAGCTGGTGGGTCCTGTGGGGTGCTGAATGTGGATCTTACAGAAATCCGGGGCCTTTGGTTAGATGAAGAATTCCCTAAATCCATGCTGACATATTCAGCGGCGGTGGACAACGGAGCTGAAAAGCTGCGAGGAAGGTTGGCGGGATTATCGTGGCACAGGAGGGGTCGGTTCAAAGGCCGCAGGGTTCCATGAATCATAGGTTGTCCACGTTCTGACACAGAACATCGCCCCCTGACATACTTATTGTCCTCCTTGAACACAATACTGACATACTCACCGACATTCTGTGACGCGGATGGCAGCAGGTTGTCCTTCACCCTCGGAAGGGTGTTTGCTTTAACAACGTCTGCAGACATGCTGACCGGACGACACCTCCTCTGTTCCTTTGGGCTCTTACTACTTGATCCCCATTTTTGATGATGGCGGCCATCTTTTGTGCACGCTGCAGTCCTTACTAAGCTCAACCCTCTCCCTGCCGACATGGACTTGTCATCCAGGCTCTCGCTGCTGGCGGAGCTGGAGGAGAAGGAAGAGGAAGACATGGAGAGTTGACAGCCTCCAGCAGATCCCGCTGCGGTTTTGTTTCTCTTGCTGTATCCCGCTCCCCCTCCCCTTCCAGCACCGTGATGCCCACCACCGTCCTTTTTCCCCTCCCCTTTGTTTAAGTCCTCCTCAAAGCGAGTGTAGAGAGTATGTTGATAAGCTCTTGGCAGAGAGAAGTAGGAATTGAACATTTTTGGTTGCAGTTGGTGCTGTTCGGGGTGGGAAGGCGGCGTGCTGCAGGCAGAGCGGCTGCACACAGGCGAGATGTTCATGTAGTCACTGGCAGCCTGGCTCTCCACGCTGGCCCTGCTGTCCCACATAGCCAGTCCGTGCAGGTCCGTGGAGCTGCTGCTGTTGGGAGACATGACCATGTAGCCCTCTGTGCTGGGCTGGCGGATATGCTGGGGGGGGGACACACTGTTGTTGGCGGTCATGGCCATATACTCGTCATCTGCCCCAGGTTTAGCTCTGGCGTCAGACATACCTATGGAGAGAGAGAGCGGAACGGGGGGAGAAGTGACCCCCGGCAACATTGACATATAGCCGCTATCCGTCGCTGCCCCACCTTCCACTTCTCGCATGCTTTTGTCAGCCCTCTTGCCTCTTTTTTTCCCTCCTGCGTCGAGCTGCCCACCCGCAGCTGCCAAACCCCCGGAGCCCGCCCTCTCTCGATTAGCACTCTGCGACATGATGGCATACTCTTCATCGTCTTCATCGTCTTCCTCTTTTCTATGCGGGGTCAGACGTTCGTGCGCCGCCAAAGGCAGAGAAGCTCTTTTGCTTAATAGTCTGCGTTCGGCCTCACATTCCCTATTTGACGAGCGTCGCAGAATTCGTCGGCCTTTTGAGCGATGATGGGAGCCGAGGAGGCCCTCTCGCTGTCCCATCACTATGTAGCTGGAGGAGCCTTCCCCGTGCACGGGCTGTCCAGACAGACTGGGTACGAGCAGAGAGTGTTCCCCGGGACTGGAGCCGTATTCATCTGAGGAGCCGTAGTCGCTCGGCGATCCTGAAACAGAAACTCTCTGAGAAACACGAGGGTAGGAGCAGATCGTCATGCCCCCCACTGCTGCCCCAACCAGGCCACACTCTGAGCCATGGCCGGAGCTGGAGGACAGACTGGGCGCAGGAGAAGGCGCAGGGTTAGGCGTGTAGCGTGCAAGGCTGAGGGTGATCTTAGCAGGAGTCGGGGCCCTGGTGGGTTTGGTCCTCAGTGTTGGGGTGGTTGAGCAGGAGCCGTTAAGACTCGGGCTGGAGCTGGCCCATGTCCCCTTGGCACTCGCTCCGCCCTCCTCCGACCGGGCCCCGATGCTGGCAGTCCGCGCCCTCGGGAATCCGTGGCGCGACGTGGGCGACGTGCTCGTGCTGCTGCCTCCCGTTCCAGGGGTCTCCGTGCGGGCACGTCTGGTGAAGCCCACCTGGCTCGGTGGCAGATTTGGATGATGTCGACGGCTCGGGACGCTGATGGGGTTTGAAGCTGTACCGCCCCCGCACGACGTCCCCACAGACTGAGACTTACTGCGCTGACGGAACTCCTCACTTAGGGCCTTCATGGCCTCCAGCAGTGTCTCGTGCATGTTCTGGGCCACCACAGAGTCGTCCACCTGCATCCAGAACTCTCCAGGGCCGGTAATCGCAGAGCGGCCCACCTCAATGAAGAAGAAATTCTCTGAATGGCCACACCTGCGAACATTCATCAGCTGCAACACCACAGATGACACATCGGAGTTGAGTTTGACAAAGTTGACCGTCTTGTCAGTGAGGCACAGCCGGTAGATGCCCACTAAGTTCCTGGCATGCCCAAGACCTTTCGGCCAAACCTTGACCTGCCATACTTCTTTGACGGTTGGAATAGGAGACGGGGAGCTACACTCTCCACTACTGCCGTAGTCTTCAGGAGTTTTACCTAGGAACACAATGAAGAATGAATAAATTACATTTATGATTTTTGTGACTCGACATATCCTATGTACATGCTTTAGTAAACACACAACATTTACATGAAACACACAACCTGTTTAAAGATGGATTGAAGCCAAAATGACAAACCAGTAAAGGTGACACTATTAGGAAACATCCATCATTGCTAAACTACTTGGATCGATCTCTACCGTGTCCCTGCCTCTGCCAAGCAACAGTGCTGCAGGTCATTGATCACAATCACTTTCAAGCTGCAGCCATAAAGGATTAAGACTTTGCAGATATAGAATACAATCACAAAAGCAGCACTCTCGATTGTGAAATATCAAAGACAAATCATACTTCAGTTCAATGCAAATCACATGACAAATTAGAGCAGCAATTATAATTTGGTATTTGATGTATTTTTTTCCTCTTGCCACACAGTCACAGTTATATCCAACGAAGGGCTACAACTGCATTGGTTTTCTATCCCTCAAGAAGAATTTGAATTTATTAGAGATGACCCCCCCCCTCCTGGATTCAGCGTAACTTGATTATATTAATGCGTCTCCATTTGCGCATTATGGACAGGTAAGTAAAATCAATTAGGAACAGTGTTTTATGCTGGTTGTCCCTGAGACATAATCGCTACAAAATGGGGGGTCTGCACTCAGTGCATCTATTCAGGGTTCCACACCATGTGACAAAAAAAATGTAAGCTGGGCAAACCCATCAGCCTCAGATAACTGAAATGCAAAAAAAAAAAAAGATAACAGGGAGGGCGGGTGTTGCTAAGCTCCAGCACATAAGGATAACAACGTAAACACGCGGATAACCAACAGAAACACATTTCCCAGTGAGAGCGCACTGACGATGCCATCTCCTCCCTACCAGCGGCAACGTGTAACGCAAATGTAGGTTATGCGAGCGGCAGTCAGAGCTGTGCAGAAAAACAACAACACGGGCTCCAGCGGAGTGCACCGCGATAGGCTGCTACTATATGATGCATCCCTTGGATGGTTGCTATATGCCCACTGCGCCATGCAAAAACACCCCGTCGAATGGAACGGGCTGCATTTCTAAATACTATAACATGTAGGTGCTATTTTAAGCATCGCATCACGTTTTGCAGCCGTGCAGCGGTCAGCGGCTTCGTTTTGCGGGTGGAAAATGCAAAGCAAAAAAAAAAAGGGTTGTTGAGATTGTGCGGCACAAACACGGCACATGCCGCCCATATAGCGTGTTGTGATCTGCCCGTTCGCTCGGATCCACCTGCCGCGCGGTTGATAAAAACCCACTACCGTCCAAAATTGCTCGACTTAAGGTGGATTTATTCAAATGAACTGAACAAACCACAGCTGCAGCAAAAAACTAACAATATATGTATGAAAAACATTTCCGAGCCAGTGATATGCAATGAACAAGCGGGAATGACCGAGGCAAACGTGCAATCAGAACAAACAGCCTGCGCCAGGATGGGCCCGGTGCAGGGACAGACACGGCAGCGATCACATCACGCGTTTCATATCTTACAGTTTCCCTGGAGGTCCAGCATCGCTTGGTACCACTCGTTCTGGACATCCTCGCTGTCCGCGGCGATGGCAAAGCTCTCGCTGCGGGTATAAAGGACGATCATGTGCTTGTTCTTGGAATCTGCCCGCTTGTTGATGTTGAAGCATGTCTCCAGGCTGAGGACTTTTTTGGGCACGGGTGATTTACTGCGGAATTTCTTCTCGTTCTCGTAGTACTCGAGCCGAGCAGGACCGTGCTCCGAGGCCGCCCTCAGCACGAAGAACCGCCGGTGCATTGATTTATGCTTGCGGAGGTAGCCGCTTTTCTGCACGTCTTCGTGATTCTGCGGCTCGGCTTCTTGGTTCTCCATGGCCAAGGCAGAGTGATGCATATATGTATGTATATGATGTGCCAATAATCTCAGGGGGAAAAAAACCCAAGCCCATGTGCACGCCTCATTAATCCATTGCAACTACGTCCCTCGTCCTCCCCGCGTCCACATTTAACTGTCCAAGGGTGCGTGCGAAAATCAGCCAAACCATGTTGTATGATCTGGGATCATACTGTGAATCCAGCAGCTGCAGGAGGCTCCGCGCACCGAGCGCGCAACAGCGTCCACCGCCGCTCGTCCTGCAGCCCAACCCAGTCCTGCGCGGCCGAGTCCAACCACGGTGCGATCCGTCTCCTCCACCGGTCTGAGGATGACCACATTCAGTCAATAACCACTACTACTAAGCGAAGGGCAGGGTGGGGGGGGGGGGCGCATACAACGGAACATCAAATGGCGATTTTCACAATTAAACCGGTTTCGAATTGCTGCAGCATAATAGTTTAGCCGGCGTCTCTTTTGTTGACACGTGGAAACACTGACAGTAGGTGTTTCGCTTGTCTAAAACTGGTATTCCAGAGTAAAACCTAATGGTGTCTTTTTATCAACAGCATAAAGGTGCTGATGTCTATTTTGTCATCATAACAACTCAACAGACTTTAACTGTGAAAGGCCCGTTTCCGGTCTCCGTCCGTCGCGCTCTCTCTCTCTGGTGACTTTACTCCAGCTTCTGCTAGACTGGCACCTCCAAGCCGTTGCCAGTCAAATGCCATCGCGTGGTGGGGGGAGGAGGAGGGGAGGAGGAGAGGGGGGAGCCATTGCAAATGTAATCATTTATAGGGAAAAGAATGGAAGGGCGTATAATTATTTATTATTTGGAAATCCAATATCACATTGATCCATACGTTGTATTTTGATGTTTTATGTTATAACATGGTTAAATTTTTTTTTTCAGTTTAATTTAAGATACATCTATTATCAGTGTAAAGATCTTTAGGCAGCTGCCAACTGATTGTCTAGACCATCAGTTCCAGGAAATTCTAGGCTGATGATGACCGGCAGTTCAGCATGAATCCAATTACATCTTTGATAATAATCACAAGTTAAATATACTGTATCATGAAAGCTGATTTCCCTATTGTCAAATTGTTTGGAGTAACAGGCAATAAAAAGACCAATATGGCCCAAGGTTGTGTTGAATCAGGAAAACCTCAAATAAACATGGACCAGATGTAGCAACATTTGCAATGTTTTTGAGACTCAAACACTCAAGAGGTTTTCTTTACGATGTTCTGTGTGTTGCACCGAAGATGCATTATTTAAAAGCTATGCTTGCATTTTCATCCGATTGTTCAAGAACAGAACAAAACACTGTCAAACAAGCCCCAAACGTGTTAGCATCACTCGTTTGCTTGTCCATTAACAGTGAAATGGTGAGGTACACTCCCGATCTTCTTCATTATAATTGAGCGGCGTTTTAAAGTTGCTGATACTTTGGTAGGTATGTCACCCCTTGTTGACAAGCCCTTTATATCATTTTATCTCAAGCTTGTAAAAAAAGACAGATAAAAAAGCCCTAACTCAGAAATGTCAAGAAAAAAAATTGATTTAAGGTGTGATTTACTGGCCATTAGTGAACTGGTGACTTATTTTAATGTAGTTTAATATACAGTCAGGGCACCCTTTGAGATATACACACATATAGAGACACAATTTTCACTAAAACCATCATTTATTTACAGAGACACATTAAGAACACCTCCATTCAGTTTTGATCAGATCAATCTATTTGGCAAATTGATTAAAAATCTAGCAAACGTCGGTCCTACCTATGTGAATGGAAGAATGAAAGGTTCAGACAGCTTTCCCCCTCGCTCCTCATCTCGATTTAGAATCCTGCGTTTTGTTGGGGGTTTAAACATGCTGAAAGAGCCACTGACAAACACTTATTGTTGTGAAAGACTACACCACAAGCAACCTGGCAGTTGTCACGTGTCCATTTATTATCGATGGTAGAAGGGGGTCGGCAAGTGAGCTCCCAAGGGAAAAATGTCCGCAGACCAAAACTGTTTTTTGGAGAGAAAAGAAATCCCGTCTTGACATTGCTTCGATATCAGCGCTGCAGCAGACAATTAGCAAGCCCAAAAAAAGAGTGCTGGAACAATGCTGCTGCCCGCTTCACGAATGCACTGATTAAGTCTTTGTTTTTTTGCCATCTCCTTCTGTGTCGAGTGTTTAGGGACCAAAGCAGACAGAAAAACACCACTAAAAAGTCCCTAAACCTGGAGGACCGAAATACAAACTAACTATGTACAAATTTACAGTATGTACACACCCCCCCAAGCCAAACAGAAATGACTCAGAGGACTATCTCCTCCCCGTTTTATGAGTATGCTTTCCCCCACATGTTCTGCACAATTCTCTGGGGCCGGGCACGGGAGCGACTTAGTGAACATGTATTCTCTCAGGAACTTCATACACAGCCGCTGTGTGGGATCCCAGAGAGCCAGACGAGAAAATAATGGGCAAAGAACTCAGGGCCAGACATATCCCTCTACAAGCGTGCGCTACACATGAGAAGGCTCAATCTGCTGAAGCACATCACTGGAGATAAGACTTACAGCCATTCAGACCCGGTCATCATGCACATCAGTGCGCTGCAGAAATACTGTGTGTGACAGAAATCAGGTCTTCCCATTGCTGGCCTATTTAAGAGCCTGTTAAACACGCAGCTGTGCAGCATGCTTCAGGAATAGGCTACATGTACTTTAGGTGAAGCAATAATGAAACTGCATTTTAGGTTACAGTATCTCAAAGATGTGTTTTTTTTCTTCTTTCTATATTGTTCTAATAAATTATATAAACAAACCAGATCATTTGTTTGACACATTTGAACCATTTCTGGATTATCTGTCTTCATTCATGCTAATGTGTGTGATGCAGAGTAACGATGCAAACTTAATTAACCGCTGATCATCAACTTTAGTTACTGGGAAAAGTTTTCAACGTACTAATTAACCCGAGTTGTGATAAAAGGCTGTTGCTTTGAAAGTGAGTGCTCCATTTTGCCCCAGATGAATGCAATAGCATCTCCAATAGCTTCCGCTCTCGAAATGTTTACGATAAAATGTCTCCATCATCTCTACAAAGCACAAAGATTAGTACAAATACGTAAAAATGTATAAGTACAAATACATACAGTACTTGAAGTACACCAGTATTACATGTTATACTGTTAACAACTCACCATAACAATCCCTTCTTGCTTACCTCTAAGTCTTAGGATCTGTCATTCAACCTCGAAATGCATATCATGCTCTATGTATACTCTATGTATAATACAGTCTCTTTTTGAACAAATATAAGGACAGTTGCATTTTTTTACAATAACAATTGTTTCCGTATAGAAATGATTTGCAGGGTGTGTGAAATCCTTCGTTAGTGATGCCGGATTTCATTTTGAGTGGAGCAGAAATTATAACAGGTTTTGCATTCGCAACTTTTCCTTCAGGAATCGCTGTGTGTTTTTCACTGAAAAACCATGCTGATCTAGAAAGTATCACATTTCATCCTGGGATATTAGTAAAAAAATAAAAGACAGCCTAGCTCATCTTCTTCTGTCGATCCAGGAATTTTTGTCGTCTGTCAAGAGGTATTTCCTCTAAAGCGATACCATGATTGGCTCCCCTGAAACAGGAAATATAGTTTTTTATTCACAGACTTGGACAAAGTGAGAGCAGAGCACGACATGCCATTCGCACTGTCTTTTGATTATGTTAGGATTATTGTCCTAAAGTAAAAATGTAAAGCACAGACGAAATCAGGCAAATCACTTCATCGCATATGTGATGGACACATCCTTACCCTGCAAGGTCGGGAGGAATAGGCAGTGGCTTGTCGAAATCCTCTCTGCCTACCAACCAATATGTGTACTCAATCCCCTTTCCCTAAAACAGACAACCATCAGAATTCATTAGCTATTGTTGCAATGTTGCCGTTACTATGGGCACATTGTGAAAGCAATTCTATTGATGTTACCTTTAACTCTGTCAAGCCTCTGGTTTGAATTTTATATCCCAAGTCCAAGCTGTTCAGAACATCGACGGTCCTTTTGTTGACATGGATTCTGTAAGCTATGATGAAAATGACAGAAATACACGGCAACATTTACACACTGATGTTGCTTTGATATCGGTTGAACATGTAAAATCTGTGTTGTCTTTGGAACGTTAAGGTTTAAAATTGTGGTATAAATAGTGCGCTGTCATTTGGTGTCCAGCCACTTGGTGGCAGCCGACTACCCATTGGTACTATACTTAATACTGATGCTATTAGCATCCATTCATAACTGTTATTTTAGCAGTGGTCAAAGAAGTATTCAGATTCTTTACTCAAGTATAAATACACACATGAATATAATCAACAAAAGGTTATTGTTCTGTGTTCAAAACCATTCTAAGTATTTAACAATTACCAGCCAGATTCATTTAAATGAGGAAGTATTTGTAGTAGTAGTAAATGTTAGTTGTCGGTATTTTACTATTAAATATTATGTCAATTGGACAATTATTACTGCTCCATATAAGTGTATGTTGCATTGTACTGCTGCAGATGGTAATGCTTGTGTTAATGCAATGCATCAGATTCAATAACATCATGTTTGCAGTGTTACTGTCCTGTACGAAACATGCATTTCTATAATGCCTATAAAGGCTATAAAGAATTAAAAAAGGCTGTTTGATGATGTATTTTTCAGTCGAGGCTATTTATTTAGCTGAAGTTATAGAAAAAAGTTCTCAAGAAATAAAAAATAAAAAATAATAATAATCAAATAATTCAGCAGCAACTAATCTTTCAAACAAATGTGGCAAAAAAATTGAATTTCTTAAATTAGTGCTGAGTGCTTAGTACTAAGTTGTACATTAAATTAGACTTCCACTGATCAAATGCAACAGCATTTTTTTACAGCATGATTGATGATCAAATAGAAGAGTTTTATTCCTAAACATCTAAACATAGGTTAAGTGTACTTAGAGGTTAATATGTCAGTTCAAACTTAATTTATCCTGCCTGCAGAGCGGAATCAGACCCGGTCACTGACGTAGACATTTACATCGAAACTTCAAATTGACCTCTACTTCTACTGATAGCCTTAAAAGATTAGCAAGGACTGCTCGCTTAAAGCCCCATTTCAGCTCAGGCAGCATGCACACAAACTACGTACTCTGCACCGCCATTCAATAAAAAAAAGAGATGAGGAGAAGAGGAGATCCGTCCGGTTTACATGACGAGACACTCACGCAACCCCGTGGACTCCATTCGAGATGCCGTGTTGACGGTGTCTCCAAACAGACAGTACCGAGGCATCGTAAGACCCACCACTCCCGCTACCACTGGGCCTGCAAGCACACACACACACACACACAATGAAGCTTCTCACAGGCAAGCAGTACATCAGAGCCCTTTTTGGGCAGAATTTCTTTGTTCATCTTAGACTCTTTATTTCAATGAAAGTATGCAATTATTTTTCTGAAACAAAACATTAAAGCTCTGAAGCGCCAGTTCTGTGTGCACAAAGAAATCTATAGAAAGAGTTAGAAATCTAAAGTATGCAGTGTGTTAATTGGATGACAGCGCTCTAAGAGGATAGCGTGTCACTGTTCCACAAAGTTCCAGACAAGGATAAAGGAGGTAAAAATACCTCTTTGCCTCAACAGCTTGGGCCCCTGTACTCTCATTCCCTTCCAACGTATACATTTTTTTCTCACTCAAGAAGGAGGTTTTACATTATTTCATGCCATGTTAGCCATTCCACATGTATGTGACTCTCATGAAAGTAATCACCCGTGCAACGAGCAAGTAATCACAGCACAGAAAGGATGGACATCTCACCAGAGTGCAGGCCAATGCGAATTCTGACTTTCAGGTCAGGCATGTGCCTCATCTTGAAGGTCCCGATGCAGTGGAGAATGTCCAGAGACATGTTGGCCATCTCGGCTGCATGCCGGTTGCCATTCCTGGTGGGGACTCCTGAGGCGACCATGTAGGCATCTCCGATGGTTTCCACCTTAATGAAAAAAACACATACACACACGTTTTACTCTCGCCCAGTCTTTTTGGAATTATCGTTGTGTATTTCTAATTTATCACTTTTAAATCATGGCCAAATTTGTATTTATTCAGCTTTAAATATACACAGAAGCAATCAAAAAAGTTTGGACACATTTTCCCATTCAAATACACACTATTTTTCTATTATTAGTTCACCGCATACGATTCTCTTGATAAACAGTGGACATAAATCGAGGTGGCACATGTTTTCCTGGATCGTATCAGATTCAGGAGAATTAAAACATGATGTAGAGAATCCTAGCTCTCACTCTTGTAAAAACTGTGACTGAAAATACACATAGACCGTAAGCGAAGTATAATTGTTCCGATATCGAGGCGCTCGTCCTTGTGATACACTCGCCTTGTAGACATCATGCAGTCCGATGATGGCATCGAAGAGTGTGTAGAGGTCGTTCAGCAGGTCGACCACCTCGATGGGATCGCTGAGAGCTGAGATGGTGGTGAAGCCCACGATGTCACTGAAGTACAGCGTGACCTCGCTGAAGTGCTCGGGCTTCACTGGCTTGCCCGTCTTCAGCGCCTGGGCCACAGACCTGGAGGAGGAGGAAGAAGAAGAAGAGGAATGGACGACACTGCTGAGTTGCTGAAGAAGAAACAGTTTTGAGATTAAGTTTGGGACGGCTTGAAGTAATCGTACGTCTTCTTGGTTATCCCAAACAGATTTTTAAAAGACATTTGACGGCAGTTCCTTTCTCTTATTGATCAATGCAAACGGGGTGTTTTACACACAATGACAGCAGGGTGTGACTGTCCTCTCTATGTGTGTAGATAACTATTAAATGCAGGAAGGCCACCTCTCTTTGGCAGATACATAGCCGTGCACATGTATTCACCTGCTTGCAATGTTGTTGCATAAAAACCTTTAGATCTTATGTAAATAAGTCAAAAAGTGAAATTCTAACATAAAATTTTAAAGATAAAACAGATTAAAAAAACTTTCAAAAGTGGTGTGTGCTTATTTGTTCACAATCTCTGCTATGAAGACCCTAAATATTGCTCGGGATGCTAAACCCCTTCAAAAGCCACATCACATATCACATGATTTAACAGAGTAGCATTAAATCCATTTCCAGAGTAGCATTAAATCCATTTCTCTATTTGAACATGTAACTGCAACTAACAAGAGAGGAACAAGAAACAACTGAAGCCACAGAGCCGGGCTCCATGGAACAGACCAGAAAACGAAGCATTAAGGAAAAACACATTTTGTGGTTTGCCAAAAGTATGTGCGAAACTCCAAATAAGTTCATTTATTTTATTATCTTTTCTACTTTTTTGCTCTTTGATTAACGGCATCTTGCCCCGTTCTGGTTTGGTTCTCTCTCGGCATGTTTGTTGTGATGGCAAATTCTTTACATTTTATAATAATAGATTTAATGGTGCTCTGTTAGATTATGTCACACTTAAAGTGAACATAGGCAGACTCTATTCAACTAATGACGGGATGTGATGTTATTCTGGGCAAATTCTAACATGACACTCTGTGACAGACGATCATACAGGAAAAACAACGGTGGATTGTTTGCTCATCTTGAGGCAAATCATGTTGTGTTGCAAATGTGTTTTCTTGATGATATAACTTAAACCCATTATTGGTTTCTCTAAAAAAAAAAGAGGTTTTAGAAGCAGAGCTGGGCACGTTAACGTAGCAATCCATTGACTCCGACGTTGGTTGCATCATGCGTTAACAGCCTTTTTTCAGCAGGGAATTAACACGGCTGCGCACATTAACCGAGAAAATGGAGAAAGGTACTTTAAATGGACACTTTCATTTAAAAATCTCTACCAGACAAAGGAGTCGATAAAAGCAAAGCTATTTGTAACCACTGCAAGTATCTTCTCACCGGAGTACTACGAGGGTGAAGTACCACTTAAAGGCGTTACGCAGCCAACGCAAGATCAATTTAGGGGAATGGTTAAAAAAAGCTGTTGTTAAAAGCTCAACCTGGATCACTGATTATCAGTCATTATCAAACATCACTTTTTTTTCTTTGACTGAGATTCTCCAAAGGGAATCCATATATTTTACAGACTAAGTCTATTGCACAGTAAATGTCAGCTGTGTACTTTACTTGTGCTGGACCGCTTTACCTCACAGGGATCCTTCCTCTCGACATATGACGTATGCAGCATAACTGCAGCCATATGTCTGGTAGGAAAAAATGTAAAACATGGCAAGAGAAAGAAATACAGATCTAGAAGAAAAATTCAGAAATATATTGTGACTAATTTGAGTTTATGTTGCCCTGCTCAAGACGACGACAGCCCCAATCAAATCAGTCCCACAATATTTTTTATGGTGCCGTAACTTCCCTGGTACTTGTTGAGTTAAATCCCTGCAGAATACCTCCCACCTCGACAGTGAGTCAGGTAGCAGCCACTCTGCCTAACTGCCCCCACTACCGTCCGTGAGGCCGCCTCTGACCTTTGACCTCCCCGAGGGAGCAAAAGTGGAAATGATGTTGTAATAGTTTGATGGTCTTTTGTGTTTTCTGCCGTGTGTTAGGTGAAGGTGCTGGACACTCACTTGGGCAACATCTGAGCCACCAGTTTGTCCGTCTTCTGCCTCTCCACCTCCAGTTCCTCCGTCCTCTCTCTGATCAGGTCCTCCAGGTTGGAGGAGTACTGCTCCAGCATGCGCAGCATAGAGTCAATGATGTTGGTCTTCTTTCCTTTGGTGATGTTCTTGAACTGTCACAAGAAAAAGAAGGAACAGGACTAACATATACAGCTTGCTACTTTCACACAACACTCAAGTAGATGTAGATGTGGATCAACACTTCTTTTCTGTGTTTTTACCAATTTGAAGATCTCCTCAAAGGTCGGCCTCTTCTCTGGCTCTTCACTCCAGGAGTGTTTCATTACCTGTACCACCTCCACTGGAGACTGTTCCACAGACAGGACAGGTCGACACAATGGAGGAGGTTCTTTGAGCTTGCTGATAATCTCTGTCAACACACACACAGACAGATTTTACACATGCGCACACAGAAATGCACAAAAACAGAAAAAATCTGTCAAAAAATCTTCATTTTCATTGTTTCTAATTTGACTTTGTGCTCCCAATTTGTGGCAAGTAACCAACATTGTCATTCGTAATAAGCTAACATCCAGGCAGCATTTCAGAAATTGTTAAAATATTGTATTAATATTGGCCATTTGTTGACATCTCAGTATGAATTGTTTTTTGTGAGGTGAGTGGAGAGCAGAAAAAAGAATGTTGTTATCCCTGCAGGTGGAGAACATAAACGACAAACAATTCCAAATAGAAACTGAGCAAAAGTATTACAAATATTCCTAGATATTTTGCATATAGCCTCCTACTACTTCCCAGCATTCTTTCGTTTACCCATCCTTTGGGGTTACTAATCTCACATCACTCACCCTTGGGCGGCATGTCCAGCATGCAGTAAGGTGAAGAGCGGGAGATGACCTCCTGCCCGATGATGGAGAAGCTGTAGACGTCCCCAGCAAAACTGCCCCTCCTCCTGAGACTGGCGCTTCTAAGCAGCTCAGGAGCCGTCCAAAGGAGATCTTCACAAAGAAGTAAAGAAAGAAAGTAATAAATACACAAAATATCGATAGATTGACTGAAGGAGTCTGTGGATGTTCATCAACTCACTTTCTGGCCTTTCGTCATCACTGTCAATGCCTTGGGCTATCAAAATCTCATTGAACCCATAATCTGTCACCTTCAGTACAAAGCGCCCGTCTACCACACAGTTACGGGATTTGAGGCGTCCGTGTATGATGCCGCGGTTGTGCAGGTACTTCATTCCCTGATGACAGTTTGGGGGAAACGTTTGAGTAATAAGGCAATGTGACAAGACTGTGAAAGGAAAGGCGTGTTGGTCATTTTGTCTCTCTTACCCGAATCAGGTCGATTAACAGGGAAGACTTAAACATCCAGTCAAGACGCACTTCCTCATTGTTGAGCAGATTTTCCAAGCTCCCTCTGGTGCAGTGCTCGGTCACAACGGCAAGGATCCCAGAGTCGCAGAACAGACCCAAGAACAGGTTGAGGTTCTCGTGCCTCATGTCCCTGAGCTGATTGAAGGACATCGCAAACATTGATGCATTTTATAGTGCCCAGGGACTAGTGTGTACTTTGGGATTTTCTGGAATCAATGGCGACTTTTGGGACATAGACTCATCTCACCTACCTTGACAAAGACAAACTCGGTGCTGCTGTTTACAGCCGATACAGTTCCACCAGCGCATTTCTTCAACCAGACCCAGTCGCCCTTGGACAAACACAAAAGGACACTCTTTGTGAAACCAAAAACAGGAAAAAAAAAGGTAAATAGGAGTTGGCCGGATGTGTCAGTCATCTCACCTCATACACGGCAACATTGGAGCTGTCCGGTGTGGACGCCATGTAGCTGCGACCGGACACCGAGTGTTGAGGTGTCTTAAAATCAACCTGGCTTTTCAAGATACTTTCGTCATTGATCTTCTGCTCACACAGACACAGGAAGAGGATGGGGAAACTCGTCATGTTCTACAAACGATTGTGCATCATACACTTGCAAGGCAGAGAAAGGCAAAACCAGAAAGTACAGCCAGAGCTCCAGCAACAACTGACCCTTTTGCTGATTTGAGTGTTAATGAAGATAAGGTCGTCCAGGGTCAGAATGACTTTTGTTGATCCACCGTTACTACCTCCAAAGTTGAGCCCAATCCTACCACTTCTCCTGGACAACAGAAAAAACATAAAACCATCAGTCATTCTCAGAGATCACACAAGACCGCACTGGATGAGATATGATGCACATACTTGAGACTAAGGAAGAAGTTAGCTGCGCATCCAATGACGGCAACAATCACAAGGAGAATGAAGAAGAAAGTGACCGTGTCCAGGCCTTTGGGAGGAGAAGAAAAACACAAAGACGGCATGAATGCACTGAATTATTCAGCAGTGCACAAGTTTGCTATGCCCATTTCCTGCAATGAGAATACTTCTACCCTCACCTCCGGTACAGGCAAAGTATGGGCTAAACCAGCAGCCTGAGTCTGTGTAGGGCGTGCTGCCCGCGAAATGGATGGAGCGGCCGAGGTATTTCAAGCTCCCGACGCCTCCATATGTATGAGTGGCATCCAGAACGTGAGTGGAGTAGAGATGGTGGCCGAAACCACTGTAGTCCAGCACCACATAGCGAGCCTGCATGCCTTCACCTTCCCGTCCAGCCTTCAAGGGTTGATTGAAGCCTTCAAATTCAAAGCCGCCCTTGCTTTCACCCAAGACCGGACCGGTTACCCAGCGGCCTCCGTCAGCGCGAGCCTGCTCAGCCGCCATGGCCGTGTAGTAGATCATGTTGTAGATGGTGCCAAAGAATGGAGAGACCTTCAAAGGAGACATTAATGTGAGAATTTTATGGTATTCTCTACTTTCAGATGTGCCATATTTGTAAATGATCCATCGCTATTCACAAAAGTAGCACACAATTTTCACCTGTTCTGGTGGGGTGGTGCTGCGGATTTCAAAGCTGTCCTGAGCGTCTTTGAAAGCCTCGTAGAAATTACGTTCTCCAGAGTCCACAGTGATGGTGAGCACTCCGTCAAAGGCTTTGCGCAGCTTGGTGTCATTGCCGAGCACATAGTAGGGTGCGTCCTTGTAGGGCAGTGAGTACAGAAGGGTGTCGTAGGGGATAAACACGTAGCCACGGTCGATCATGCGCATTAAAAAGGCTGTTGTCAGGAGCTGGTACTGGGCTTGGCCGCCAATCAGGACAGAGGGCATGCACATAATCACCACTGTGGAGAGAAGAGGGATTAAAATCAGATTCATTTGCATGATTCGTGCGGATAAAAAGAGTGTGGAGGTGGTTTCAGTGATGTTGTTTGTGGTTTTCTCACCTCTGACCCGGTCTGTTTCCCGCACTTTCGCCAGTGCTCTCCGAGGCCCTTCCTTGTCGGACTCCATGGTCACCACGGGGTTGACAGGCAGGCCAAGGGCCCTCAGTGACGAGGCCAGCTCCTGTCCTGTGGCCTCCCATATGTCGGTTTCCTCAGAGATTATGGCCACATGAGCCCACCTAAAGTATCGCAAAACAGAGAAAAGCACACGGGAGGACAGCGGCAGCGGCCGCAGGAAGTTGGAATACATCCCCAATGAATTCATGTTGGGTTTGAGGCAAGCCCATGAAAGAATCCCCACGTCCCACTCTTTTGCATACAAAGCGGCTGAGGAGCAGTAGCCTGGGTTGGCAGGGCCCAGAAACGCAGCACCGTAACCTTCCAGCCCGGCAAAGCGAGCCAGCGCCCGGGAGGACTTGCAGTCCTCGTTGACCAGCGTGTAGTCATACCAGTAGCCTTTGTTGAGGTGGGGGTCCTTGTTTATGCGGGCCGTGGCGAGGCGGGCTGCCAGGTCAGGAAGTGCTTTGGAGTACAAGAGGTCACATGTCCAGGGTCCAACCAGGGCCACCTTGAAAGTGGTCGCCCAGGCTTGACAGGGTAGAAAGGAGAACACGAGCAACGGCAAAAGGAGCCAGTTCCCACAACGGCTCCTAGAGCGCTGCACGGGGCATGATGGCAACTGTGGTTTTAACGACGAAGCTGCTAATGATTTAAACGCACTATGTCCACGGCAACTGTTTGCAGACGCTGTCCGTAAGCGTCCTTTTCTCTTTACTTTCATTGAGTCGTGCTGCCATCGCGGGTGGTAGGACAGGTTGTGAAGAAAGCGAGGGTCTCTGTGACTTGCCATTTTCCTCTCACAGCTATGCTTGACACACAGCAGGGGAGTAGAGAGTTGGTGGGGATTAGCGTGACAGTGAATGTGTCTTCGTGGATGGGACTTTTTCCTTGGCACTCTGCGGGCCTCTAGTCCAAAACTGGAAAGGCGACGAGATACCCCCAAGTCATCACTGCCTCAGGTGGAGAGGAAAAAACAGGTGCAATTAGAAAATGTGTTGCTTATCAATTAAACGTGGGTCAACTTTTGCTTCTCAGGTTCTGTGACACAAACAAGGATACCTTTGGGGCTTATAGGACCCGTCTACAATCCCTGACCTGAACTTGGATCGTGTTGAGCGGTGTGTTTAACAGAAAGCGATGTTGAATTGTGTCAGATTCCATCTGTCTCACTGAACCAGTGCTGTTCCTTAATGGCTTGTGTGGCAAGCTGATAAGCTCTGCTGGGCCCATGGAGTTTAAAAATCAAGTGCCAGGTAATGTGGAGCTAAATCTGGACTCGATGTCTCCATTTAGTCTTGTCATCTCGTCTCCCTTCAATAGTCAATCTCTTTCTTTAGATTTCCTAAGCCATCGATTTATGGGTTATTTTCCCCTTTTAATCTTTACAGCAGCATTTTAATATGTAGTTCCTGCAGAAATATGTCAATAAATTATGTATTGATGGAGTTGAAACTGAGGGTTTAGGGTTAATAAAAAAAAACATAGTCAAAGCCTGTTGAACTTCAAAACGTAACAAAATCAAGAGACTTTATTGCTGGAAACGAGAACGCTTAAAAATCAGGCCAAAGCTATATTCGATGAATTTATTGCATGCAAATACACTAACTTAGACTAACTTCTAAATATCAAAGAACAAGCTTCTGACCATAATCTCTTGAGTTAGACAACTTCAGAACCAATACAACCTGGCAATTAAGGGGGAAAAAAAGTCCTGTCCTGTTTGTAACTGATACACAAACATAGCTGTTTTGACAAACACTAAAAGGTGTGGCTAATGTCAAAATATTACTGAATGACATTGATTGCTAAGCCAAAGGCCCAACCAGCCTGTCAGTGGCATTAGTGGCAGATAATGTTGAATTCAGAGCATTGCTTCTAGTTTAAGTTTAGGTTAAAGACAGTTCAGCTTGAAAGAAAAAAAAATGTCCCACCAAAATAATGCTGGCTTATAAAGAGAATTAAAAGACTTGAAGTTGAGAACATAGAATACTGAGAAATCCCCCTTTGGTGAAACAATGGTGGATGACAAAAATATCCTCAATCTTGTGCGTGTTGTCCTCTGTACACATTAGAGCCTGACTTAAACTGGATTTGAATCAAACCAACATTGAAATGTGAGAATCAAATGGTTTTATACATAAAACATGGCGTAACACATATCTTGTTGTCGATTCCTTTGATTATTTAAAGAAAATGAATCAAAAATTATAAGTATTCATTAAGTGGAACATTTTACAACTAAAGCATGAACTTGTAAAAGACTGCAGTCTCTTGTTCTTCATTAACTGACAAAATATTGATAAATCTCTGCTAATCGGCCCATTGACAACACGGCTGATTTATCCATCAAGTTCTAGTTTATATGAGTTTACATGTTAAATGCAAAATCAAAATCTAACAGCTTAAATAAGTTTTACAAACTACAAATAAAATAAATAAGATAAATAAATAATTTAAAAAATAAGTTCTATGTAAAATAAGTTTTACATAGAACTTATTTGTAGCTGGCAGCAGTTTAAAAATGACATTTCAACGAGGTACACTGCTGATTTGAGTCTGTCTTCAAGCAAGCGGCGACCTAAAGCTACTAATAAGGTCATCAGCTTATCGGTCCGTAATAGGTTAAGAGTGCCACTGGTTTCCATGTTGGCTGTGTTCTAAAACGCTGAGTAAAGTGCTGAGAATAAGAAACAAGTACAACCGTGTTATCAGAATGCTTCATACATTTCATGAATAGTGTTACTTTCGTTAAGGAGAGACTGGACAAGCCTTGGCGTTCCAACAGTCTCACCTTTGATTGAGCAGCTCTGCTGCAAATAATAACTACAATGGCTACAATGATAACTGATAGTGGTGAATCAATGATAACACAATTCAATAAAACAGATTAAATAAGAGACAGCTCTGACCTGGAGCAGTTTCACTACATACTGTAGGAGCCATGTCGATGTTGGAGCCTGTGGTTTAATAGCGGAATCCAAACTCCAGGTGGATTAAGTGTACGGGAGCAACCGGCAGGAACAGTGATCCTCGTCCTTTTACTGGGAAACCATATCATAGGTAATCCAAATAGTGTGGAGAGTAAAATAATAAATAATAATTATCTCTTCTTGCATCCAAGCTCCTCAAAGACAATACTGAAAATTTAAAATCCCCACGTTTCCGCTAGTTGCATTACCGCTTGATGACCCTGTTCTAGACTGGGTCTTACCCCAAACCACAGAGGGACAGTGCATGGGAACAGGTAGAAGTCCCGATCCAGTAGCCGGATTGTTAAAAGCTGTCCGAAAGCTGTGGAGAGGTAACAGGTAAAAGAAAGGTAAGAGTGGGAAGGACTGACGAGCTTTGACTTCTCAGCCCTCTTTAGCTTCTAATCCACACAAGTGTGGGAAGAACATGTGTGGGGGAGGGCTGGTGGAGAGGAAAAAGAAGGTGAAAGTAGAGGTGGATTCACTCTGGATCCTTTGCACAAGAGCGCAAATTTAGGAACAGATGTAGGAACTGTACTTTTTAAAGACATTTTTTTATAAGGTACAGCTTCAGTACAGGTTTTTTTGAGCTAGACATACATGAGATACACACATAAACATTGCCTTTGAAATAAAGCTAATTTCATGCATACCTTGAGAAACGCTCTATTCTCTATAGAGCTGGGTATAATGTACCCAAAACAACAACAAAAAAAGAAATATGCATGCAGAGCAGAACAAAGAAAACCTTTCTAAACTTTATAACGTATATCAGATGGCTGGGTCAAATTATAGAATTGAATTTTAATCACCTGAACGTTGAACCTGGTAAAGGGATTAAGACGCCTCTTGAATGAATTCCTTGTGGATTGGTCGATTATTTAATAGATTTGTGACCTCCCTCCTTTTGGGCTTCAAGTTCTGGACAAGATAACAGTTAGAGATTAAATGCATCTTACATAGTAGGGAGTAGGGCTAATAAAGGGGTAAGAACTATGTGAACTTGAGCCCAGGGCTCAAAATATCTTGCAGTAAGCTACTCAAAGTCTGCTGTTGCTCTTTTGACCTCGCGCAGGTACAGTTCACTGCAGCTGGAATTTCAGCCTTTGAGGGGGGGGGACTTTCCATTTGAAGGAAAACAACATCATTAAAATACATAAATGCTCACAAAGAATAGTATGAACGCATCCAGCATGGCCTCGCTGACCTCAGCTGAGCTTTTTTCAAGAAGGTTCCCTACATGTGGGAGAGTGACAATGTGTTTGTTTTTGTGTCCTGTCTTGTGCATGGATGGCAGCCTCTCTGAAGTAATCAGATTAGTCAGGTGGGGATGTGCTAAACTGATCTGCTGCCTGCAAGCCTCTTAAAAGTGACATGGCTAACGGCACTGACGGAGATCACTTGGAGGCAAGGTCAGACGCACAGGAGGCCCAGCTGAGCAAAGAACCAGCAGCTGCAGAGCAACACTGAAAGGCACTGACAGCAGCATAGCAGCACTTCTGACCATTGTTATTTCACTCTTAATGTTATCAACCAGCAACCAGTCATGTGAACATGCCAAATGCAGACACGCTCACTTTTTTTTTCTTTTTTGAGTGAATCTATCAAAACTCTATTGTCACATAACTGTCTTTGGCAACTGCTTCTCATTGGTCACATGACTCTGAAAGCTGTCATGTGATTTGACGATTAATAAGTTCATCTCTCTTGGAATTTTTTACTTTCTACGGAGAAGCTGTTTGTCTAAGTTAATTAATCAAATACTGAAAAAAAAATCCCGTGGGAGGAGCGATAAAGAAGCTTAGACATTTGACTCCTCCATGACCCCACGTAATTAATCAGGTGAATTCAGCCTTCAGCGACAACATTCGTCTTTCCAGCATCATCTGGTGAGAGACGTGGGCAAGCAGGGAAGCTTCTATGAATAGTCTGTTGATTAGCATTACAAGTGACTTTATAGTAATGAAAATGACAATGCTATACAATAACGACAATAACATCAAGCTGTTTCTATATGTGACATCCTCGGGATGCCAGATTCCCTTATGACACTAGACAAGGCTAAAGGCTGAATGTGGCTTCACCGCCCGCTTCTTAAGAGCCAACGGGCCGGGAGGCCGAGGCTGCATCGCTGGGCCTTCTGGAGGGGAGCAACACGCGGGTCAAATCTGCTGATGCTAACCTCCTGCAAGGCTCTAAGAGCCAAAACCTTGGGTGAGTTATTATTATTGTCATTATTATTATTATTATTATTATTAGAAGATCTGTGACAGCTCAGTGCACATGCATGCAGAAAATCTCAGATGTTTTGTCTCCCACCAGAATGGCTATAAAACTCTATAACAAACAAACCAAAACCTTTAAGAAACAATAAAAGAAAGGTATCAGCTTTGAAGCTCTAGAAGAAAAATCATTTAAATACACAGCAAAATATCTACTGAATAATAATCAGAATACTGGCCAACTGTCAACAGATCAGTTGACAGTTGGCCCTTGTTTATATGAACTCAGCCAGTATGACACCTTATTAATATTCAGTAGAGAAGTAACAAGACCATCGTACGTCAGAATGGTATCATCAGAAACACAGATTGAACAATGAACAGCACCGTCACTAACTCAATTATTCTATGACAGACCTCATGACGCTATGGAGAAAAATCATCAGATAACATCATTAGATTTCCCCTGACGTGATTCCTCGACTTACCGCTTAATTTAAGTTTAGTTGCGCTTCATGCCGTACGTTGTTGAGTTCATGGTCACCCGTAGACGAGTGTGCTCCAGTGTTATTTCTATATTTCGGAAATATAGATAAAGGAAATATTTTAAACAAAAGCCAATTTGCAGAGTGACATTTGGACATTCAAAGGTGCAGCTGGCAGCGGCCGGCGAGCTGCAGCGCCCTCTGTTGGTTGATTTGTTACCTAAAAAAAACCGATGGACGGCTAATTCTCTGCAGATAATCATCTGTTAAATGACACCCTTTTTGTCCATTACGTCTCAGAGGGGAAATATAATTCTCTATATAATATAAACTGCTCCTTTGCAGGGAGTTTGAAAGCAGGGTGAGGTTTGTGTTCCGTCTGACAGCAGCATGCAGTGATGGGTGGAGCAGGACGGGAGGAGTGCGAGGGAAACGTTCTCACATCCTCTAACATTTATCCAACATTGTTTCTGAAGGGAATCCTGTTCAGTCAAGAGCTCTGAGTCACAATGTCATTCACTGACAAGCTGGCCGTCATCGGGGGATTTACTGTGGTCTTCCAGCTGCTGAGACTGGCCTGGAGGTGTTGGTGTGGATTTAGACAATTTGTTTTGTCAGAGCTTTGGCATGTGGATTTAAAGACCTATGGGCAATGGGCAGGTAATGTCAAAGAGAATCGACGCTATGATGTCTTACAAGTTGCTTTTGTAGCTAAACAAAATGTTGACAGTGCAAGATTTACGGGTTTGAGGAGCATTTTAGAAGACGGGGTTGCACGATGCGAGTCGTAGCCCCTTCACAGTACACCAAAGGTTTGGGATCGAATGAGATAAAACTCTTCTATTTAACGACTCGGGGCCCAAAAGAAAGCTACCAAAAAGATTTAGTCCAAATGCTCTAATGTGGCTCAATAATGATCTAAGGTGACTGCTTGATTGGCCTTAACCTTTAAGTCTCTGAGGCCGATTTAGATATCTTTTCTTTAAAGATATTTATATCAGAGTGTATTATGGGGAGAAATTGTAATCTATTTTCTCACACTAATTATTTATATAATTAAAAAGTCTTATTTAGCAAAAACTACTTCAAATGTGGATTATACATTTGGTTTCTTAATTATACTCCTTTTGTAAAAAGTCCATATTGAAGGAAATAAGAAAAAACATCAATACATCGGATGGCTAAACTGAATATGATCGGTTCTGAAGCAGGGGAGTGAACCCCAGAGATGTGAGACTATTTGGATATTCTTGCAACAATAACTTTCTTTAGCAGCACCAGACTTCCTTTCTGCGAAACGGATTTGATAAGATGTTCACATTCCTACATGATGGGACATTTCCGTCTTTTTGCCTTCAGTCCTCTACAGGCACATCAGCGTCTGGTCAGTTCCCCATTTTCCTAAGTTAAGTTGTTGCAGTTATTTCCCCTCTCCTGACGAAAAAGAAATAATTTTGACCCAAAATATGTAGAGACATAGAAAAAAAGTATGATAAATATGCGGTAATAAAGAACCACCTGCAATAGAAGAGAGAGTTTTCTCTCACTACACTTTCCTCCTCTTCTTACATCTCTTCTCACAAGGTTTTCCATTTTCCACTCTGCAAAATCAGAAAAATGGGTCCATATTTTTGCAGTACTGGTTGAGGAATTTAGCACTAGAATATATCAATATATTGGCGCAAAGAATGAAAGGTATATTGCTACTTACAATAGCAGGTGTAATATTCAATTTTCAACCGTTACATAATACAATTAAAGTCAAAGTAGTAGTCAAATCAACATCTTGTAAACTTCTGTCATGACATAATAAATAAATGAACGATAAATAACTCTGAAATGAGATTAAAATTGATGGCACTAACGTTTGTGTGCTTTCTTTGTTTGTGCAGTTGTCACTGGTGCCACATCTGGCATCGGCAAAGCTTATGCCCGTGAGGTGAGTCTCCAACACACCACTAAAACCATTCTCTCCAAAGTCCCAGTTATGAGCCAGAGAGAGTATTTATTTCAGATTGAGTGCTTCAGATCCAATGCAGAGTGTTGTTGTTGGTTTAAAAAGTCAACATACTTGTCTTCAATGTCTCTTCCTAGCTGGCACAAAGGGGCCTGGATGTGATTTTGGTAAGCAGATGTGACGATAAACTTCGAATGATTGCCAAAGAAATAGGTGAGTTATCAGAAAACAAAACAGCTGATTCTGTTGCTGCAGCCAATGCGGAGGTTTACTAAAACTTGCGTTCTTTATAATGGACATCAGGGGGCGACTCTGCAGGTTGTTAAGAAATAATGTAAAAATTAATGAACGAATGCACGAATGAATGAAAATGAAATAAAGGCTTCAAAACTGCAGTTAGTTGTCCACAAACCAACGGCGATGCCTCAGTGACGATGTTCACTTCTTATGCGCTTTATGGTTTTTCAATTACAGTTAACAAATTTGTCTTTCCATTTACAACAGAGGAACAGTACGGACAAAAGACTCGCACCATCCAAGTGGACTTCACAGACAGCCAAAGAATCTACCCTGCTATAGCTAAACAACTAGAGGGACTGGAGATCGGGATTCTGGGTAATGGGACAACTAATGACAGAGAACAAGAGAAGTACTAGGAAGTTATTCAGATGCTTTAGAAACAAAGACACGCTGAAAGCAAATACTCCCAGAACATTGACAGAGGAAAGCTGCTGTTTATTGGAGTGATTTATTTCTAAAAATGTGGAAACAGTTTAATTCCCGCCCCTTTTGTACTATGATTGAGAATGACCATCAAACGTGAATTACTAACAAAGGTTGCTTGTGTCTTTGTAACCCTTTTAGTTAACAATGTAGGGATGACCTACTCTGATCATTTTGCCTATTTCCTGGAAATACCAGATGCTGAGCAGGTGACATTTGTCTGAATCCTACATTTTAAATTTTACACTATAACAACAAACATCCTGACCTTTAGAGGTCCCGTTTGCCTCTTATTAACTCTTGAGTTTATGTTGTGTTTTTTCTCACCAGAAAATAACTCAGATTATCAACTGTAACATGCTGTCAGTCCCTCAGGTAAGATATCCATGTGAGCATTTACTGTAGGACGTGTGTTTATGAAATCACAATGTCTTGTAGATAATGCTAATGCTGCTTGAAAAAAGATGATTTATATTTTCTCCTCTCAGATGACCCGACTGGTTCTTCCAGGCATGGTTGAAAGGTATCATCACAAACATCCAGATGTTACCGGTTCATATGAAGTCATGAGAATATATGATGAATTTATGGACATTTGTCTTCTCAGAGGGATAGGGCTGATTGTCAACATGTCCTCTGAAGTGGGCGTCCGTCCACAGCCTTTGTTGTCCCTTTATTGTGCCACTAAGGTGCTTTCTCACTCGGACATCACGTCATTTATGTGCCTCCAAACACACCCTGACCGCTTACCTGCATATTCACTGAAACAACTTCATGACACTTGCTTTGTGACTTTCTTCTTTTCAGAGTTTTGTAACGTTCTTCTCTCAGTGTCTGCATGCAGAGTACAAATCAAAGGGAATTATTGTTCAGGTAAAGTTTGTGACACTTAGTTAATTCTAATGTACTAAACCTGTCCCTGCTGAACATGCATGAGCCATACCTTCCTGGTGTACCCGTCTCTAGAAGCTTCTCAGCAGTCTGCGGTCTTATTGTGAGCTCGGGTTGATCTTCAGCTTCTTCATCTTGAGCTTCTCCACCGAAGTTCTCTTCTCAAATGGCTCTTGGGGAGATTTTAGGGAGCTGTGACAGTGGTGCTAGCGCTCGCACTCGCCATCGTCATGTTGCTTAAATAACGCCTGTACTGACGTCGCACTGATTGGTTGGATTGTATGTCACTCATCTAGATCTTTAATCGTCATTAGGACAAACTGCTTCATAGTCCCGCCTCCTGTGGGCCATTTCTCCATGGCCCCAGAGATGCTGAGACATGCAGGAAGAGCATACTTAGTGCAGATATAATATTCAACAAATATTACTTACATTTCATATTTAAAACAAAAACAAAAACTTTGGACCCCCGAAGGCGGGGGGGGGGGGGAGGTTAGGCCCCATGGCCCTCTATTGACCAGCCGCCACAACTAATCTCAATGTGCCCTTAATTAAGGCCTTAAACCCTGAAACCCTTGAAATGGTTGCGTTGGAGAGACTTACACGTTGGCGTTAGATGGCTTAAAGAAGAACGGGACAGCACTTACCGTTACGATGACAAATTGTGGATGATTATTTATACTTTTTACGCCCTGGTGTGAACGTATTCCCAGCTCTTCCCTCTTTAGGTGGGATGTCCTTTCAAATAATTTGTTTACTAGTTTTAGTAAAACAGCTTTGACGACAATAAACAACGAATACATCTGCGTAATGATATCTCTGCTTCCATTCCTCTGATTTCATGTGTTTCTATATGTTCCATCGTCATTCCATAATGTTTGAGTAAATGTAATATTCCAGTCTATACGCACACGTGCCGAGCTCTTTCTCTCTCCAAGCTTCCGCTGGTAACACATCGTCTAAAGTCCCATTGCTATAAATTGTGGTTAATTCCCATGAGCAGTCTGACAAAATGCAGGCCATAAGCCTTCACACTGGGACATATTAGACGGTACATAACAGCCACAACTGAGGATTTGTTTGGGAATGTATAAGTGTAGCTATTTCTAGACTTCTTAGTGCCACTAAAACTAACTATTTTTCGTTGAACAAACATTCAGGTTCTAAAATAAACCATTGACTCCCAATGTGCTCACCTACGATCTACAGTTCTCCCTCACTCAGGTTTTTATTTACTGCAAAGGGAAGCTGGGCGTTGGAGGCTGCTTCTCTGGACTCATTGTGTTTCAACCTCAGTGGTCAAATGGAAAAATTGCTTTTAAAAGTAATCAACGTGTACGATTTAAAAAGGGAAGTGTGACCTTTACAACCAGAGTCAATCCCCTCCTCCTAGTGTGTGGCCCCCTTCATGGTGTCCACCAACATGACGAAACACAGGACAGTCAACTTCTTCGTGAGGAGCGCTTCCGGTTTCGCCCGCGAGGCCTTGAACACCGTTGGTCAATCCAGCTACACCAGCGGCTGTCTGTCCCACGCGCTGCAGGTCAGAGGTCATGAACGGTTCACAGACTGTCCGCCTTTGCAACATCGTGACGCCTTTTCTTCCTTTCTCCCATTGTCACACAGAACACGGCTCTTACAATACTCCTGCCGGACTGGTTTCGTATGTCGTCATTCGTCGTGAGAAAGCTACGGGACTTTGCAGCAGCCAGCCGAGGAGACAGAAACGCGTGCGAGGAAAAGAAGCTCGGTGAAAAGAAGGAGTAGTCACGTGTCGTCGTATCGACGTAAATGTTCACTTTTACAGCTGAAAATTGGCTTTATAATCCTCACCAAAAGTCCACTGCACGAATTCCTCAAAATGTGTGAGCTACTGTTCTGTGGTTACTGTAATAAATAAACTTCACTAAAATGTTCATATTTTTCCCCATTTATTTATTCTCAGTTGCATAAAGTTGTGATATAGCTATTAAATACAGATTTTTTTTCTGATGACACATTATTTGGCATATATTTATACTTATGGTCAAAAAGCAGTTTAATATGTACATCTGCAGAAAGGACCTTTAGTATACGGAGTCAAACCTTTCAGGCTTTTTGAACCACAACCCAAAATGGAGCATAACCAACGGTAATGCAAATGGCCCTTTAAGCAACTTCCTATTTGTTAAATGAACCTTTAGCGGATATTTAAAAAACGGTCCATGTGGGTGGTGTATAACCGTTAAAGCAAGCGTGACAAGAAAGCGGTAACATTATTAGTTCGTCGGTTAAATAGGGTATATCAATTATTACGTTAAAAAAAATGTGACTACTTGCTCTCGTTTCAGCCTTGAGTTTGTCTGAATCATCAATGGTTGTGGTCTTAACCTAAACGGGATCAGAAGCGCTCAAGAGTAATTATTATTATTATTATTATAACATGTTTTTATGTACATGTTGCATCATGAAGCACAAAAGAATAGTTTTTAAATAAATGTACACAACAACAACAAATACTGTTTATCGTTCTGAGGTCACATGTGTAAAACTGTTCCCTTTTGTGAAAACGAGAGAGACACATTTAACAGCAAAAGAAGCCGCGTTCTAAGAACTGCAGGGAAAACAAAACCAACTAAATTCTGCTCAGAAACAAACAAAGAAAGTCTTTGGATCACTTAGTCCGGCAGACATTTGGGAATGTATGAAAAGAAAGAGGCAAAAACAGTTCAATTGTAAAAAAAATACCTTTTAGGAAAGTTTTAAGTTAAGTTTTCACCTCAACGCCAATTGTTATCACAAATTCAGAATTTCATCCCTGAAATTATGGGGAGAATTGTCTTGATTAAACGTCACACAACCCGTATTGCTCCAAACAAATTGAGTCTTTCACACAATTCTTATTTCCGTCTCATGTGAAAAGACTGGTCCAAACAAGAGCTTGCATTAACATAAACACCCACAAAAAGGTAGAAGTCCCACATTTCTTGGCTCGATGACAGAGCACAAAAAACGCAAAAATCTCAAGTTGCGTAACTTGTGGCTGTGGTCCATAATTCGGAAGCATCATAAGGTGAACATATTCTAACTGGTGCAACATACTGCAAAACCATCACTATTCTTTACCTTGTGTGGTCATTTCACGTGGAACCAGAGGTCGAACTTACGCAGACGAGACTTTGCAGCAGCCACACTGCTCACAGATCGGTGTACGTGACCGGGGTGACCCCGTGGATCAGGAGCGTCGGCCCCAGACTATTGGTCACCGCTTCCAGCTGAGCCAAGTACTGCTGCGCCTGGCTGCGCCGGGCCGCGGGTCGAGGTAAGTACAGGAAGCGAACGGCGGCCTGAGAGCTGTGCTCCGTCAGCATACAGTTCACCGCAGACAGGAACTCCTCGGAGAGCGCCTGCGGTTCCCCCGCGGGGGGCTCCTCGTCCGGCGGGACGTGATGCTGCACCACAGAGTCCCACGGCACGATCTTGATCGACGCCCTGATCCTCAGCTTCCTCAGCAGCTCGCGGAACGTCTCCTCGTTCACCACCCAGCCCTGGTCGCTGGACTCGGTCTCCACGTTGAGGAAGATCCGCATCTTCGCGTGGCGCCATTTGTACGACATGTTGAGCACGCAGGCCATCTGCAGCAGGAACAGGCTGCACACGTCCTCGTAATCCCGGCTGGCTGGCCGTAGCAGGTTGAGGGGCCACACGTCGATGGTGCGCTCCGACCCGTCCACCTTGCTGTCTTTTTCCTCCCCCTCCAGCTGGAAGAAGTAGCGGGCGAGGCACACGTTCTTGTTCATTTTAATGGCGTCGGAAATGATCCCCGCGTACTCCTCCGGAGAAAGCCAGCGCTGGCTCTCGACGTGTCGCACCGGGGGGAAATGGGCCTGCAGTGAAGGCAAGTCCACCCCAAAATTATATTCGCCCTCACTCCCCTTTCCAATGGCCGAGTCACGGAAGGCAGAATCCTGCAGGAAGAAGTCCTCCGGAGTGCAGCTGTCGTAGAAACCCAAAATCAGAGTGTTGGGCTTCATGCCACCTTGGAAAGAGAAAACGGGACCGATAAAGCAACATCTTTATCTGAACTGAATTGAATTGCGGGCACGGCAGGGATGAGAGGAACCAGAGGTTACCGAGGCCCGTGATGCGCAGCAGATGCTGCGTTCCCTGTCTGACGGAGGGGGACAGCGTCAGGTCCACAAAGGCCTTCACCCCGAGTTTATCAACCAGGCTCAGCCAGAAGTTGTACTGCTGCTGGACCGGGTCTGATGGCAGAGAGTCTAGAACACAACAGAAAGAGCGAGGGATCCATTGCATAAAGAGATTGGAGGAGTACAAACAGTAATTCAACACAGGGTGAAGGAAGTTCACCAATGTTCTTCCTTAAATTATTTAAAGTAAACGTCATCAGCGTCAGTAGAGCTAAATGTACTTAAAGTAATAGTACTTTTGCTGCATAAAAATGTCTCCTAATATTCTTTCATTAAAGTTTTCACAAAGTGTGTTTTTACTTCTTGGAAAGTGACCAAACGCTAAACAAAGATGGATTTAGTCAAGCTGTCAAGAAAATAACACCTGGCAGTTGCCCACTAGCATGAATATGCCCTTGTTGTAAACCTAGGGGAAGCACAGAGTACCTCAAATTTCAGTGCACGCATTCAGAGTTAGTTCCTCTCCAACACTGACTGTGTGAATAAAGGAAAGAACCTGCGAGCACATTGCTTTCAGAATGCAGCACACGCAACAAATTATCTTACAATTTAAAAAAGGATATGTGCTTGTTTAGCAAAATAAGAAGGAGCTGGACATTTAGCCAAATTAAAAAGAGGTCTGGTTTAAACTCTCTGCTGCTGATGCAACCATGATACAGAGGACACTTCTTATCATATTAATAATGCAGGAGAGGCAGCAGATGGAAAGTGAAAGCCATAGAGGTACTGTTCCATTATGGTGCCCGTGACTTCAGGTCTGATACACAACATTTTATCATGTGCTCTGGGTTGCAATGATAAAACTAATCACATGATTCCATGTTGACTGAATACATCAGTGAAAGGCTGCCATGTGAAATGGCCAAATGGCCACTTACAAACCAATACAATGAATGAAGATAAGAATGCTTTGAATGGCCCTCAAAGACCAGTCGCGGAGGAATTACCCAGATCTCCCAGCTGCACGTGGCCCAACACATAAAGTCCTCCCTTCTTCAGCTGGTTGACAAACAGGATGAGCTGACAGGAGGAGCGAGGGTTGGCCACCATCAACAACATCTGCGGCCTCCAGAACTTCACGTGGTCTTTCCTCACATCCAGCATCAACAGATACTTGCGCACCTAAACCGACAGGAAGGCACCAACGTTGACACACTGCGGCACTGTCAGGTTTTGTGTGTGTGTGTGTGTGTGTGCGTGCACAAGTCCAGATACCTGATGGAAAATGAGAGCCTGGCTGATGTAGCCCCAGCTGCTGGTGGGCGATCTGTAGTGGAGGAAGAGCAGCAGCAGTAACAGGAGGACGATACTGCCCGAGGAGTACACGGGGTTAATGACGAACATCATCACTAAACAGCTCACAATGCCCAGCAGGCAGGTGTGCCAGGAGAAGAGCTGGAAGGTCGGCCTGTTGAGCACACAGGAACAACGATAGGGGCCGCGGGACACATGTAAACAGAAGCCAATAAAGGCAGCAGGGAAATTGCTTTATTTTGACATTAACGATATGATTGTAGTAAATCTGAGTGAGGTCAATTGGGTTTCCATCGATATTGTCGTTCTCAATGTTTGAGCCTGTGCTCACATCTAGAAGAATACAGCTTTAAGCTACCTCACATTGTCAGCTTTTTTCGAGCACTGAACAATTTATTTTCCTACTTCATTGGCCAGAATTTATGGCCGCACTGCATGATAGTTTTATAAATAAAGTGACAACTGCGACAACATGTCCTTCCCAGGCAGTATTTAATATTATACATCAGCAGTGTTTGAAAAAATTAAAAGTCAACTTATTTTATTCTGAAAAGTTGACTTTGCTGTTGGATTCAATTGCACACTGATGAAAAAGAAGAGAAAAATGTCTACAGATCGCTTATGTTTCTTCCAATACCAATTAGATTTTTTATCACCTGAAGTTTGGTGCTGACGCCCACTCAAGAGCCAAACAGGCCAAGTCCACCGCAGCGTAGGCCAGCAAGTAGAAAACAGTTACCAAACTCGCCACGGCATTGAGCTGGCCTGCAAACACTACACACTGAAACACAGACACACATCAGCCCGGGAAATCAGTTGTTCCTCAAAATAAAAAAAGAACCTCCGCTCACCTGAGCCAGACCCCAGGTGTACAGCACCGCCACCCACGGATTGCCAGAGCTCGATGTGATTGCAGCTGGTGCTAACGGCAGACCTGAGTGGAAAAACACAAGTCTGTTAGAAAATGAGCAGGGTGCGGGGATGGGGGGGGGGGGGGCAACAATATAACGGGCTGAAACCTCCAGGCTCACCGAAGAGGTGATCCAGAGCGAGAGCGTGCAGAATGCGGGACGCTCCAATCATAGCGCACATCGCAGCCGAAAGAGCGGCGCAGAAAATCCCGACGGTGACGAACGGAGGCCAGATGTTTATCCTCTGGAGGAAGCCGTAGTCCTGAATCAACAGGGTCCTAAAGAAAAAGAATCATATGACTTTATATGGTTGATTTCTCGATAAGCATCCACAGTCAGACATCACCCCCGGGAACCACCTCGGACCTGTCACATGTGGCGCTGACCAGGATGAAGAGGAGGATGTAGACTGTGAAAGTGTAAAAGACGGCCACGATGGTGCCTTTAGGGATGGAAACACTCGGACTCTTCAGTTCGCCTTCAGAAACAAACAACAAAGTGACAGCAAACATCAAGAGGAGGGGGGGGGACGTTTGTGTGCACAATGTGGATTGACTGAATCGCGTTTGTGTGTAAAATGTTAAAAGTGGCAATACGATAACGGCAAAATGCTCCAGTTACATTTGGCGTCCTGCAATGTCAGCCGACACTCCAGTGTTAATATACATGACGGACAGAACGAGTTTCAACCTGACATGTTGGCTCCGGCCATGATCCCGGTGCAGCTGGTGAACATGACGGCAAACACGGTGGCAAAAGACGTGACAGAGTTGGTGCTGTAGTCCAAAGAGTAACCAGCTGCAATGAGAAAAATTGAGAAACAAAAGCGACACCTTAAATAAATGCCGCCGCCACCTGCCCCCCAAAATAAACAAGCGTCATGTTTCACATCCTCCACCGACGCGGAGCGCCAAAACACTCACCGCCCAGGTTGCTCCTCAGAGTGGCCACGCTGAAGCCCGTGTAGCTGGCGTTGTAGCGGAGCGTCTGGTTGCCGGCCCCCTTGTGGGCGATGACAAAATCCCGAGGTTTGACTGCCACCGAGCTGATGAAGATGGACAGCAAGGACACGGTGACCACCAGCAGGATGACGAAGGCCGTTCGCGAGTAGATGTGGGCGCCCACCAGACACACAAGCAGACACAGCAGAAGGACCGCCGAGCAGTACAGCATCGTGTACCAGTAGCCGTGAGGAAGCACGCGCACCCCCTCGGCCACGGACGTCTCTACAACAGAGCGAGAAGAACAGGGGAAAGAAAGTGATGTGTAGTGTTAACTGAAGTAGGTGCAGGTAGTTTAGTTTGAGAAAAAGTGAGCATATTCCAAAAACTTACCAGGATCAAAACCGAATACATCCAGTATCGCCTCCACGAGACCCAGAACATACTCTCCACATGCAAACACTTTGGCCAGGAAAAACATCAAACCGATGCTTCCTCCAAACTCTGGGCCCAGAGACCGACTTATCATGTCTGGGGACATTTGGTCAAGGCTGACGCTTCAACTGAAATGGCGAAACCAAGCAGCACTCGGGGATAGAACAGGAGTTTGGTCTTAAAGGATACAATAGGCTCCGCCCCCTTGTATAGCACCATTGGTGGAAATGGCACAGATGGACAGTACAGTGAGAGATATGATGATGTAGGCCACAATCACCATCAACAGACCCTGCAGCAGCCCAGCGTGACCAACCACAAACCCTGCAGGAGAGATCACGTGAGAGTTAGTCACTCCCGCACAGCACAATGACTCGGTTGTATGGGAACACCCACTAGCCGGCCATCTGAGCCCTTCACACGCATCGCTCACCGGTTCTCAGGAACAGCACTATGCTGAACATGGAAAGGATGGTCGGCACCATCACCCCGAAAAACGTGTTCAGCCGCCGCGGGTCTTTGCTCGGTGTCCCAGAGCCGCCGCCGCCGTCGGGGGAGTCCGACTCCATGCCACATGCCACCGCGCTCGCGGCCAGGCCGCACACCCCCGAGGTGATCAGAGGGGTGTGTTCGTTGGACATGTTTGGCGCGAGGAGCCTTGGGGGTCAGTCTGTCAATGACAAAATGAGCTCTTTAAAAGATAGTAGTAAGAAAGAAGTAGAATTGCGGTATTGACGCTTGCTGTTCTTTACTGTTGGCTGCCGGGATAAAAAGCAGAATAACTGGAAAGGAAAATGGCTGAAGTTGAAGATCACGGTCTGGGTCAGACCCCTGCAGGGCAGAGGATGCTGCATGCTCCGAATCACCACAGTCCACTTAGGCTAACGCGTGTCCTTGACGCAGCATACGTGTATCAGTGTTATTTCATAGCGTGTGCAGTCTTTGTTTAGTTGATGAACTGTTCTCTGTTTCAGGTCTGGTGCGGCAACAAGCGTCAAGCCCACACAGGCGATTGTCCTTCAGTCACAGCCATAAACGGCCTTGAAGTTTTCGAACACAGCCGTTAGAGGAGAGATGAGGATCATCATGTGAACAGAAGCACATGTGATGCGCTGCCGCATGAATGCTTTCAGCCTGACATGAACAGATTGTTTACTCTGAAGAGTCGTGAGGCTTTAGAGCAGCAGACACTACATTGAGATTTTGACAAACCTTCAGATTTAGTTGCGCAACAACAAACATGCAAATTCAAACAAAGTCTCTTCCATAATAATCAGGTGCCATGGAGCCCCTCCAGCTGATACTGTACGTGTTTGGCTACCTTTCCCCCCCCATTTCACTTTTTCACCACAAAATACTGCAAACATCGAGCACCCGAAATGCCAGCAGACCCGGTCAGCGAGTGGCCGCGGCTCACACCTCGGGTCTGTATTTGCAGTCACCCGATTCACGGCTGGTCGTCTGTTTTACATGCAGCTCAAAGACAGAGAGCAGCACTTCTCAGCTGAGCACCCTGAGCTTGCCCCTCTGTGTTCAGGTGACCCTGGTGCTCTGGCTCGCTCTCTCTCTCTCTCTCTCTCTCTCTCTCTCTCTCTCTCTCTCTCTCTCTCTCTCTCTCTCTCTCTCTCTCTCTCTCTCTCTCTCTCTCTCTCTCTCTCTCTCTCTCTCTCTCTCTCTCTCTCTCTCTCTCTCTCTCTCTCTCTGTCTGATGCCAGCAGGGCTCCACTTTCCCATTTTCTTTCGTCAAAAAGGTGTTTTCATCACTGACACGGTTCTGAAGTCACGCAGGAATCCCATGACCAAAAGACAATGGCACATTATAACACGGAGCACGACTAGTTACTGCTCAAGATGTTTACAGTATTTTACCGGTGGAGCTGAAACAATTGGTCCATTAAATCGGTCAGTCGCGAGACATAATATTAACCAGTACTACAGATTATTTTAAAAGCAACACCACCAGAGACTCTCTAGTTCCAGCAGTTTAACTTTGGATATTTTGTTTGTCCCCTAAAGAATTGGACAAGATTATTTTGATTATAAATCAAGAGCATAACCAACACTTAATTCGATCTCGTGAATAATTATAGGTACAGCCCAGACCCATGTGTGTTTCCAGTGAGTCTATCCACCACTATATGATGAAGAAAGATGTTTTCATCACAGTTGCACAACATTTACAAGTTCAGCCAATGGATCTTATGAAACAATGGCTTATACGGCCTTTAGGGAAGTTGGCACACAATGTGAATCGCACACTGTCATGCTCTCATGCACAATTACTCTGCTAGTTTCTTTACATGCGGGGAAGCGGTCTGTGGCGATCTCCATAGACCGCCCAAACGGACCTGCAGAGGCCCTCCCAGGGTCCGCGGACCGTACTTTGGAAACAAGTCGGATTCCAAAATAAATCCCCGGTTCCGTCGCGTAGTGTGACGATGGAGCTGCTACATTACAACTTTGAGGGGTGTTTTTTAGGGTGGGGGGTGACGGGAAAAATGGTCCAGACATCGGCTGCATACTTTGCCTTATAGCCGCTTCACGTCCGTTAGACCGTGTTTACGTTTCGAGACTCTAAAACCAGGAAGTGTCCTAAAACCACGCGCGTGTCATTCAAACGTCCACATCCACGGGGCGCGTGTACCTGCGGATGACGTCGCGCAACCCCTCAAGCCCCGAGGGGCAGCGACACTCACCTCGATCCAGCCGTTTCACGCACTTTGCTAACAAGTTTCCGGGCGGCCCGCCGAGCGAGGTCCGTCTCTCTCTCTCTCTCCCTCTCCCTCTCTCTTTGTGTCTCGCTGTCGGTCCCGGCTCTCGGTGGACGATGCTCCCGGGTCAGATGCGCAGTGCACGGTCACCGTATGCCCGCAGCAGGACGGGAGCTGTCCCGGGGGGACTTGGATGCTGTGAAAGACGTGCCGCCCAATGACAACAGCGCAGCCATGACACGCCTCGTTCCCCTTATTATTTGTTCAAAAGTGTCACGGGAAGAGCAGAAACTGCCCACGTGACTCCCCCAAAAGGGGAGGGCAGAGAAAAAAGGGAAAAAAAACACAAACTGTATGAGGTGCTTCTGCTTTCCTAAATACACCACGCCCCTTACTTGCAGTCAAAGGTGACGTCACCGATAAGGTATTAATTACTTCTTCCCATACGTGTCGCCTACGTAAAATGTGGAGGTCAGTTGTTAATCCGCTGTGTGCACCGAGAAAAATAACTTTTTGATAAAGAAACTCTTTGATAAAGGACAGAGGAGCCGCTGCAGTGACGTCTCTTCTCCACCAGGGGACACTGCTGGGACAGATGCGCCGTCTTTGATAGAAATACAGGGGTTAATATGTGGAATGACTTTAGGTAGCAGGACTGTCCTGTGATGTCGAGTAAGGTTATCTTTGCAATATTTGAATCTTTTTTCGTTATTTATTAAGACGTATATATATGTCGGCGTATATAGGTAGATAGCAGAAAGACAAAAAGGTAGATGGATAGAAAGACATTTTTGAATCTCATCTAAATCCAATTTATTTCATACATCCCATACACATATTTGAAAAAAAGACTCACAAACTGAATCCATCTCAGGAGAGCGGTGCTACTGCAAAACATCACCTGATCCAACCACCAGTTCAGCTCGTTATGCTCTGATTTCTTGTTCATCTGACCTCTGTAATCAGTGGGAAAGCACGATGTACTATCTACAACATCTGTAGTGGAGGGGATGGTCATCTATGAGGCCATGCGTTGTGCATCGTGCTGCATCATGAAGAAAAACGTTGAAACGAGAATGTTTTTATTTTTTAAACCCAACACGTTGCATTTATATGGGCCCTTGACATGAGCAATCTAAAGGCCCAACTCGTAATGCTACAACTGACGAGTCTAGGGGTCAAAAGGGATCCCAAACCCGCAGTGTGATCAGATCAGATGGAGGTGGGGGGGTCATGGGGTTTACGAGTATTTAACAGATAGGTGTGGTTGAAACATGCTTCATGCCTGGATTCGAGGATCCTTCCGCGTGATCTGCCTGCTTGTTTCTGAATAATGATATTCAGAAAGAAAAAAAGAAGAAAAAAAAGGGGGGAGAGAGAAAAAAAGAAAGAAAAAGGAAACAGGAACCGTGTGGATTGGACGAGGAGGGCCGCGGCTCAATACACCGCGAGGAGGAAACCCGCGCAGTCACTCGGGCGACGAGTGTAAGTCTCGACGCCAGAATCTCCTCGTTGTGTTTTATTTCTAATGGCATTATTGTTATTATCTAATACGAGGCCGATCTTTGGGTGATTCGCGGGCGGCTCGGGGGCGGTTGTCGGCAGAGGGGGGAGGAAACCAGAGAGAGAGAGAGAGAGGGAGGGAGAGAGAGAGAGAGAGAGAGAGAGAGAGAGAGAGAGAGAGAGAGAGGGAGGAAGGAAACGAGGATAACGTCACGAAAAGCAGAATCGGAGCGAAACGCGGACTGTGTAGTATTTAATGGACGGAGCTTGATGCGGACCGAGCGCCGAGCCGAAATTGTTGTTTGTTTACGTCGCGTTTGGACGGAGATGTTTTTGTTAACCGGTCGGGCGTGAAAAAAAAAACAAAAGAAGGGAAACATTTCGAGGAGGAAACGGCGACACAGCAGCAGCAGCAGCAGCAGATCTCATCTTCTTCCTTTTTTCTCTCTCCAGGAGGCTCCAGTGAAGCAGGGAAATGGAGATGTGTGTAGCTCTCCTCCGCCGGCCTGCTCTCTGAAGGACTCGGGGAAAACGGCCTAATCGTGACACACGGACTTTAAAGTGGATCTCATTTTTATTTATTTTTTAATGAGTGAAAAAGACGTATAGTTAACACCCCCTCCTCCTCCTCCTCCTCCTCCTCCTCCTCCTCCTCCTCCCCCTTCCCTCCCCCCCTGACTCCCTCCACGGGATTTTTCTTTTTTTCGGGGGACGTTTTTTTTGTGCTTTTTTTTCGAGGCAGGAACAAAAAAAAGAAAGAAAGAAAGAAGCAGCAAAAAACATCGGGAGGATTAACAGGTAGCCCCATCACCCCCCCCCCCCCCCTTATGAAACGCGGTGCCTGCTGCTCCGGGCCCGCGGCGCGTAAGAAGGCTCGGTGCCGATGCGCCTCTTCGTGGCATCATTTCCGACCGAATCCGCGTCCGCGTCGGAAGGTCTGAAAGGCGCCGCCGGGCGAGAGGCCCCCATCGGCCGCCCGCTGCGGATCGATACGCTCGCGCGGGCCTGTTCTCCTTTTTATTTGAATGCGCCAGGCATCTCTAAATGCGGCGGATGGGGAAACAAATATATATATATATATATATGTTTTTTAAAAAAGCATTAATAAAGCTATTCTATCCATTCTATGTCTGAATCTACCTCGTACCCGCTTTTCTTCTTTTACTGCGGCTTTTTTTGGACCGTGCGGAGCGATCAAAGCACACAGTCCCCCCCTCCTCTCCGCCCCCCGTGTGTGTGTCCGTGTGCGTGTGTTAACCTAGGTAGCTCATCCCCAGCTGCAGATGTGGTCATGTCGGTGTAGCTCCACGTCAGATGTGCATGCGAACGGGGTGGGGCCACTCGCACTTTTGGCGTCATGTTCTTTACATTTCTCTCTCCTCGCGTTACACAACGTGCTCTTTCCGGAGAGAACAGGTTCGATTCTAACACGAACCTTCCTCGGCATCCTCGCCGTCGCGTGGCCTTGCCTCGGTGCAGGTGGAGTCGGGTGGCTGTGATGTGTGCGTCCGTTCCTCTCGGTCTCCATCACGGATCTGATCGCCATCCAGTGGAACATGCGACCCGAGCATCTGTTCGGATCCATCGAAGGCCCGATCTGCGGTCCCCCCCCCCCTCCCCCCTCCCTCCTCATCCCATCCCATCCCATCTCCCTCGGCTTTTTCCCTCGTCATGAGCAGCTGTGCCAGGAGACTGAGACCCATGATGCCACCCCCTTTAGGCTTCCAATAGTTCCGTGTGATCCATCTGGTCGCAGGTCCCCCCCCCCCACACACACACACACACACAGGGAACAGTGACCTACTGTAGCTAATTGCTCTTCCCGTGCAGTGTGCACTGTACGCACTGTTTGCTGCGGGTTTGAATTGCTGCACAAATGCAAATAGAGTCAGACGCAGGATCGAAATACGCAAATAGCGGTTTTGTGCTGCGTAACCGTGCCGCTCTCCGCAACCGAGAGAGGCTGCGATGTGATGCACGGCGATGTGATGTACGGCGATGTGATGCACGCGATGTGATGCACAGCGATGTGATGCACAGCGATGTGATGCACGGGCCCACAGCTAAAATGCCACGTTAATTGTTCTCGGATGAGACGAAGGCTCCAGTTGTGACTTGAGCTGCACGGTGCAGCAGGCTTCCCTCGGCCTGACGGGGAGGGATCGCTCGCTATCTGCCGGTGATGCTTGCCGCTCGATGGAAGCTTAGTCGTTGCAGATTATTCTCCTCGGTTAAGCCTGGCATGGTTGCACGGTTATAAACAGATTACATGGTTTTCTCTCACTGTGTGAGTTCAGTAAACCGCAAGGGATTAAAATGTGTGTATTATTTTTTTTATTCCTCACAAACAGTATTTAAAGTAAATTATTTAACCTAATTAGTTTGTTTTTTTGATGAAAGTGGACTCCTGGATTATAGCAGATTATAAAACCATAAAACTACTCTAATCCCAGAGGGGTTCGCTAAGTATACATCAGGAGGCCGTTTTTCAATCATTAATTAATAATAAATTATGGGATTATGGCAATAAAGTTTTTTTCCACAACCAACAGGTGACAGCTCGGACAAATCCAAAATGAGTGAGCTGGAGCAGCTTCGCCAGGAGGCCGAGCAGCTTAGGAACCAGATAAGAGTAAGTCCAGTGTTTTTAGAGGCTGTTTTTCATCCATCGGTGTATTTACATCTGGTGTAATGTCTCTTTTGTCCTGTGACTCTCCATCAGGATGCAAGGAAAGCATGTGGAGATTCCACCCTGACGCAGGTAAGTGCCACTGAATGTCCCATCAGTACGACACGTAACCATGAAAATTACACAAAAAAAGGTTTTCTAGTCAATCATTTTGGAAACATGATAATATGTTGATGGGAAAAACGTTTTTGGGGGGTGTTCACATAGAACATATGAAAGATTTTAAACCAAATCATCAACCTTCTTTCTAACACACCTTTTGGAAAATGTAGATACTTCGATATTGATGAAGATTTGTGACTAATTTCCACCCAAATTATCACCAGCAGTATAAACATGGTGGTGTACCATGTTCCTTGGATGTTCTTTATATATTACTTTACTATCATCATAAAAAAAGGGGGATTTCATTCATTCAACTAATAATAATAAATAAAGTCGATTAATCTCTCCTCGCCAAACCAGATAACTGCTGGTCTGGATCCAGTGGGGCGGATCCAGATGCGGACGAGACGCACCCTCCGAGGCCACCTCGCCAAGATCTACGCCATGCACTGGGGCACTGACTCAAAGTGAGTCTCTGCGCCAATTCAATCAATCATTAGCAGGCAAACATGGGATAACACTTTGAATACATACATGTAAAGGACGATTCAACAGACATTAATACACTTCTGAAAAGTCGCCTAGATCTCCCGTCGTGTTTACACTGAACTGCGTTAAGTGCCAATAAGCGAATGTTGGAATGCCTGCACGGCAAACGAAGCTGAGGGTCGCTATAAACACTGTTCCCGCTTTACATCCGCATGTTCGCCTCCGCAGCTAAAACATCCCAAAGAAAGTCTTGATGAAAGATGAAAACTGCACTGTATAGACGCTGTAGTAACAGTTACATTGTTTTAGGTGCGTATTTTCCTGTATCACCAGTAGATCCTTCACTGTGGAAGACTGATGTCTTTGTCTCAAACGAGTCCACAGTTTTAATTCATTTGGAAAATGTCCATCGATAGACGAATAGAGTTTGAATGTTTGTGTCTCCACAGGCTTCTGGTTAGTGCCTCTCAAGATGGAAAGCTGATCATCTGGGACAGCTACACTACTAACAAGGTAGAGTCACCTTCATAATTATTTCCATCCGCTGGATAAACCGTCACATTTGGCCTCTAAGTGGAAGTGGACTGAATTACATCAGCGTTACTTCTAACCCATTCTCACGCCCTTCTTAAGGGGTTCGCGTTGTCTTTTTTATTGATTTTTCCCTAATCCAAAAGTTGAACGTGTGTTTGTCTTAGATGCACGCCATCCCCCTGCGCTCCTCCTGGGTGATGACCTGCGCGTACGCCCCCTCCGGCAACTACGTGGCCTGCGGAGGCCTGGACAACATCTGCTCCATCTACTGCTTGAAGACTCGCGAGGGCAACGTCAGGGTCAGCAGGGAGCTGCCCGGCCACACAGGTGAGACGCGGCGGCGGGCGGAGCGTCCTCCCCTCTCGGGCCTCCTGTCACCTTTTGTATCCTCATTTGTTTGTGCCATTGTGACACAGCAGACTATGCAGAATGCTGCTTTACAATCCCGTGGGGTTCAAAGGGCTTTTCAAAATGTAAATGTGCAGATCACCTTGGTTTTTGTTTCCAGTCCCTAAGCAACACGCCGCTCTGTTCCCTCAGGTTACCTGTCATGCTGCCGTTTCATTGATGACAATCAAATCATCACCAGTTCAGGAGACACCACATGGTGAGCCGCGCGCAGCGCAGACACGTTCTCCGCGTGTCGATCCCGCGTCTAACTCTGCCTCTCTGCCCCAGTGCACTGTGGGACATTGAGACGAGTCAGCAGACCACGGTTTTCTCGGGGCACAGCGGCGACGTCATGAGTCTGTCCCTGTCGCCCGACCTGCGCACCTTCGTGTCAGGCGCCTGCGACGCCTCGGTCAAACTGTGGGACATCAGGGACAGCATGTGCCGGCAGACCTTCACGGGCCACGAGTCGGACATCAACGCCATCTGTGTGAGTGGGGGGGGGGGGGGGGGGGGGGGGGGAAGAAAAAATATGTGCTTTAAACACTCCCGAATATACCGGTGGAGGGAACAAAAAGAGACATAAACCGCCTATAAACCGTCTAATGCACGACACGCGCTGTCTTGTCTCCAGCTTTAGAAGGGGGTGGGATTTAAACTGGAAGCACGCTAGAGGATTAACAAGATTATCAATTAGCACCATCTCCGAACATCCTGCATCAGTCCAGACTCCAGCTGAGTCCGCGTCCGGACTGATGCTACGTGACAGTTGGACGGCTTTAGTCTTAAAACGCCGGCATCATCTGATGAGGTTTAGTCCGCGTGCAAAGAATGTACAAGCACACGCGGGGGAATAGGGGACCGTATATGGGGACAGAATCACCAGCTTGTTGTCTACCTGCATCCACACTCCCTGCTTTCTCATTGATCTCCCTTCGCTCCTCCTCAAGTTCTTTCCCAACGGCAGCGCCTTCGCCACAGGCTCAGACGACGCCACCTGCAGGCTGTTCGACCTGCGCGCAGACCAGGAGCTCAGCCTCTATTGCCACGACAACATCATCTGCGGCATCACCTCCGTGGCTTTCTCGCGCTCCGGCCGCTTGCTGCTGGCCGGTTACGATGACTTCAACTGCAACATCTGGGACGCCATGAAGGGAGACAGAGCAGGTGAGTGACGCATGCGAGAGGAACCCCCCCCCCTCCCACGCCCGTCCCGAGGACAAAGAGCACGTCAGCAAAGGTTTGACCTGCAGCTCAAGGGAGGATTCTCTTCACGGTGGAGATACTTTGTTGAGACATATAATGACTCAAGCTATGCTAAAAACTAGTTTTTGCTTTTTACCGAACCAAAAACGGTCATGTGTAACTTGTAAAACAACGTGTTATAAGGAATCCACAAAAGTTGTGATTTATATTGTAAAACCGGGGGTTGTAAACACAAAATAAAGCATAAAATTGTCATGAAACATGAGTTACAGAACAAGTTTAGAGCAGTAGCAGACACAAGGTTGCTGTTTTCGGAGAGGCACAACGCTTTTACAGCAACAAGTCTTCTTTTGTTCCTCCCTGTCCTCCCTGCAGGGGTCCTGGCCGGCCATGACAATCGTGTGAGCTGTCTGGGTGTGACGGATGACGGCATGGCGGTGAGCACCGGGTCCTGGGACAGCTTCCTTAAGATCTGGAACTGAGCCGCGCACACAAAAAACAGCAAACACACACAGACAGACAGACATCGCTCCCGCCTTGGGACTCTGTTTGCACCCTGTATTCACTGTATGTAAGATTCAACAAACTGCAACATCGTACTGTACATAATATATATGACCTAGGTATGAGTTTACACGCACGCACGCACACACGCACACAAGCTGTTTGCAGGACAAGACGACACAAAACCCGAACATGTGCCCTCACTACCTACAGATGATTTAAGTACAGTACCGAACACACGCACACACATAATTTGTCAAATGTGACACAAAAAAAATATGCCACTATTACCTGAAGCCTTTTAACACGTCTAACACGCTCATTCACTTAACACACACACACACACACACACACCTTTTCCTGAGGGACACTGCTCCTCGAGTTAAACAGGGGAGAAGACGTTATTTGACATTTCTGTCTTTGTTTACAATGAAGTCCAAAACGTACTTCAGACAAAAAAATGTCTGTACTATTTTTGTCTCAGTACCACATGTATCTCGGCGATGTTAATGTGAATGATGAATGGTTGTGGAAAGAGAATCATGTGAGTACATTAACTGAAAACAGCAGCAACAAAAAACGAAACACTGACAGACAGGATGAGCCGATGATCGACGGAGTCCAAGGAAATATCAACTCTTATTTTCATCTGTCCAAAACACCACGTAATCACTGTTTTTATAGATATGTACCCCCACATACAGTTAATCTATTAAGTTTCGGTTTTCTTCTTTTTTTTTACAATATTCTATTCATGTTCTCCCTGTGTGCCTCAGATACACTTTAAGGATTATTAACGAAGAATATTGATGAAGTTAAATTAACAAAAACATTAAAGATCTGAGATTCAAAGTTGAGTGAAAAAATAAAAACATAAGCATCTTAATAAAGCAGGAGCCAGTATTCGTACTTTGACTTTATCATTGTATTATCTGGACATGACAATGGTATAATTGTACATAATATTAATAAATAATAGCCTCTCCTGCCAGCTATTGTGTTTTTCTTTTTTAAAGCCCTGTGTCTTTATTCAAACACTTGGAAAGTGAACCAGACAGAAAATATATATCTTTTTTATGAATGTTTTCAAGTGTAGTCTTTAAAATGATATTCTAAAAATATGACTTAAAAGGTTTATTCTGGTACGTTGACCCATCATATTAATCGTATAGTTTCTAAAGAGTGTAGCAATATAAAGAGACAAGAATGAAATGGATCAGACATCATTGAAAAGAGGAATTGTATTTAGATTGAACTGAAATTGACATCTTTTTTAAAGATAAATGCTTTACTGTTAACACTGAACTGACGTTGTCATATAGTGATCTAAAATAGTCATAATAAAAACAAAGTTTGAAGTTGGAACACATGACACCGGATACAACAGCTGTAGTTCAGCAGACTTTGTTCCCCTTATTTCCGTGGTGGTCGGTTTGTACTGCGGAAGAAAACCCACCATTCGTGCTCGGGTCATAGTAACGTTATTTGATATCATTCACAATAGTTACGCAATTGCTCACGTAAGTATGTGTTATGGGTCATCTTCTCCATTATACAGTTAAACAAAAAATGAAAAGGTTTGGCCCGTTGTGCAAGATTTGAAGTGTTTTACTTTCAGCCACCAGGAGGCGCTGCAGCTCAGGCTGCAGATCAAGTTCACTAAATGACAGAAACGGGTTCATTACCAAAAACTAATCCTAATCCTTAAAGAAACGTAATCCATGCCGGTGGACAATGAGATGGGTTCCCTGTGACGTTGACATCTTGAATCTGTAAAGCATAATAAAGTGGTCGTTAAAGTAAATGTATGTACGTCACATATCAAGTGAAAGGGAAGACGGGTCCACGTGGACTTCAGCACCCTCATGTGGTTTAACGGTGGCATAGATTTCATATCGTCTGCGTACACGCTGCTTGATGGACATCTCTAGCTTTGCTGCAGTCCGGTGACTTCTTGTAATGTCAGTGTTGCTCCGCCCACCTTCCGCCTGAGCAAAGGTCTGACGAAGGTGAGCAGGGCCTTTAAAAACGAAACGGATTTGTTTTGTAGAGGCAAGCTTCGCTTTCCAAGAATGAGAAACGGGACAAATGAGATTAAAAGGTACTTTATTTTTTCAAACAATTTGTATTAAGACATGAATTCATAACACAATCTTTTGAAAGTTTAAAGTTGATCAGTCCATTTAATACAATCTGGAGTTATTCTCTCACAAGTAACAGACGCGCGCACACTACAACATTGCAAACATGTTTAAAGTCTTACGAAAAGAAAAAGAAAAAAAAAAAGTTATTGAAAAAAATAATAGATTGTCGTTCTGTCCAAGAATCCACATGGTTTTAGAGCTCCAGTTTGATCGGCCTCACTCCCAGCTGCTAATCCATTCATACGTTAACCATAACAAATAAAAAGATATATGGAGGGCCTCATCACAATATTAACTATCGGTACTTGAGTTCACTGAAGGCAGTTCCTCGTATTTCATCATAGCGAAGCAAGAAGGAGGAGCATTTCTTTTAGTACCAAGTACTGAACAACAAGCCGCGCACAAACCAGCCCACATTCAGTCCGCCAAAGGCCACTGAAGAAGCGCTGCCTGTCGGCCGCATGGAGAGGGACACGGTTCGGATTTTTTTTTTTTTTTTAAATGCTTATATTGCTTATTAAAAGAAATGTCATCCGAGGGCTCCAGCTGCAACCCTTGCAATCTTTCTGAATCCTGGTGCTGTTCCATGAATTTAGCCATCGAATCCGTCCGTGCTCATGCTCAGAAAGACACTCACTCAGTTGGGAGGTTCTTTTGTGTAAGAGGTATTGTAACAAGAGCTGTGTTACAAATTGAAACGCTGGTGCACGAAATAGGACAAGTTCACCATTTGAAGCGACTGCCAGAAACAAAATGGTGACTGCCTATTACCTCACCTAAGAACGACGAGTTGATGTTCATCACAACTTCACAGCATTGCTGAGACACATGAAATCGAGCAAGAGCTTTTAATCAGACAATGGAGAAGAATTTAATATGTTGCTATGGTATTTTTCTTTATCTTAAGAAAATCTTAAACAGAAAATGAATTAGTTTGGTGTGCCTCACTGAGCTTGTACACCAAAGCAAAAAAGGTAGAAATACATAAAAAGTAATTCAAATAAACTTGATATCAGGCAATTCTACACTGATTTTACACACCAGTCTGTTTCCATTTCATTGGTACACTGAAGTGCACTGAGTGATGTTGCCAGGCAACGCCTGAGATGTTGCAAACATGAAATGTCTGAACGTCACTCTGGGTTTAGTGTGTGGGAACCACTTCTGAATTACAAACACAAATTTAACTTTTGGAATATATCACGGAACCACTTCTGAATTACAAACACAAATGTAACTTTTGGAATATATCACAGAAAAAAAATAATGTACAGAAATGGATGCAGGACACCGCTCTTGCTTCGCTAAAATAAAATTCCTAAATGATCAACAATGCACTGCCACTGCACACAGTTGCTCAGACATTGGGTTACGTTGTGCAAGTAGTGGCTGAGGAGTTAATTTCTTCCCAAATCCAAACTCTTCCACATAAGCAGTAGTACTTCCTGTAAACAGACTCTGATGTGTAAGATCAGTGAGTTCCTTTTGAAGGACACCTGGTAACAAAATGAATTCCAAATCAAGTAGTCAAGAAATGATAACTGATCAGTTTTCTTGTGTGTAATTTGTTAACTAAACGCTTCTGACTTTCTAAATGCTGCCTTTTTGTGATTCAATACCAAAGCGAACAGTGAACGACTGCGTCACACCCCGAACGCACCACGTGAACGCAGCTTCAGCCCGTCGCCTTCCCCTCGGAGGCCGGACGGTAACCTGTGAGTCACCTCGAGCATTCACCCTGCTGCCAACAACAAACAACCTCATTTCTACATGTGAGAAAACAAAACACCATCTCTCTGTCACACCTAATTATAGCTTTGATATCCGCCGTAAAATACGTTGTGCTTATGATTAGAGAAGTACACATGTTCATATAAATACAAATCTGTCTCATAGATGTACATTCACTTTGATTTCTCAATATAGACTAATTTACACATTTCATAAAATAGGCTTTTTAGAATATATCAAGCTACTTTCCTCACTACAAGATTACGCAATCAACATCATCTAAGAATAAGCGCTTCGGTCGTCTTCGCTGGAAGAACCTACATTTTCTGAGCAGACATTACACACAGTTGAATTTGACTCGTTTCTCTACAAACACGTTTCATAAGTATGGCTTTTCACTGTGCTCGCTCCCCCCGAGAGAAGATCCTTTTCACTGGATTATTTGGACATGTAATAATTTCACTGTCCTGCATGGATTATTATCCAATAATCATTTTTAGGCCATGTATAGTACGTGGTGCGAAAAGTCTATCATTGGTGTGTTGGCTTTAGTGTTATTATGTGTGTGTGTGTGTGTGTGTGTGGGGGGGGGGGTCATAACCAATCAATAAATCTTTCACCTTCCCAGCTCCAAGGCACTGCTTTAACTGTAAACATGGCAGATTGATAAAAAATTATGATTTGACCAGAAAAGGCATGACTGCCAAAGCTCCTGGTGGATTGTAGTTGTGACATTAGAAATGTAAGTCATGGCACATAACAGATACTCAAGAACACATTCAATAAAAGGGGAACACAACTTCAACACAGTACTATATACTCTATTTCAATAGCTTACATGCACATCAAGTATCTGCTTGAGATATATTTGTGAATGTAAGATCGCTGAAAGTGCTTTCTAATCCCATTTAGTTTGTATTATAATTTCACCACAAAAGTATTCTATTGATAAACTCTTTGATCAAATGTTCTCAGCTGTGAACATGTACTGCGTTCTTTATAGCTCTATTTCTGCCTGTATTAAATATATAATATATCTTCATCATCATCTTAAGGATTTTCAGTAGAATATCCCATTGATCACTAGTCCAGATTCCTTTTCATAATAAACTAAAGTTTTGTTCTACTACTAAAAAAAAACAACTTTAATTTTGTTCTGTTAACATTGCAATTATGAGCAGATTAACTAACTTGTTGAAAAGTAAAAACAACACCATGCTTATAGCGGGATGAAAACGTCCACCTGTCTGAAGTGCAGAAGAAGCTCAGTGGTGCTGGAACACATTCATGTGTTGACCAACCCTCTGCGATCTACTTCCTGGTGACACTCCCTACTTCTACCGTACTGCCCGGTGCACCGTTAATTACTATTTAAAGAAAAAAAAAACAAGGGAGGGGGTGCCTATGCAATACTAACAAATCGAGCGCTATAGGAAATCCGAAGCAGCTCATTAAGCATGATACCATATTATTGGTGAGAAGGGAGCGGACTTTAGATGTATATACAGAAAGGAACGTTAGCTCGTGATCTGTAGGAAGAGTTTGGCACAATCCATTATAATTGCAATTTTAGCAATCTTTCGTTTGCCGTAGCTTCCTCCTGCCACTGCAGAATGTGCTGTGAACTTCGGCAGAATGTACAGATATAAAATATATTAAGTCCCATGTGTTCCAGCAGTATTTTCCAAAGTGCCTGATGAGATGGAGCCCTCTGTGGTATTGTACAGTCACCCTACATTAAATCTTTCAACTGGCCGAAGAAAAACCACAAACTTTACCACACCAAGCTGCTCTCTGCAAACGCCTCTCAACAATAAGAGTCAGGCCAACTCAATAGTTTTAGAACAGAAATAGAATACAGTAGGTTAGAGCACTGTGGTAGGAGGGTCGAAGGACCACGAAACTGATCTCCATCCATCACTAATGTCAGCTGTGTTACTCCAAAGTCTTCTGATGCCGACAAATAACCTTCTGCTCCCAAAAGGCGCCAACGCGCTCTTTAACACCAGCAAATACACAACGTGCCCTCCTCAAACAGAGACTCCACAGATTAGCATATATTGCAATATAATGGCAATATAGTTACAGTAAAAATAAGATTACTAGTAGGCTAATACCAATACAGAATCACTACATATAAATAACACATTTCCGTAGTATGTAAATCTATGAAAACAAGTTCAGATGCAGGCCTGATGAGTCAAATAATGAATAGAATCACCTAAACCATAGAGGGAAAAAAAGGCAAAGCAGGAATTTTCACATCATCGATTCTGAGTACTGCACATTTATGTGAATTCTTATTTGTTTGATCATATATTCATTTAAACTGAAATCTATTTTTGTTTTGACGCATTCAAAGCTTACTTGCTGTGTTTAAGAGTTGCAATATTTGCCATTCAGGTCAGAAAAAAAGTCAAAGCCGGACTTCAGGTTACAATCTACTGTACGTAACAAAAAATACAACAAGCTACTTTGTCCTGACTTTAATGTCCCTTTGTGATATTCTTTATACTAAATACATCCTTTAAACTTCCCTGAAATCACGAGTAAAGCAACTGCAGATGGGCGTTCCGGCATTTTATTATTTGAGGTCCATGTGTCCGTTAGCAACACACTGACTGGAGGCAATGTAAGCGGCCTGCAAATGATTCAGATCTAAGTGTAAGGTGCTACCTATTTACAGCTTCAATTCAACGTCCAGTATTGGTTAATAACGCCATCAGAAACGTACTGTAGAACTATCAAGGAATGTTTTGTTTTTTTACATACTTCACAATGACGAACTAAATAGATACGACAGAACAGGAGTCCACCAAGTTAATCAAGACGAGAATATTTACAGTACAAACCAATGGATGGTATTAACATTTGAAGCTCAGTGATGTTTCATGGCGATTCCATGGAGAATGTTGTCGGGAGGGGCCTCTGTGGAAATTGTGTCTTAAGGAGTGTACATGTAGGTTGGAATGGGTTGTTTGTGTATGTGTCTTTGGCGCATGAGTGCGTGAGAGAGACACACAGAGAGAAAAGTATTTGCGATTGTGTGCATGCGGTTGGGAACAATTTTAGATGCCCTCCTTCTCGGAACCCTGCTGGCTTCCACACTGACCGGAGCAGCTGTTCCTTCACCAGTTCATGATGCAGTTTCTGTTCAACGTCATGAAGTACACCTGGCTGCTGCCTCCAGAACGCACTGATGCAAAGAACACCTGCGGAAAAGCACGGACGCAAGAGGACACGCACGGGTTTAAGTGACTGTTAGTGGCCCGACTGCCCCACACTTCTAAATCTGCATCTCTCTCACCTTGTCATTCCTCTCACAGAGGAACTTCAGCCTCTGAGCTCTTTTGTGCATGAAGACACCGTCTAGGTGGCCGGTCTCCACGGAACGGATCTCAATGGCCTTTTCTCCCCATCCCATGATCTGATTTGAGCAGATGTGAGCTGCAAGGCAAAATGTAACATGAGTACTTTGGCAAGCTGCTTCTAGTTTGTACAGTTGAGGCATTAAAGTCTGTTTTGGGATTCGATCCGCACCAACTGATGTGGGCATCTCGCCCCACTGCAGGACCACGTCCTTGATGATGCGCCCGTAGGTGTTGACGTAGACACCCTCGTCTTCGTAGCACAACAACATCTCCATGCCGTCTGAGCTGGGCAGGAACACAATTGCGTGTGGCATCACTTGGCTCTGGATCTGTTGGAGACATAAAAACGGGATGAGATCCTGTAGGTTCCACATCACCCACAACACTGCCGTCTGACAACTCACATGAACGGGGATATAAATGTCATAGTTGTTTCCGGAGTCCACGTCAATGGCGTGGAAGCCAGCACATGATCCGTAGATGACCTTCAACCTCTGGCCCTCCTCCACTGTGAGGTCGACCAGGACAGGCCTGTGTGGGAGGTCTGCAAAGGACTGGTGGGAAGGAGCAGAAGGTGAGTGGGAGAGGATAATCTACTTGAATGCCCTCCTGGTCTCACATGACTAATCCAGCTCATTGGTAAAGGGAGACTTACCTTGAAGGCCATGAATTTGTGATACGGTTTGGGCGCCCAAGCGTACACTTCCACCGCATTCTTCAAAGCAATCACCAGGAACTTTATCCTCTCGTATTTCACTAGAGAGAACAACCACAAGGCCATCTGACACCTGAAATCAATAATTCACTGGGCCAAATGCATCCATGGGAGTTTCTCCGGAGTGGAATAGAGAGCAGTGATAAAAGTCTTCTTCACTCACCCACTTTGTAGTGGACGCAGCCCTCCATCTCCCCCACAGTGGTCCAGCCCTGCTTCTTCTCCACCTCAGGGTCATTGTGGAGGATTTTGTTCCGCAGCCAGGCCAGGTAGTAGACACGTACCTTGTTTTTCTTGCCTTGATGGACACAGTGGGAGATCACTTAAAAAGGAGACTAACAGCAGTCATTAGATGTACAGATGCATTTCAGTCATATTTTCACTTCACCATCTGACACATCTACAGAAGACCAGGAATTTATGCAACTAAAACTGTCAGATTTCATATTCAGTTATATTACTGTAAAATGTAATTTTAGTTGTTAAAAACATGTTGACGGTATATTTCTGCTGTTATCGTTGTAAATATCGGAGAACAGTAATCAACTAAATGTAATCAAATTATTAATACGGTACATGGTAAAACATCTTTCCTATTTTAGCTCTCGTTGGGCCTTTAAGTATTAGTTCAAAAGTATTGTGATATCTTAACAAATCCACAGAACAAACAAATACAAATGAAAGAAAAAAAAAACTTCCCTGTGGCTTTGAAGTGAAAAGCCAAAATGCAAAGAAGAACAATGAAGGATTAAGCACCTTTGGCATCCCAGTGCTGATCTGTCGATGTAGTCGTTTGCTTTCCCAGAGTGGTAGCAGCAGCAGTAATTACCTGATATGGTGATGAGCAGGTTGAGGCCCTCCAGGACGTCCATCTGTTGGAACCTGCGGGAGTTGATGAGGGGGTACACCTTGCCTTGACCACTACGGTCCAGCAGCTTCAAACCGTTCTCCGTGCCCACCAACAAGTTCACACCTGGGGACGCACACATCCACACATCAATAGCGTTTTCATTTCTGAATAAAATGAATGGTAACTAATGCATTGTACTAGAAACTTAACTCCTTGATAAATATGTGATGCAACTGCAGTAATGGCACATATTGACAACTTGGATGGACAAACTGGATATTGAAGGACAAATTTAAAAAAAAAACACAACGTTGGTGCGCATTGGAAGAGGCTTTGAGCAGGAATTGATTTTGAGATATCTAGTTACTAATGTCACTGTTTTGGTTGTATTTTTAACCCCGGATGTTGAGCCATAAAAGTGGTTCAACTAAAGATTTGTTATTTTTTTTTCAAGTTTGGTAAGATAAACATATTTTAATTTTAATTTTTAATTAACATAGTTTATAAGCTCTAATGTTTTTAAGGTTTGTTCATTTTTGGATTAACACTCGCACGTCTCTTACCCCAGAGAGCAGCACACAGGATCTCTGCGTTGAACCTCTTCTTGTACTTGCGGATCTCAGGTGTGTCATTGGGGGGGCGTGTGTTGGTGGGATTGACATTCACCATGGATCCTTTCCTCACCTCCATCTTCAGCTGCTCAAACCTGGAGCCTAAACAGTGAGGCCCAACGGAAACGGCTCAAATGACGAAGGAAAACACAACCGACGGCAGAACGGTACACAGTTGGGAACTAGACACAAATCTCTCACGGGTCCTGAAAAGAGAAATTGGGAGGATTCTCTGAATCCTTAAAATTCTGTATTATTTAATCGCCTACAGCAATAATGTTGACGTTGCGGTAATGAAACATTTGGAGATCTGCAGTCGCTTCATTTCTTAATGTTCAAGAAAGTGTGAAAAGCTTGTGACTTACTACTGACGGAGATGTTATCCCCGGCACCTGCTGGAGACTGGTACATGCCCAGATCCACAAAGGTGGTGAAAGAAGACTTGCCAGATGATGCTTTAACCAAACCTCTGGACTGATACTGATGGAGTAGAAAGACATTTGAGTAAACATCAGTTCAGTGGAGATTTCAGTTTGTCTTTGAACATGTTGTGTGTAGCATTCAAATTACACTTTAAAAAGTTCTATTTTTGGATGATGTCTCCAAATAACAAGCAACAGATTGTCATGAAAAGCATTCTTTTACGGGTGGATTCCCAGCTGGAATGAGGCCAGATAAGAACACTTATAAAATAAGTCAGAAATTTGGGGCCGATAAATTTAGCATCAAGAGAACTTACATCATAGACAGAGTCCTTCCCAGGGGAGGAGTGAGAGGCTGAATCTGTGGGAGAGTGGGAGGGCTGCACCACATCTGGCAGGTTAGTGTAACCATTATGGCTCCTTTTCTCTGGGGTCTTTAAAGTAAAAACACACACTTACAACTATGTATCACTTGCAGCCGATGGCAGACTAACAGGATTGGCTTTGTCTAGTTATCACACCAGCGTAATAACAAGAAGTGAAATATGCGTAAACAGACTTGCTTATTTTTTTTTTTTTTAAAAAGGTACCCTAATAAACATGTATTGCCTTTGCATGGTAACAGTTCACATATTTTAATGGTAACAAAAGAAACAATACAAACTACAGCAAACATGCCAACAATCATGCGCTTCCCGGGACGGGGAAAGTTGGAGAGCAGTGCAGAGTGAGCCAGCGGGGCACACTCACAAGCAGGAGTGTGCACCAAGACCAAGCAACTCTGTTCTTTGCTCAGGTAGACATTACTTAATTATATCTCTACATAGCAATTCATGCAATAAATCTTTGTAATGTAGAGGGAATTGACCTGTGACCTGAAATAATATCAATTGTGCAATAAAGTGGGTTGAATAAATGAAGGTCTGACACTGTTGTAATGCAACTAAAAATGTGTCGTCAGTGAAGCAGACTTGAGGTAAATAGCAATGTTACATTTACTGTATATGCATTACATTACACAGAGGACCTTTTGTTGTAGTCTTTGACATGCCCGGGAAATTAAAAACACCGTCTTTACCAGACCTTCAGGTTTGTCATTGTAACTTGGCATCAATATGTGGCGCTCATTGGATATTCAAACGCGTCAAGTCAGCACTAACCACATGAAAGATATATGCGGACTGTCACTGAATCATATTGCTCTCACCAAAAACCTCTAACACAGGGTAGTTTTCGGCTTGCACAAAATAAAATTATAATTATTTAATTCTCAGTGCTTTTTGAATGTTTAATTGACAATGTTTAATTGAGGTGCTTTCCGGTGGAACCTGAAAGTCATTGTTGATGTTTTGAGCAACTTAATTTTCCTCTGATATCAAAAAAAAAAAAACATCACTAAACTATTGTCTTGCAGCTTTATAATATTTGTCAACATATTACGTGGATTCACAAGGCATTTTAGGCATCGTTGTGGGCCCAGATGACTCACCCTCTGCACCAGCATGGTCTGGTCCCCATAGCCTCCAGCTTGCTCTCCCTCTCCCCCCTCGCCCTCGTCTTCATGAACCACCATGGTGTTGACTGAATCAGTGTCTGCGTCCCTGTGACTGAAATCAATAGAGGAACTGAAGTCAACGATGACATAACCCTCAGCTGGATAATGGAAAATAGTGAAAAAGTAGAAGAGAAATTTGACTTAAGTCAATACTGTATCTCAAAGTAAATACAAATACAAACAATGATTTGCTTCTTGAATTGTCAGAATTCGTTGATGGTAATGTTACCGATCTGTGGGGCTTTCTTCTTCCTCTGCTCCCTCTCCACTCTCACTCTCCTCACTACTCTCGCTGCTCTCCGAAGACGAGGAGTAATCATTGGCCTTGACTGGGGGCCTTGGCTGCTCCTCTGCACGCTCCTTGGCAAACAAGCCATGGTCCTGCACAGACATACAAACATTTACTTCAGGAATTATCCAAGAATGTTAACTTAATTTGAGCAATCACAGAAAGTAGCCAATAAATAATATTAAAAACAGTGCAATCATAAATGAAGGTGAGGGCTCATCAGGGAAATGGGCTTGAATAACAGTCTCGAAAATCTCAGTACTCTCAGAATTCAGAGCCTGCCACCTGGTGACATGTAATGATTTTGAGACATGGCTTCAAGGCTTGTGTTGAGTGCAAGACGTCCACAAATTATAAGAATGCAAATACACCTTTAATTGAAGAGTAGGATTTCATTCAAAGACAAAACACAAATAACTGAATAAATAAAAACAGCATAGAGCATGCAATTCATTCAACATCAACTATAGCCAATGAATGCCGATGCAAACTCACGCAGACACTGAGGACCGCACAACGACAGTGATACTAACCTCGCCTATAGCTCTCTTGTAACTCTGCACAATTGAGGTAAAGTAAAAAAACAGGGATTTGAGAAGAGGAGAAACATGAAGGGAAACCGAAATACTGTGAAGCATATAAAAACATGAAGGTACTGCGAATTGGTGGTAGAATATGCCATGTAAAGCTGTGTTTTGTATCATCAAACCATATTATGTGTTGCAAGCACATCTGCGCTGATTTTAAACCTGGTTTTATTAGGGGATACCAAAGAGGCAACCGATACATTGTCCTTTTGAAATAACCACTTACTGCAGGGCGCCCAGGGCGGGAGGAGGTGCGAGACTCCCCTGGCTTATGACGGCTGTCATGGGAGAGCATGGGCGAATCCATTTTGGAGGAACCTGCAAATAACAAGATTGAATTACAATTTATAACTACACTCTGCAGACTGACTGTAAACAGAAATGGCAACATGGAGTCAGGGACTCACTGAGGATGCGATGCCTCTCCAGAGAACCAGTCTGGGGAAGATTGGATATGATGCTCATACAGTCTCCTCTCTCCCAACGATCATTGCGGCTGAGATCTGGATTGCTGCCGCGCGGATACAAATGAGTTGGCTCAAGTCAATCTAACGTCATTTAGTAGGCAGTAACTTTGGTAAATATCTGATAAAGCCTTTAGCTGACTCTTACCTGGCTCGCACTGGATGCCTTATGCCAGAGGTCAAATTGGTGTTGAGAGCTGTGGCAATAGACGCCGTCCTCTGTGGAATCTGAGGACAGTCACACCATAGTCTAAAAATGTTTTCACCCAGATCAAAGCACCGCGTGGAATTTTAACTTCCTCAAAACCAAGTCAAAGTAATGAATGGAAAACAGCTACTTTGTGAGAGCAACTGAGTATTAAGCTTAACAAAATATTTTAAAGTGAGTTTACCAAGTATACCAGCTAAAATATTTGTGTGTCAATATGGGAATATATTTGCAAACTGGTGTTATATTTTTTGGTCTGGACACCTACTGCAGAGACAAAACCAACCACAAGATCTCACCTTGGGGGGAAGTTCCACATCTGGCAGGCGGATCCAGGGGCCGCGATCCTCTACCATTTGGTGTGCCTGTGGTGCCGGGGTTTCAGAAGTCGGGTCGGAGTTTTGACGCACTAGCTCTCTAGAGTGGATGGGACGGGGTGTGGGGGTAAGGGAGGGATCCTGGGTGGGGAATGCGGACATGGTCTTAGTGGGCTGGTCACAGAGGGACTGGGAACGAGGGACAGGGGCAGCATAAGGCTTCAGTGGGACCAAGTGAGCCATCTGGAACTGCGGAGGAAAGAGCTGCAGCAGCGCCCCGGAGGGAGGAGCAGCAAAGTGAAGGAAGAGAGTACAAGACGTCGGAGAAGCAGGCCCAGGGGGGGAAAGGCAAGGTTTTGTTTGGGTTCCAAGGGGATTATTGTTAAACATGTGACAAATAGATCCCCAGGTGTGTGGAGAAAGAGGGGAGGTGTAAAAAAGAAGGGAAAAAAGGCGTAAATAAAGTAGCAGAGACAGAGAAGGATAAAGCAGCTAAGGAAAAATGGTAGAAAGGCTTAAGCAGTTGCATCTTCATGTTGTTATAATCAACTGAATTTGACACCCACCTTTCCCTGCCCCCCATGGGGTTCAACAGGCCTCTGCATCGGTGGGGTCTGAGCAGACTGAGCCATTCCCGATTGGCTGATTGAGTCAGAGCGAGACTGGATGGCATTGTCAGAAACAGTGGTGCAGATTTTGGGTGAGCCCTGTCTGTTGAGCTTACTTCGCTCCTCAACCTGGAGATAAGGATGACAATGAAAGAGGCTGTACATTGCGGGCCGGTGTGCGGCCGTTTGACAGTGTTGTTTAATGCTTCAAATTGTAGGACACATTATTACCTCACGGGCCCAAGAAGGTTTGTTGTTGGGCTCCAGGTTTTTGTTGTAGTGGTACAGCTGGGGCTTCTTTTCTTGCTGCTGTTGTTGCAGAGACACAAGGTATGCATGCTCCTGCTGCAGCTGCCTCTGCAGTCGCTCTGACTGACGCTGTTCCTCCAGCTGCTTGCGTTTGTACTCCTGAGCAAAGAAAACAGAAAAAACACACTGCAGTCAAGCCATCGCTTAACTCAGACGGGAAAGAAGTCAGGCAGGTCGTAACCAAGCAAAACCTTTTTCCAACCTTTAGCAAAACCTTTATGTGCAGTATGTCAACCTACCAGTAAAAGTCAGTTTACTTAGTGTTTTTTCCATTCAGTTGAAGGCAGACATCTCATTGCCGCTTGATGTCGACCACATTCATAACAAAGTAGGCACATTGCCTCTTATAACAGCAGAAATTCAATTCATCCTCAGAAATGGAATGGCTCAGAAAGTTACATGTGATAAACAAGTTTGGGTACACAGAATCTAAAATAACTTCCTGCCAAAACGAAGATCTCAAATGTGTCTTTGTGGTTGTACTACTTTTTTTTTTTAATCTACTTTTTAAACCGCAAATCACTCTGGGCCGTAAAGCATTAGATTCACAACTTCACAGTGCTGACATGCATATTCTGGGTGGTGAGTGAAAACTGTAGATACAAACAAACCAAAGTCCTTTCAGAAACCAATGTGAGTTTCTGCACTGTGAGAAAACCCAGCCCGGCACCTGGTGAGAATGTTTCACCCAGGTGCTTCCCTATGTGGGAGGATACATCTAAATAGGCCGAAGGCATAATGGAGGGATTATAACATATGGAAAAGGACATCTACTCTGCTGCCACTGACAGATATTTAACATGGAAATATGGAGAATTCTCCCCACCTCCAAAACTGTGATTTTGTGAACTGTGAGGGCAGTATGCGGTTATATCGCAGATGCTAGAATGCTGGTGTACATTCCTGAAGGAAAAATATGTGGAAACCGTTGCAGATGAGCAAAAAAAAACAATAACTAATGCTTGATAAGATTTAATGTTAGCATAATTGTCGTGAAATACTACTTAGTGGTGTTCGCAATAAAAAAAACAGCACTAGAAAAAAGGTACAAATATTGATATACCAAGAGATATACATAGATATACCAAGGAGTACCCTTTTATTTGTGCCTTTTGTTTGACTCAATACAATTTTCCGACATGATTTATTTCCATTTGATTCTCATTTTGCCCATTACTATCTCAATTACACCTAATTAAATAAATAATCGAATGGCTACTAATGTGAATCAGCTGCAGGAAAAGTTATTAATCCAGGCATATTTGTAATGTGCCTTATTATTATTATTAAGTATATGGGAAAAGTTCTCTTCTTCTATGTGAGGATATCCTAAAATGCAGACTTGACACAAAATTGCATCATAGTTCTGTTCCCAGGGGTGTGCTGCCCATGAGTATGGCACCGAACCCTCAAAATCACTTTACGCCGACTGTCTTGCTGTTGATCCTGTACGATAACACATAATTCCTGTCTGTGTGTACGTGCAAAACTATTTCATGTGCCTTATAAATACATTAGTGAGGATTTGATTCTTTCTCCCTCCAAAAGCAGAAACAAAATGTTGACACTATGCCTAAATCTAAAAACCTAATGACAACAACCCTTATGATTCACAGGTGTGGGATGTCTTCTAGTGTCAGCAATATACAACGGAAATCTGCCCAAAGCGGCCCGGTAAATATAGGGCGTGCATGCAGTATTATCTGCTTTTTAATTGACCATTAGCACTAACCTCATACACAAGCAGATATTTAACACTGCAGTTTGTTTTGACAAAACACTTCAAGGTTCTGTGCTCATCAGAATTGAAGGGTCTAGGGATGAAGTGCGGCATAAGCTGTACAAATTGTGAAGCCCTTAAGGCTGTTGTGTAATATCCGGTTAATTGAATAAAATTGACTTGACAAAAACAAGTCATATTGTTGTGAGGACACACAATCTCATTTACTAATGATCTATTGTAGCCGAGAGGACATAGGAACCCCTGGAGTCAAAACAAGACATGATAAAGGAGTAGTGAGGACTAGTTACCATAAGCAGTGCCTGCTCCTGAAGCAACTGCTGCTGAAGGATTTCTAACTGCCGCTGCTCTTCTTCTAACTTATGTCTGATAAACTCCTGAGAAAAGGTGAGGAGGCAGGAATGACAGGCGTTGAAAAGACAGGAAAAGAGAAATGACAGGAGTCAGAGGATAGAGGCACAGAGCAGTTATGTAATATCATTCCAGTGTTATACTGAGAATAATTCATTTTAGAGGGAAAACATACACCGTCCCAGTGTAAGGACTGTAAGAGAAGAGAAATACAAGCTACCACTGAAATATGACATCACCGTTAAGCACTACATAGAGATAGTCATAAATCACCACATAATATTATATTATGATATATTAGCAGTAAACTGTGGTTGTTTGGAGGCATAAAATGAGTATTAGGGACCACAGAGTGAGGATGCCGCGTTCCAGACTTGTGTTACTGAGGGTAGACAGGGAAACGGGAGCACAGAGACAGAGTCACCCACAGAAAACTCGTCTCTGGAATAAATACATATTTAGACCCGTGCTGCTATGGCAACCTGCTCATGGAATTTCACCACCAGAGCAACTTGCACTGCGTTGTTGGTGGACACGCCCACACAGGACACCGATTGGCTGAACGCAGCCCCCACCTTTCTTGCGGTTGGTTACCTGCTCCCTCTCAGCCAAGCTTCTATCTTCCTCCCGTCTCATATCGTCGAGTCGTCGATGGGGACCTTTCTCTTGCTGCCTCACCATCTCTCGCTCCTTTCTCTGTTGCTGGGAGAGAGGGGCGACAGGAGAAGAAGTGAGCATACAGGCTATGCTTGCAAAGGGGCATTTATAATGGATAGCCTGCGTATAAGCAAACCCTCCCTTGTTTTGTCTGCAAAGAACAGGAGGAAATAAATAAAATGGAGTAGGAATGCAGGGCAGGGAACAGACGCTGTGAGTCACTCATAAAACGCATACACCTATTGAATCATAGTAGTCAGAGTTTGCTGCTTTGATTCAAACTCAAATTGACCACAGTTATTCACTTTTGGCAGAGAGCATGCGTCATCTTTTTTTGAAAGGGACATCGAAACAACACAGATTGTTCTCAGTGCTTAAACAGCACACAAATCTCTCTACTTGTGGTTGGCACTTTAGTCAAATACATCCAGAGAAGGTGGATCAGGATGTGGTGGTATTTCAGGTACAAGTGCATTTCTGATCGGAGTAAAATACAGACATTTTAAATAACTTTTGATGGTAAAAAAAAAAAGAAGTACATAATGATCTGACTCAAGCAGCCAAAAAGTACACAAACGGCTACAGGGCTTTTCCCGAAGACAATTTATCACTTTGACACTTCGTTGATTCTATGTTAGATTTAAAAAAGAAAATAACAATGACACATTCAGGGGATGTCAAATATTGACAAGAGTACAAGGCTAAATCAAAACTTGTCATGTGCCTCAAATCAAAATAATTCTTGTTCTGTGCATTTTCATCACCAGGTCAGTAGAATTTTGTATTGTTCCATTCAGTAGTGTGCAAACACTTCAGCACAGCATTTAGGAACTTTGATAGAAACGTGTGACTTTCACAAAATACAATTATAAAACCTTATTTGGTTTTGTTTCAGTAGGGAACCGAGACAGATCTAGGGTGGCCTATGGTTGAATCCACTTATTGTACGTCGCTTTGGATAAAAGCGTCCGCTAAATGACATGTAATGTAATGTTTATCATACATTTCGGAGTGCATTTTTTTATAAATGGTGACTGTTGATCAAAATCTGTCAACTGATCTAGATTGTTAATTAGTTGGTGGCAGAAAAGGTTATTTTGAATAACACATGCAGCCTGCAGGGCCGGTTCACCATGTCGCTTTGCGCAGTTAAAAGTCTAAATGTTGAGCGAATTTCACAGATACATTTTACAAACTTCATACTCACTAAACAGTTCACTCAAGGCTACAACTCAACTCACTTAGGGTAAATGTATGCAGAATGAATAAATCATACCTGTGTAGCAAGGAGATGGACTTTTGGTCTATGTACTATCTATCTATCCCCCAATGTTTACCTTTTTATTTATTCATTCAACAATGAATGTGAGTGCACATTTGAACATTTGCTGTTGCCAGTTGAGGTGACCTCAGATTTTTGTTCAGTCCTTTAAACTAGTTATTCAGCCACTGAGGCTTTGAGTTGGTAAATAATAATTTAAAAAAGGTTGAAGTCTAAACTACTCAAACTGTTATATCTGGTGTTATATTGTATTACCGGTGTTCATGAATTGATATATATGTACATTGCATAAGGAAAGATAAATAGGCCAATATTAAAAATTGCTGTGTGTGGAGGGGCGTGGTTAGCTCAGCTGCAGGCGTGACGGGAGCGGCGAGCGCAAAATTGCTCACGCACAGCGCTGTAGTGTAGACAAGCAGGTGGAAATAATCTGCACTGATTGTCTCTGATAAAAACAGTGAGCAGGATCCAGATCGGGGGGACGTGAGCCGAGCAGAGCAGAGCTGAGCACGAGAGCTGAGCTGGGCAGTGCAGAGCTGAGCAGAGCGGAGCCGAGCAACAGCACGACGAGCGGCCTCATTCCTGCTCACTGACCCCCTTTGGAAAATAAAGACTTGTTGCTCTCAAACGTGTGTCCGTGCATCCTTACGGAACCCGCCGGTGGTAGCGCTATCACGGCTACACTGTGCACTTATGAACAAAACTATCAATGGCAAAGCAAATAATGAATTAAAGTGCAAAAGAAAAGGCAACAGCAAGTAGTTAAGGGGATGAAGGACAAGACACAGACAAGCGACATGATGTTCTGCCTGCTGCATAATGTATTAGTATCATAAGCCTCTGGTAAAATGTGCAAGATTACATTTATTTATAAAACAAGGTTGTCAGTGGAAATTAGGTCAATGATTTTATTTTTTCAATCTCTAACCAAATCCGATATGTTTCTGCTTATAATTGTCAGAATAAACCAAAACAAGACCAAAAAAAAGATTTAACGGTTAAAAGGAAGTAAATGATAAATTAATTATCATTAAAAAAGGATTGGAAAGTGTATTAAGCTATATAATACTCAACCGACCTAACAGCAAGGTCCTGAATACACTCCTACTTTGAGTAAATAGAGAATCGTATCGATCAACAGACTGAAATTCCCAATACTTCTTTCTGGTGACATTTCATCCCCAGTGCTGCGTTTACGCATCGTCTTAGCTCGTAGGCAACAGACCTAAAGTCTGGGCATTGGGTGCGTCATAATTATCTTGAAAACGAATTTGAATGTTAATTGTTGAAGTAGACAATACAATCATTTGCTTTCTTGCCACGGTTGCATTAAGGGATTGATGCCAGTCACTGGAAGATCCACCACCTCCAAAGCAAACTAATTGAAATGTAAATGCTTAAAAAATGTTATGTGCAATAACTTTTTCTTTAAATATTGCAATTTCCAGGAAATAGTACACATTTTAGATGTGTCGAGGGGTCTTGTCTTAACTTCAGAGATTCAGGCTAGTTTTTCCAACTGCTTCCAGTCCTCACACTGAGCTACGATAAACAGCTTGTTGCTCTAGATTCATGTTTAGCATGCATGTCCATGTCTTCTCATCCAAAAGCGCCTTAGCCGATCATTACCTCTTCGAGTCGGCGCCGCTGTTCCTTCTGCTCCTCAATGCGTTTTTGCCGGTCGTGCAACAGTTGCCTCTTGTGTTCCTCGGGGTCCCTGCGCTGAGCCGCCAGTTGGGCCTGCTGCCTCTTGTGAGCCTCCGAGCGCTCTTTGTTCTCCTGTTGCAGACGCTGGAAGTCCCGCCGCAGGGTGGACTCACCGGGCACATTGAGGATTGAACTGATGAGCAAAATTAAAGAAGAAATGGAGAGGATTTTGGGGACAATTCGCATAGCGAAGACTTGGTCACCTATATGGATTAATGCAATTTACGAATTGCTAATACCTCGACTCTCGGTCCTCTCCACGATTTTCATCCTCTTCGTCACTACCACTGTACTCGTACTCAGTCTCTTCTATAAATTACATTAGCACAAAGGAAAGTGAAATAATATTATTATTTAAGTTCAGTAAATCATGGTACATGAAGATACAGCAGACCCTTGGTTAAAGTGGTTTAGGCTCTTTCCTTCTCATTCGCTCACCTTTTTCTCCCCTTTTCTTGCGCGTACGGTCAATGTGGTCTTTGAGCTGAATGCGGACCTGGCGCTCAGTGGGCTGGTCCCTGATGAAGGAGTGCTTCAGAAGCTGCTCTGTGGACGGTCGCGTGGTATAGGTCTTCACCAGACAGCCCTCTATAAAGTCAATGAATTTCTTGGACCTGGGCAGAATGGGTAGGTGAGAGAAGCATAAACCAGTAAGGGGAAAGGTGGGAGAGCTGGGAGGAATGGAACAGTTGGCAGCTGGGCAGAAGGGAGATTTAAAATGGGACACAGGCCATCCTCATCCTTTGAACAGGTCTTTCTCTTTCTGGGGACGGGTCCTGTACAGTACCAGTCAAAAGTTTGGAAAAACGTTCTCTTAAAATTGAATAAGAAAATGTTTCGAAACTTTTGACTGGTACTATGTGACATTTCTCCCTTTCAAAGTTTGAGATGAAGTTCAGGTTCACAGTTTATGCTTCCAGTCTTCTGTACACTGGATTTAAAAAAACATGCAAGAAACGGGGACAGCGTGATCACAGCTAAATCCAATTCAACTATTGCAGCCATAGTCAGGATGTTACATCTCCCACTTAGAAAACTTACGGGAGATATTTCCCAAATGTTCCTCCCAGTCGAGGAACAGATGCACCCAAAAGTACCTTTAAGCACAAAATCTGATTTTAGAAATCAGAGATGTTCCTTTTATCACTTTTTGTACTGGCAAAATACGTTTCATTCAGTGCTGTTCTTGTTAAACAAACACAAATTATGCCTTGAAGAAGAAAGAAAGAAGAGTCTTTCGCTGCCTCAGTCAGTCGTTTATAGAGCTATTTCAGCCATTTTAAAAATCTAAACTAATCCCTTAAAAAGTGGTTATTGACACAATAACAAACAAACAAACTAATCAATCGAGGCAGACCAACAGACCAACAACTCCCATGAGGTGCAGGTCAGATTACTGTTCAAAGGACTCTGGCTTTTCACAGACAATAGATGGATATCATTTTCAGCGGGCTGGAAGGGTAAAACTGAAAATGTTCTAATAGTGTGCATTTAGACTGGTGTTGATTTCTGCAGGTAGACCCTTTTTTCTGTGGCTAAAATAAGTTTTACACAGTAGTACTTTGCATTGCTACCGTGTTGGTACTGCGGTCTGTTTGTCCAAACTGTGGGTGTACCATTCGTTATCTATTTTTGGTAATACACCATCTATGAATACAGCACCACTTCGAAAAAATAAACTATCGCCATCAACCTGGTGATTGTTGCTCTGCAGTAACCTGCTTTCCCAAACATCAAGTAAACAGAAAACCACATTAAAGCAGGTCATGTAAATTTGCTCTCCTGCCACAACCCGTTTTGTAGGTCACTTTTACATTTGCTTTTTGAAACAAGGATTCAAGACCATATGCACATTTAAAAATCATATGAGGGAATCTTGCGAGATGTATCAGATATAATATATGCAAGAAACACAACAGGACGGTTGATAACTCACCATTTTTTGGATTTAAGTTTTGGGGGGGGGTTCCTGGGGATGAGGAAGAGGGCTCTCATTGGGTGCATGTCACATAAGGCTGCCGAAATAAACAAAGACGGTGAGACTTGTTAGATTGCATAAAATCAGCCTACCAAAGCTGAGACCTACAACAAAAAAAGGAAGGAAAGACCAACTATAGATTAAATAAAAAGTAAGACAGAATATCACATCACACTTGGTCATTTGTAGAAAAATACTAGCCACCATCACACACACACACGTCTTTGTATCCTCAAATATGGTACAGCTGCTGTTATCCAATCTTTCCTGGTGCCTCAGGCTTATTGTTACATTGAATGTAAGAGCAAGGACTGTGAGTCATTGTGTTCCCAGCGTAGGTAGGTAGCTAAACCTGACTGGTTAGCATTACACTTTCACAGTAAATAGGCTTTCATGTGGTCGCCTTTTGGACAAATACAACGTGACAGAGAGCCTCAGGCAGGAAGAACGTTTGATTTCAGCCTTATAAGGGAACAGGATAGTCACAGCCACTGGTTGTGTAAAACAATGTATTAGTTATAATGATTTTAAACAGATAAATTAACTAACGACCAAACGCTTGTCATTATTTTCTGTAGACGACTGATGCAATAAAAAAATGTAATGGTTTCATCCATAACTAAGGGAGAGCTTATCAAAAAACCAAAAATATTGCGACTTTGTAAGTGGAATAAATACTTCTGCAATGAAACCGTCTTATATCGTTGGTGCTCAGCAGTCTCAGTATCAGTAATGTGAAACAAAAGGCTTTCACAACAGCGTACGTTTAGCACAGCCGTAATTAATTTCCCAAACATCTCAGCTGCTACTCTTCAGTGAGCTTTTCTTCTCTTTTTAGTCAGGTTTGACAGTGAGTCTCTTAACAGACATCTCTCCCCGCTTAGTAGACGAGAGAGAACTGTGCAATCAGCTTCCAAGGGCCGACTGCCAGCTCACGACTACACTACCTTGATTAGTGAGTCAGCTGCCCATCTGAAGACACCGAAAACAAGGCTTCGCATGCAAGACAGACTCATTCATTAGGCCTTTTCTGCCGATGAGAAACTGTCTGATGCTGGGTGCACAATGTTTAAAAAAAGAACAAACATAAAAGAGGTGGTGTTCAGAGAAGTGAGTACACTTACGGGGAGCTCCCTCTGCCATCTCGATGGCTGTGATCCCCAATGACCAGATATCACTCTGTAAAATACACAAGGGACCAGGTCAGTCTCCATCTTTCATATCCTCCCACAGCGTAGTGCACACACAACCACAGTGCTGCTTCTGTTACCCTGTAGTCGTAGGTGGAGTCGGGGTTCTCGTCACAGGCAATAACCTCAGGTGCCATCCAGTACGGAGTGCCAATGAAGGTGTTCCTACGGCCAACAGTCCTGTCCAACTGAGCGCTCACCCCAAAATCAACTGAATATGGACGAAGCAATCAGAGGAAAGGATGTGTGGCGATGAGGGGTAGCGTAAAGGGCTTTTGATCTTTTATCCAAAACCTAAAAACATTGTGCGTACCAAGTTTGACCTCTGCGTTCTCAGTTAGCAGCACGTTCTGGCCCTTGATGTCTCTGTGGATGACTTTATGGGCGTGGAGATGAGAAAGGCCCTGCACACAGATAAAGGAGTCCAAAGTAAGGACTATAAGTAAGGAGCAAACTCTGCTGCAGACTTGCAGATGGCAATTTCTCACCCGTAGGATTTCTCTGCAGATGTAAGCAATCCAGTCCTCCTTTAGGGAGCTGCCCTTGGTGTTTTTCACCAGGTCAGTCACTGACCCCGCCCCACAGAACTCCATCACCAGCTACATTCAGACAAATGCAAATGTGGTGAGCACAATCACTGAGGCATACTGCTATAAAATGATTGGGCCAAGTAAAAGGCTAGACCCACCCAAAGCTGGTCATCGTGTCCTGGTGGACTCTTCTTGACAAAGGCACCATAGTAAGTGGCTATGTTGCGGTGGTGGCTGTATTTTTTCAGCATGTTGATTTCAGCTTTGATTTCCTCTTCTTCCTCCTCTGTAACATCCATCACCTTGATGGCAGCCAGCTGGCCCGTCTTTACATGACGGCCCTGGTGAGTTCATGACAGTCAGTAAAGTTTAAAGTGGACCGGAGACTGCAGGTTTCCAAAACTCGTTGAAATTTGCCCCATCGAGTGTAAATAATTGCTTCATCTAACAATTTCCCTGCTCTTATTTTAGATTTACTTCTCCAGTGTCTCTTATCTTTCTGTCACAGGGACTTAACTTTCCAGGCTGAGAACTGAACAAGTGTACATGCATAGCAGTATGCTAAATCTACTGTTATCTGAGATGTGAAGGCAAATAACATTCTACATAGCTCCAGCATGACAGTCATTTTTGGAGCCTGTTTCATAGCAACTAATTCAACATGTGAAAACAAAAGTTGTTGAATCTACAAAAATACTACTACATCACCCGGGTATAATTTAAGCATCGCGTCTTACCTTGTACACCTGCCCGTAGGTCCCATTGCCGACAACCTCGACAAGCTCAAAGATTCCTGCTGGATCCTATGGGAGGCACGGTCAGAACCATAAGTCATACCACACACAGGAAGAGCAGAGTCAGACACCTTTTTTTCAAGATTAACAGATCCAAATAAGAAAAGAATAGCAATTAAATAAACAGCAATATGTATTGCTTTTAATTTTTTCCAGAAATGCCTTTTTTTATTCTAAATGGATTATGCTGTTTTGATCTCTGAATCCTACACACTGGTGACCTTGAGTGGTGGTTGTATTTCACATTGTTACCGTCATGTACCAATACCAACGTCCTGCTTAACAGCACCTGTTTTAGTAACTCCTGCAAATACAACCCCAATGGTTTCCACTTTATGTACACTAATGCCAATTCAAGTTTTATATTACCACATAAATCATTTGAACCCAACATTTCCAGGCCACACACACACTGCCCACCCACGACATGGAAACAGCTAAGCAGATGTACCACATATTGATATTATATTAGATATGGATTTGAAAAAAGACATCCATTTGTTTTAAGTTTGAATGGAGTGAGTACATTCTACCTACACAGAGTGCTTTGACTTAATTATGCAACCCCTCCCCCAAGACACAAGGAAATATGACAATCAGCTCCACTTTCATGCAATTTCAATATGGCTTTGAGAAGATGTGTGGGTGGTTAAACTGCTGCTGCTTTAGGTTTAGAATGTACAGCATAACCTATCCTGCTTTCATCGGTTTCCAATGATAGATTTCCCACAACATGGAGGGGGAGGGGATTCCTTTGAGATAGGAAAAGATTTAAGCGAAAGAAATATTGGGCAAATAAAACTGGTAAATAACCATACATTTGATGCAAAATGGACATAACTCATGATGATATAAACATAGCATATTTTGAATCATGCTATAACACCAAAGAGGGGGAACTGTAACGTAAAGTAGGAGAAAACCAATATGATAATATGGAAGGGAAAAACGAGTGGGTGGCAAGGCAGAGGCAGTAGCCTCAACCACGAGAGTGGGATGAGAGAAACAAAGTGATAGACGGGGAAGGGTACGGCTATGTTCAAGTAGTACCACCAGCACACAGTTAAACAAATTGCCTGCTACGGTCGCTAAAAGGGCAAGGAAGCAGTAAAACAACAGGGTAACTGGAGGAGAAATCTAGTCAGCCTGCTTGAATGACAAAAATGGCATCCCTGCTAGTTCTTATGGATATCATCCTGTTGTGTATTATATAACTGTTAGGAACTCAATGAATGTTCCCATCAGCCCAAGAAGTCCATTGGGATTGTTTTTTGCCATTCCTGTGGTCAAGATTTAACTCAAAAGAAATGGCTTCCTAATACGTAATTCTTCATCTGTACGCAAGAAAATACTGTGATTGAACCACTCCTCTACTAGCGCTATTGAGACGTATTTCTTTCTGACTGGGTCCTAGTTATGTTTACCAAATGCGCAGAGAGACGCACATGTATTCACACACAAGTGTCATTCCCCAACAGTCCTGCCAATGGTTTCACACTACTTCACAATTCAACAGGTGGCAGTAACGCCAGAGACATACAGCATGCCCCAACGAAGCCAGGGACGAAAAGGACTGCTAGCTAGTAAACAGTGCATGATTTAAAACACCAAAGAAAAGCATATTAAAATGTTTTATGCAGGAGGCAATACATTTAACCTCTTTGTTGGAGCTCAAAGTTACACAAAATGCCTTTTGATGAGTGATACTGAATGTAAACACAACTTGAATTTGCTTACTAGAAAGCCCTATAAATGGTGCGTTCACTTAAATTACTAAAATACATTCATATTTTATTCTTGTGGTAGATGGTATTTGTATTCTTAAATTCGTTAAACCTAAATTGAATATCAACTTGTACTGGTAATGCTGAATACTTTCCATGGAGTAACCCACCAGGAGGAAGGTCAATTTTTCATTACTAAAAAGGACCTTTCTCAGTTCTGAGTTTGAAAATGGTTTTAAAAATGCCAGATGCACATTCTGATTAATCATTTACATTTTGGGAATGAAATAAAGGAACAGAATAAAAGAAGGCCATTTTTCTTTTTCAAACCGCTAGCCAAGTGGGGAGACAGGGCTGTAATCTACCTTTTCAAAAAGACTGAATGAATGAAATACTTCTTTAAAAAAGGCAAATAAAATGTCTGTCTGAGGTTGCAACAAAGATATAAAATAGATACTTTTCAATGAAATGGAGCAATGCGTCAAAAGGGAGCATCAGAAATGGGGGGTCAAAAAAGTGAGGGGATTTTGTTTTATTTAAAACTGAGGAGGGCTTCAAGCTGGACCACTGAATATACAGATGCATCCCTGTCAAAGTATAATACTTGTAATACTTAATATACACAGTAGTATTAGAACGTTGTCAGTAAGACCAATCAAAAACCCCAGTTTCAAAATTTATGAGGAAATGGTTAGAGGAGTCCCAATTCAACTGGGAATCAATGACTGTCAAGCCCCCCCCCCCCCCTATGGAAAAACACCTATATACAACAATAGATCCACTCAATCTCTAGAGTTTAGAACTGGTACCTTTAGTTAAACATGCATACTAAAAAAGGACTAATAGCTACATACGGAAGGCAAATAGTTTACTGTGATTTGTGTGTGTGTGTGTGTGTTTTAAATGATTGCACCAACCACGAAAGGTTGGCATGGCTGGAATATGTGCAGGTTTATTCGATGATGCGTGACACTCGAGCAGCTGCCTGTCACAATCCAGGGCCAAAGGGATGTTTATTCCACCTTAACTTTGTTGCGTGGGGGTTGAACGGTCATGCTCGTGTCAGAGGGCCAAGGAACACATCAGATCATATGACACAACATTCACCGAGCCCGTCCAGCCATCATTTAACGTTATAACAATAAATACTCACCCTGAGAGCCGCGAGGTCGATGTCATCCAGGCTTCGTGTGGGGGCGTTTTCAGACATAGCTGGCGAAAACTTAACCGCCGCAGCTACCAAGTTAGCCGGCTATTTGACAAGAGGTACCGTGGGGGAAACGTAAGTCGCCGCTACAAAGATATCTCAAACGGTATCAAGCGAGCGGGGACGTACGATGTGCAAAAACCCCCCAAAAACAACAACAACAAAAAACTGTTGCGGAACAACCCGGTAACACTTAAGTTAGCGAACACATCGCAGATGGCGCTGCCACAGGCGCACCCAGCTGGCTAGCTCCCGTCCACTCGGGCCGAGAGCCGTGGCGTTATCCGCAGTTGTTGTGGGAGAAACGCGGTTTACAACATCTGACCCCCTCCTTTCCCTCCCTCCCCGGCCCAAAAACAGGAGACACGTTAACTTTTATAAAAATATTATTTCAACAGAGCGGTAACGTCACTGTTAGCCGACCATCGGCGCCGTTCTAACAACTGGCAGGTTTTCAACGCGACGCACCTTGACTGTTGTTGAACACCTTGCTGCGTTCATCTTGACGGAACGCCCTTGTTGCTGTACCACATTCGGCTAACGTAACGTGTGGGAAACGATGCGTGCCAAAAGAGGGGGGGGTACCAGATAGGACAGGTGTGCCAGTAAAAGCGTTCCTCGTCACGCGGTTGAGGTAGAAAACAACATTTTTTGTGTTGTTTCTTTTTTTTTAAAGGAGAACGCAACGTCTGACGTGATGGCGTCCGGGTCCGTCCGCACCAGAACCGACCGTCAGCCTGTCAAGATTAGCCCTAAATACGTGTCCTCACAAAAAAAATAAACACTGACAGTGTGGAAAAATTAAAGTTTGCGGCTGTAACGTTTAGTTTTTCAAACTTGTTAACGCGACTTGAATATTCTTCAATTTCGACAGGGCAGCACGTTCGTCCGAATACCGAGTCAGGTGCGTGCAATCAGCCCGACGTCCGCTGGCTAGCTACCGTTGCTAAGCTACTCGACTGCACAGTCTTTTTCCGGGATGAACTTTCCTTCTTCGTCCGTTTTCTGTGTTGACAGTCGCGCCTCGCACCACCAACCCTCCGGGGTGAAAAAGCGAAGACGACGCGCTATTGTTTTTCTCCTTTATTTCCGCCAGGCACCGCCGTAATACTTGTAAAACGAGACAAACGACTCTTTATAGTTAAGCGTCGCCGTTCGTACTCACGCATCCAAAATGTTACGAGCAGTCCACCCCGACACCGAACACACGGCGCAGTTCCAAAAAAAGCTGCTACAGCCCAAATGTGTTATTTCGCCATGTTTTGCTTCCCGAGTCCTCCCTCCCACTTTCTGCCTGGTTGTAGTCCTCCTGCGGGGCTGAACCGCCTTTTGGCTGCACACGTCCCTCAACTGTTTTCTCCTCTCGGGTGACTACGGCGCTTCATCAGGGACAAATTACTTGCAGGATTTATTACAGCGGAACGCGACCTACGCAACAGAGTCTGCTCGCAATATTGCGGCTGAGGTCGTCCTCCGACTTCCTGCTCTGCAGTCTCTCCTCTGTCTGTGATCGGACCTGAGGAGTCATTCAAGTAGAAGTGCAAAGTCCGCTTGAAAACTAAAGATCACACTGCCGCGTTTAATTCCTGGAGTGTCTGTTGCTATTAGTAACGGATTGACCCTTTCCGCCTCTCTGTTTTGCTCCAATACGTCTGACATCCTAACAGCTTTATGCCAATTTGAGTTATTTTACACGAAGACACGCCTACCGCATCTCCAACTGTTCATAATTCTTGTGAGAATGCATGAATCACATCCAAGAGTTCAAAACAACACTCTGGCACGGCAGCACAAGATAATAGAATATAAACTTTAATTAAGTGTTATGTTGAATAGTGCGTTACATTTTCCATTTGTATGAACTCCGTTTTCAAATTGCACTACTATAATACAGATAACATCCATAACATGGATTTTGTTGGATAGTGTAATTTACAGTAATGGATACCATTTCGTTGCTACTGTTTTCATTCATGGACCTTGAATTCCGCTGCACATTTCCATGTTACACAATGACAATAATTTTCCTTGGAACCTTACATTTTCAAAATCAAGGATAAGGATTTTTTGCTCCTTGTTGTTTTCTTTTCTTGTAAAATGTCACACTGTTTCTAGGTGGTATTAGTAGTTCTAGCTGTGGAATGCTGTTTTCTGATACATTGCAGCTCCCATTTTTATTAAGATATATCTGTTTTAAAAGTAAAAGTTGATATTAACTTTGAAATTCCATAAAAAAAAAGTCAATTGAGGAAATAAGATAAACAACATTCTCTGAAGTACAAATTGTTCAACGCTGTTTTTAAGTGAAGTGAATATTTATGACCTCTATGCTCCTCATTGTTAGTACGCTATACATCAACAACTCTAAAGGTAACCAAGCTAACTAGGTATTCTTACACAAAGACTTTCACATGGTGACTTTAAAAAAATTCAAGTATCGGTTAGTAGTACATGCATAAAAATGGTTAAATATATTATTAATGCCGGCTATTAGTCCATTAAAAACAAAAATCATGGTAGAAACAGCATACTGTCAATTCTCAGTATTTGACAGAGATTTTGGGAAAAATATTCAAACAATGTTTACCCTTCAGGCAACCAATTTGTGCTTTACAAAACAGCAAAATACCCAGCTTCTAAATACAAGAGCTCATAGTGTCTCTTAATATCCTCTGTAAAAGGCACCTCAGGAAGAGACAAGGCAGCATTCATGTGCGACACATGTCATATGTTACATGGCTCTGGAGCGGCAGTAGGGACCAGGCCTATAACGAGGGTTGCATGTTGAGGTCCTTGAACGGACCCAGTGAGGAGTGTGGACTGACACCGGAGAGGTGCCGGTCCTGTGCTCTCTGAGCAAGGCTCAGAGCTCCAAAGGTGAACCCCGGACTTTATTCTAACTGTCCACTGCCCAGAATACGAGGATGGGTTAAATGCAGCGGCTACATTTCTCTGTGTGCGCTAGGATTTGTACAACCCTTGACAAGAAGTAGAAAAAGAAGTTTACTCAAACCACCTTGGTATTTGACAAAAAAAAATCAACGTCTATATTTTACTGGCTCTGTCGTAAGTTCGGCCATTTTTTTAGATCATGAACTGGATTAAGTAATGCCCTGCACGTCAAGCCATGATTCCAAATTAACATACATATCTCTTTAAAAATACATGGAACAGGGTTCCTCAGTTTGAAAAAACACAAAAAGAGAGTCAGATTCTGCTTTTTGTCTGCTGGTCATTCTCTAAAATCTTGATATGATAGAGATGCTTTGCCGTTAAGGATAAACGTGGCAAGACTGTGAGCCATGTCAAACACCTTCAAATATAATGGCTAAATGTGATGTGCCTAATAAAAGACTGCTGCATGTCAATTTATAAAAAGGGTAGATAAGGGAGACATTTCATGGCACCTGGGCACAGAATTGAGGAGCTGGCATGGAAATAGCTGAAGTGGATACTGGAATGTTTTGTTCTGTTCTGCTGACAACATGATGTAATAATCATTCACTGTGGTTGTCATGGTGACTTAAAAGAAAAAGCAATAATTAGTGGTAAATCAACCCCGCAACCTTTAATTATCTTGTCCTCCTATTCTTTCCCTCGAACAGTTTTCCCACCTGATCATTCATCCACAAATATTGAAATAATTTTCCTGCCACAGAAATGATCAGTCCTTTTTTTTTCTTCCTAGCACTCCCTTCGGATGTAGTATGTTCTCCCTCTTATCGGTACTCTTCCTTTTCTGCCCTATCCAGGTTATATTTCAGCTACAATCCAGTGATCTCTTTATATCCGTCACCATAACAACCACAAATGTTCTGACAGATTCGCTGGCACTGCAGAGAGAGGTGAAGCCTCAGAGGGAGTGAGGGAGTGCGAACGAGAGAGAGAGAGAGAGAGAGAGAGAGAGAGACACACACAGAGACACCCACCCACCAAAAAAACCTTGCACCAATAAATGTACACTATGTTCCCAGATTATGTGGGATGCTTGATTTTCAATACAACCTCGCAATCCTCTCCTGACTCATACATTCATTTATGTGTGTCTAACACCACCGCCAGCCCTGCCGTTCAGATTGCGCTGTCGCACAAAATGTGCCGCAGACACGACCGTCACGAACAAACGCTGCCTTTCTACATCATGATCTACGTTTCAACACTTCAGATTCAACATTGCAGATCTTACAAGGAGGAGCGCGCGGCGCAGCAGCACCTCGGCTGCCGCGTAGTGGTCTGAGCCGAGCTCGGCTGCGGTTATGTCCACAGCCCCACCGGAGCCATGCCTTCTTTAGTGCTCAGTGGAGGGAGCAGGTTCTCCTCGCACAGGAACCTCAACGGGAAGTGGACGAGCAGCCCCCGGACGGCCTTCAGTTCCTCTTTGGCCTGCTCCGGATCTGTGTCGCAGAGGCGTTCTTCGCTGGCGTATTCCTTCAGCTGTCGCATGTTGTGGACAGAGTTGGTGGGAAGGCATTTGAAGACCTGTTGTAGACCAGCACCGGGGCAAAAAAGGGGAATCAGGAAAAACTGAAACTACACATTGCAACTGTCGCTGAATAAAGAGATTATCATTTGTTACCATCATTTACGTAATCTATACCTTCTCGTAAATGTTGACATTCAGTTTAGCAGATGCGTTCCAGCCCAAGAAGAAGAATTCATCGCTGATTGGATCATCAACATTGACACTTGGGTCGGAAGAAGCTCCAACAAGAACGCTGTTGGGCAGCAACAGCGGCAATTGTTCAGCATTTAAACATCACAAACGTTCCGATAATGTCACAATATAATTTAAACTGAGGTGAGAATAAGAAGGGAGATAATTTAAAACAATTTTACATCCCATTTATATGAGATTATTGTCTTGGAAATCACAAAACCATATGGTTCCTCACTCGTTGCCAGATTCCATTTGGTGGCCAATTTCTCAATAACTTAATAGTAAGCCTGTCTTGATGTTTTCCATGAGAGGTGGGTATAATATTAAATCCGTCAGAGGGCGCAAAAGTAAACAGAATGCACATTTCAAGATTTACACATCGTGCTGACCTGAAACACTCTTTACGCAGAGCGAGCGTGAGGGGTCCTGCCTGGTACTCCTGCCCTCCCATGACGGAAAGGACCCGGTCTTCATCCTCCACAAACACTGCCATCTCACTATCTCTGCTGCCCAGCATGCTGCGGTCATTGATGTTGGCTGATCCTGGAACGCATGTGGAAAATACGAGCATTGAAAATCTGTCATTTCAGAGGCGTCACTCGTGTAATGGGAAAGAGATGTATATATCCAACTGTAGGTTTCTTTTGTTCGGTAGGGTGTAGTCAGTATGTTCTTTGTTCAGAAATTGATTTGAACTTAAACGTTACGCATGTCAAACATGATAAACTGTCCTAGGATGAGTTTGCATCAGTGGTGACGCACCGATGATATAGCAGCGGTCATCAGCAATGAGGGTCTTGCTGTGAACGTAGATGAGCTCTGTGACAAGCGACTGGGAGAGCAGGGAATGTTTCCTCAGGCCGCAGAGTGTGATGTACTCCGTCCACAGGTCCTCGACTGGTGGGGGAAACACAATCACATTAATCACAAAGGAGGATGCAAAACAATATAAATGTGTTAGGAAACTCAAAGGGATTTAAAATGAATGTGAAAAGAAGGAGCAGTCAAGGATGGAAATGGAGAATGGCGGGCAGATGACTGGTACCAGTAGCTAGAGTTAAAAGGAGCGACACGAAGAAAAAGAAGGAAACATGTTAGAAAGGACACAGCTTGTATTCAGTGGTCTCAGGGGTATTTACGCGTGGAAAAGACAGCACATGAGCAACAGGAAACTCACCTTCTCTAAGTCTTGAGAGAATAGAGTGCTCCCCTCGGCACATGGTCCTGGGAGATTCATTTTTTATTAAAATTATATAATTAACTTATTCATGGGACAATAATATATTAACGAATAAACTTGAAACAGCTACTTTTTAATTTAGCAATACACAAAAGCCCAAAAGAACGGAATACCATTCCAATTCGATTTGCGCAAATTTTGCATTTTGTACATTGTTACATTATACATTACATCAACGATAACTTGATGCTCTCACCTGTAAGTGAAGTGCAGAATAGCTTGGATGGCGTTTCCACCTCCTAAACTGATGTCCCCCTCAAAGCCAGGAAGCAAAGGAACCACCACAAACACCCTGTACTTCTTCTGCTCTCTTCAGTAAGACAGAAAGTCAACAAGCCCACCATTAAAACGTTACGGCAGGAGGACTATTCCTCTAACTCATTATTCTATTCTATGTTCACAACATAGAATAGAATAATGAGTTATTGTTGGGCAAATGCTCAAATGTACTCATGGACAATACTCATTGAAATATACTATGTTTTACATGTTTTCATTTCAAACAGAAACAGATTTTTACCTTTAAGATTATGGGTATAATAATTAATGAAGCACAACAAACATCTGGCTTGCGCAATAAAAACAGACCTGTGTGCGCGCAGAATTCTCTTCACAATAGCATCGCCGATCCCATTATAGATGGTCTTCCCACCATCGGCACAGCTGATGAAGAACTGGTTCTGAGGGCAGAGGAAAGGCAGATGGCGGCTCGGTATGAGGTGAGGGCCAACACAGGTAGGTAGCTGGCAGGCAAAGGCCGGAGCCGTGTGATTAGACACACATTGGCTACAAAATCAGTGGCATGTAAAATAACAGTCAAATGTTATTTCAGTAAATAGGAATAACATGCCGAAACCCTAGAAATAAAGGGAGGCAAATTCATACAGACAAGTAGATGCATTTGTATACAAAATAGAGCCCACTCTTAAGTGCTAAACATTAACAACACAGTAACAGACGCGGTATTTAGCAAGTACAAGTATCAACAAATTGATAAGACCATATACATATTTGTCTGTAACTGGCTGAAGCCATCCTACGTTACCTCGATGTAGATGTAGTGCTCGCTGTTCTCAATGGTGTGGATGTAGGCGTTGAGGATCGAGTTCTCATTGGTTCCAGTTGACCAGCGGTCGGCAGAACGTAACACCTGATGAAGGAACAAGTTCATCCCTGATGCAAGTCTTTCACATAACGATTACTTCCCAGCATCAGATCAACTCTGGGAGGGGGGAGGATATGGAGTTTATGCATTACTACGCTATTTTATGGAAGTGTAACCTCAACTTTACATATTTTATCGTGGGGACACTCTACAGCTCCAACGCTAAATGGGAGAACTGAGCCCCTGGAACCTAAATGACTAAAACTGATAGAAGAGCTAGAGCATAATAGCGAGCAAGGGTTAAGGTTACAAGCCACTGTCCCCCGTAGAAGAAGAAAGTTCACACAGCAAAAGCTATTGTTGCCGGCCTTTCTTGTGTACTGAGGCAAATTTCCCTCATGAAGCCCGATGAAAATGAGTTGCTTCCACTTTGGCTACGCATTTGTTTTCTATGGCTTTGCTGAGCAGGATAAACGCATTGGAAGAACGGCTTTACTCTGTTGTCTATGTTGCCATCATGTGTGCACAGTGTCTTAGATACCTGCACTTTGGCCTTGCTGGATCCGGGCACCGTGAATGAAAGCGAGTCAGCCGTGCAGTGAGACTTGGGAAGAAGATAAGGGTAGAACTCGTCCTTGTACTTGTTTTTGAAGATCTAGAGAAGACAAAACAAATGAATGAAAATAAGATTTTTGACCTTCCTGCTGGTCATGTTCCCTACAGAAGACTCGATTAAAGCAGAGGTTAGATTAACTTTGTTCTACTACTTACTATCTAGGTCATATTCTTCTTGTTGTGGCTACAACAACCCAACAGGTTGCAGCGGCATACCATAAAAAACTCCCAGATTGCTTTAATTCTACGTGATAGCTTAAAATATTTGCAAATTAGGGCCTTGGACAGCTTTTGAAAGTTAAGCTTTTGGGACTTATATTTGTTGGTTCCCTCACTATGCGGCTGGTTCCAAGGGGAGAGTTTGGGTCTACAGCGGTATGCAGGGCCATGGCCTGAGTCTGGGGGGAATTACACAAAATTGGACCCATTGGGCCCATAGACACTCCGGGTCCCTGCACTCCCCCCAGAGATAATAAGAAAACAGCTTCCCCTCCAGCTCTGCGTCATCGCAGAACGTTGTTGCTTTTAAAAAAAAGGATCAGTGTTACATTCGCTGGAGGAACAATGGGCTGTGTAGTGCGTTTTTTTTTTTGTTTGCTTTCCTTTTGGGATCCAAGAGGAGAGAATGAATATCTTCTATGGCCTGTCCTCTCCCCACGCAAGTCAACAAAAAAAACGCTGTGAGAGAAAATAAAAGTCCGCTCCACGTCCGCAGAATTTTGCCAGAAAGAAATAGGAAAATGGATTCCTGCAAAGCCTTGAGCAGCGGACACCAACTTTAAACTAAACTCAATACTTTCTGTGATTACTTGTGCATGTGTATTGTGAGGTAAGCTCATGCGTGCTCAAACTCAAACCTTCACTCTTGCTGTTGAACAGTTTGCCTATTGACATATTGGGTGCACATCAGTTATAAGACTTAATTCACAGCCTGGTAATTGGTCCTTGATCCCAAGGTAAATAATCGTATTGTATTGGCATTAATAATTCTATTGATGTCAATAATTTAGTTTTCACACTTGATCAAACCCGCTCTTAACCGTGCACAACATATTTATAATGACTAACATGTTCAAATTCAGTAAAATGACAGTTATTATTCTAATGTCAAAATAAAACATAAGAAGCTCTAAAGAACACCCGGCTTTGTTTTGAGTCTGACCTTGGTGAAGTTCCAGCGCTGGATAAAGTGGCGGGCAACATCTCTGGCCGCTTTCCCATGAACAGCTGCCGACAGATCACGCCACGGCATGCGGGGAACCTGAGTACGGTCAATGTTATCTGAAAAGATATGAAAGTCAAAGTCTTTCAGCTCCCTCTTCCTCAGAATGTGCACGTATGTGATACTAAACAAGATTTAGTGATTTAGACAGTACCTTCAAATGGTTTGTCCAGTTGGACCCAGTCTTTCCTGATAAAGTTACTGTAGTCTTTGCCGAGCCACAGTTTACTGTTACCAGTCAGGTCATCAAGGGGCTTCTTTTCTTCCTTATCTGGCTCTGATGGTTCCGGACCGCCGGACATACCGTTATCCTAGTTAACGGACACATTTGTCAGTGTCATATTGAAAGCACGTATGTCCACAAACTAATGCAAACATATGCATGATCCGTTTCTTACTAATGCGTCTCTTGTGGGGTTGGCTGTCTGTGACACGCCCAGGTCAGTTAGCCGGTACTGGCTGTCATCCCACCTCCCAAACGCCAGGTCAATTCCCCCCACAAAGGCTACTGTTTGGTCAATGGCCACGGTCTTTTCATGGTGAGCCCACATGAATATCACAGAGGCCACATGGTCAGGATGTCGCATCACCTGACGGACACAGGGGTTCAAATTGATGTTAAGACATGAAACGATGGCTTTGGTAATTGCCTGTGTTGAATTACGTCAGGATGCAACGGACCTTAATGTTCGGGTGCATGTTCATAAGAGTCCTCTTGCTGTGCTCACTATTAATGCCAAGGGCCATCTCCATCTCTTTGTACAGCAGAACACACACTTTGACCCCTTGCTCCTGCAGGAAGGAGTGGAAGGAGAAGGAGATGCAACGTCATTTCAAAAAAGGTCATGTGAAATTTGAAAAAGATTGAACTGGTGTGGTGGAGAAGAAGAATGCGGAGAGAATTCTCACAGCTTTGCGTTTGAGTATCTCATCCAGGCGCCAGTAGTTATCAGTCGCTGGTCTCTTTAGGAACACTTCAGGACTGAGCCTGAAATGAAATACCTTTACATTATTTGCTTAGAAATATATATTAGAAATACAATTCATATGCCGCTAAAATATCGGAATGTTCCTAACTCAGTAAAACGAAGCCTCTATATCACCAGATCCAGATCTTGGTGACACTTACCACCAATCCGTGATGAAGATTTCCTCCTTGGCTTGTTCAAGAGCATCAGCCAGGTCTGCAAAGTAGCCACTTCCGTTCACATACCTTCCAAAGATATTAATGAGCAATAAGGTTTAGCAAATGAGGATGAAATAAGATAGAAAATAGATAAGAAAATGTATCTGACCATTTAGTGAGCGTGTGCTCTCTGGGCGGAGCGAACCCGTCGAAGCGCTGCACTTTAAGAAAGTCACAAGTGTCTGTTAGCCGGTTGATTTCATGACTCCACCAATGAGTCTGTCGGTAGCTGCTGCATCTGATGATTAGACTCCTGAACGAGAGAAACAGGCCACGCATCAGAACACAACAGACACCTCTCAGTACGTAGGCACAGGAACAGCTGACCTACCGGGTGAAGTTCTCGATGCAGACTCCATATCTGGTGTCTGTGTAAGCACGGCCCACTTTCACTTTGAACTCTGGGTCAAGCAGCAATACAAAGTTGATGCAGCCGTTGTCTCGGTTCATATACATCAGGAAGGAGTCTTTCACCACCAGCCAGCGCCGAGACCAGCGGAAACAGAGTTGATGATGGCCGATGCAGTTCAGGCCTTGGATCCGGTGACCCCCCGACCTCTTGAAGATGGGTCCCTCCCTGAGACAAGTTGACACAAGCGATCTCTATCACTTACTTGGTCATTAAAACCACTTCTCCTTTTGCCTCACACACCCTCAGTACGTTTCCTTACAAGCCTTTCGGTCCGAGGTCGGTCACAAAGGAGAGAGCCCCCACGGAAAGGAATTCCAGCTGCAAAGAGAAGAAGATGTGAAATTGACCTCTTGCTGCATGACATCCACTTTAAATGTGTGCATGTGGGTCTTGTTTCAATGTTATCACCATGCTGTGATCATTCCTACAAAATGTGTTCTCCAGCAGACCATTCAGGTACTCCTCAAGGTATTTCTGCAATACAAAAGCAGGAAAATAAAAGCATGTTATACAATTTCTAAATGCAGCTCGACACCAAACAGTCATAGAAATTGTTAGAAGTGAGTGAGTGAATGGCCTGTTTTTGTTCTGTAAAGCGGACGTGTTCTATGATAGTTATAATGCAGAAAATCATTTAAATTGTTCTAAATTATGTTTTTAAAAAGTGGCAGCCCCAAAATATGTAATACATATGATATTTTCTTTCAACCACGTATATTGCATTGACCAGCCCAAATAAAGACCAACACCAAACTGTATGTATGGTACTCACTAGAGAACAAAAATCTTCTTCTATGACTAAAATCTGGTTTTATATCTTGCCACAACACCAATTATATGTATGTGAAGGGGTTTTTACGTTCTGTGTAAACTATTCCTAGACCTGGTTGGTTTGTTTGATACCATTTTGCTGGAGGTCCTTCTGGTGCGTTCCGTTCCGTGGAGGCTCGGCATCTCTTCTGACATGGCTCTCAGCTGCTGCCTGTCCTTTGAAAATCTTCGAGAGAAATTTGAATATTCAAAATACTTGGTGGATGACGATAAAGATTCAGAACAACACATCGCAGAGATTTTCAGTGCAGGCCTCTCAGAGCGAGTGGTTGATTTGTATCATTAAAACGAACCGATTGGTGCACCGACCTTCCCAGAGGCAGCAAGTGACGCATCATCTTGTGCTTGTAAAGGTCTCGATGCAGCTCTTGGAAGTGCTTGTACTTCCTCTTCACGGACCAGTGGAAGTGGCCGTGTGTCAGCTGTACTGTATACAGGGTGCCTACATGGACCTGGAGGGACGTTATTGAAATCAAGCACATGACTATGTGGCTTTCGATTCTGTAAAAAATAGGGCATGTTCTCAGTCACCTCACAAAAACTTCTCTAAATACTACACCACTGCACTAATAAAAATACGTCATGTGACGTGAGTGCCATGGTCAAGCTTATCTGAAGCTTTCTATAAATACTGGCGTCTTGTTAACAATCACCAAAGGAAAAATGTTAATTATTTTTCCGAACGCGACTAAAAGGTCACGTACCTTTGAGCGAGTAGTGTATTTCTCTGTGTTGTCCACTCTGCATGTAATAGGTATACCAGGCATTAAGAAAGGTATACCCTCATCTTGCACTTCAGAAAGATGATGCACCACAAGGAAAGGGCGACCGTCTGCAAGTTGGAAGATTAGAGCGTTCGAATAAGTTTTCTGACGTAGCCGTTAAAGCGTTTCAACAGTTAAATGTATTTGTAAAAAAAAAAAAAGAACAGTTTATCGTACCGCTGCTGGACATGAGGCCATCTATCTCGTCTGGAGAAATGCCGTGGATGTCATGAGAGAAGCGCCTTCTGGACAGGGGTTGGGCCGTCGAGCTTTGGGCCGGCGGCTCGATCACACCTGTGCTGGCCATGGCAAATGTTGTCGCAAGTACCAGCTGCCCTGATGCAAAGACAAACGAAAGGCGACTTTCACATTTACGTCAAGTCCAGAGCTCACGCACCTGCCCGCCACTGAACACACATCATGAGCACTGCAGTGTCATGCACCAGAAGGCTACCGACCAAACAATTGTCAGCCCCGGACCGACGTCAGATGTGTTGTAGTCTTTTAATATCCTAAGTCCCCAGACTGCAAGTTCCAGCTGTATTAATTACATAATTACAAAAGGTTTTTATATTACAGTAAATGTAATATTAATTGAGGGGATTCTGCGTACATTTCCTCTATACACTGTCTAATGCCAGTGTTCCTAGACGTTTTAGCAATATTTACCTTTTGTTACATTTTTTTCGTTGTGGGTTTTAAAACTAGAAAAACGTGACGTACAAAATCTTAGGCTTTTAATAACCATGTGACTACAGTTACTAAATTATTGACAAAAGTTAGCTTTTCTTACTTTGGGTGGTATCAGTACTTCAACTGCTACAAAGGCTACTATCAGTCGTTTGTAGCAGAAGTGCAGGAACTAAAAATAATATCAAAAGATGAAGCAGCCCCAGCCGTAGAGAAGTCATCCACACTGCGTCACATGAGAAGTCTACGACACAGCTACCAGCGCCAGCAGAAAGGTGCGTGTGAACCCGTTTGTATAGTGTGTGGGTAGATGTCTTTGAATGGCTGAAGGTTTCCTAGGCAACCAGGCAAAGGCGAGAGAGAGGAGGTCTGTGTGTGCGTGTGTGTGAAGGAGAGGGAGTTGGGGAATGAAAATGAGGTTGAAGCATACTAACATAGCACTAACACTAAAGGACTCCCAGAATGGACTGTAAACAGAGAGGATTGCCATGTTTGTTTATAGTTTTGATTCAATGAAAGAATTGCTCCAACCATAGTTGTAGAGGACACATGATATGAGGGACCGTTTGGGACTTGACCATTGAGACACTCTTATACGTAATGAAACACTCTTGCGTTCGCCATTGAAATGCTTTCAGGCTGACCGACCGGTGTTGACAAACAAAGACATGTTGCTTGGACTTTTGGTCAGTAACTTCATTATGAAGGAGATTACTTGTATGAATACATGTGAAACGTTTGCATGTAAGAGCATATATACATACAACTGAAAAACATATACATATATATTTGAAACATATGTGAAACACTTGCTTATGTATCTAAACTTTATTTCTCTATAAGAGTGTCTCAATAGTTATGTCCTAAACGGCTTTTGAATGGACTTCAATATTAGTGGTAGGCTTTAGGATGAAGAGATGTGTCACTTCACAACAGCATGTAAAATCAAGTAAAACAGGAGTTACTCTCACTAAAAATTTTTTCACTTTCAAAAGGTTGCCTACACTTTTCTAAAGAGATGAGACTGTAAGAATTTGTGTTTGATAAGAGTCCCTTTTGCAGATCCTTTGTTGCGAATATATCTTGATTGTTAAATACTTTGTTACATTGTTAAACTGCTGAAATAACACTCTCCAGAGTTTCCATCATTTACTGAAGATCTTATTTAACGTCTGTGATTCCCATGAAAAGAACAAGTTGTGTTTTAATTCATTTGAAACCCATATTAGGACCATTTTTTCTTTGGCATTTTTGCTGCAAACCTAATTCTGCACAATTCCCAAGCGTTAAGTGTTTCCATTTTTGGCTGTTTAGCCATGGAAGTTAACAGGAAACCCTGTCATTTAAATCTACTGTTTGTTGTCAAAATAATATTTAGCCAAACAGGCCGGTTGAGAGCTATGAAGACTTGAAGAACAGCTTATTTTTTCTCTTCTGAGGCTTTATTTAAAAGTGAAGAGCCAATTCTGCACAGAGCAAACATATTGTGCAATAAACTGACAGACATGACAGAAGCATCTCAAAAATATATTCTGTTAACCCTTTTAGCAGAGAAGTCTTGTGTTGACTTGACAAGCTTTTCTTGTTTTTTCTTTGTTCGTCAGGCCTCCTACCCGTGAAACACACACCCAAACAGGGAGTCCTTTACAAATGAGCCAAATAGACCAGAGGGGAACGGCTTTTATCGAGCAACATCTTACGCACCAACAGTTCCTAGCGTAGGGTTGGCCTTTGAATTTCCTATTTAAACACAAACATATGTACCGTCAGAATCATTAGAACGGCCATAGAAAAACGTTAAGATATTTCACTGAAGGGCATTAAACAGCAACAAGACACCACCCCAAAAATCGTGTTTTACTGTTGACTATAATACTCTATAGTCAATACATCACTAGTGGGTGTGGTTATAAGTGAGCACCTGTGGTAATACAACTGATTTCAAACTTGAAGTCATTACGTTACAAAACTGGCTCAAATTAACAATAGGATATTATTATACGGTGCCTGGACCTGCCACATATCTGGATCTCCTAATTGTATAACTGAATTATAAAATGTAGTGACCGTATAGAAACACAACATTTACGTGGTGTTTAGAATACACACTCACACAAAAGATATAATCGCCAGACTCCGAAAAGTGGAACCGAATGACATCATGTGTCCTACATTCCTGCGTGACTGACACGACGGTGCTGACACAGTCAGCTCGCTGTTTGCGGCAGGGCACTGCGGATTTCCCCCAAATCTGCAGAAACTGTCGCCTAAAATAAAGGTGGACTCGGATCCAACATGTCGCTACATGTTAAAGCCTGGACAGGGAATTATCCCGAGCATTGCAACGTGGGTAAAGATGCATGTTCAGAGATGAACACGCACACACACACACGCGTCGGATGCGTTTTCCGGGTGTAACAGCAACTTTCTAACTTTCCGATCGGAGTTGTGTGTTCACCAAACATCTGTACGATTCACATGCCACACGGAGACGACACATGCGTGGGTATAAAGTCAGCGTGACACTCCGGAGGCAGCTCAAACTTCTCGGGGGCTCAGATTGCTGAATGCTAAAGGCGTGTCGTCTCCGCCCATTCCCCTCGTTTTCCTCCGGCGACTAAACTATTACATGACACACTTAAGAAAAGGCACAAACATCACCGGCTTAAAGTGGCGACTGGCGGTCGTTCGCGCATCGCACCGACGCGGCGGTGACCGCGGCGAGCCTCGTTAGCCTGAAATTTGCCGCTGGGTTCATTTTTTTTCTTTTTAAATCTGCATCGCTGCGACGCCGAGTGGAGATTCACATCCGTCTCGTTGTGGCCCACAATTATTTTATTTTTTTACTCACTTTCAGGTGGCGCCCCGCCGCGCGCACAGATACTCCGAGGAGAGACACCGGGCGCGTTTAAAGTGAGGGTTTGCGTCGTTGCGTATTCTCAACGAAGAGGTCACCCGTTTGGCAAAACGTAGTCCCTCCCATGGGATGTCCTGTGGGACAGGGGACGGAGGAGGAAATAATACAGATGGGGAAATACGGTGGAAAGACGCAGCTGTTGCGCAGCACAATTTGTCTTCTATTTTCTTTTCTTTTTTACCAACAAACCCATAACAACGTGCTTATTTGTTTACGGGGCGAAAGTTGGATTTAAAGGACAAGAAAAACCGCGACGGGACGCGCGCACACACACACACGCACACACTTATACACGCACACGCCCTCTTATACACGCACGAACACGCACAGGGTACTTCAGGTGAGATAACGAAGGCCGCGATGAAACTACAACGATTACAACGTTATTATCGGTACCCAGCCGATCACATGACTTCCGGTTTGCGTTTTTCAAATGAAAAGCTCGCGAGCAAATATCTGAGGTTTACGTTTCTAAAATTCCAAACTTGATTCGTCACTTTAAAAGCAGCTTACCATTTTATAGTTGGCGATTTTTACTGTACGGACTGTCCGTCGCTATCAGGAACTACACAATGTTTAGAAGCTCTGAATGGTTGCCATTTCTTTCCTCTAAATGCGGCGATCTTATTTGTTTACGTTTTACTGGATTTACCGGAAGTAGTAACTCTCGTGCCAGAATACTTCAATTGAACTTTCCAACAACATTTTCATTTTAAATAGCAGCCACAAAAGATAAGCTTTTTTGGCAAATCCTACTATAATATAAGTTTAACAATAATAGTTATTATGTATACATCCGCACACATTACGTTTTGACAACGTAAAGACATGAAAAGTAAACTGATTAGTACTCTGAAAGAATGTAATTACATCCAATTCGAGTTTATTCTGGACAATAATTAATTTAAATGAGTTCCCTCCACACCATTATCAATGCTGTTAAATTGTTAAAATGATTTAAATGTACAATTTCAATCATTTTAAATGTACAATTTTTACAATTAAAATCATTCAATACAGCTTTTTAACATTGTGTCTGAAGCTAAAACAAACCAATGAGACCGTTTGTATTATCTTGAGCAGTTTACTAGGGCGCAGTCCAGAGATAGTACGTAGTTGCCAACATATGGCTCGAGGCAAAGGTTATGCTATGGCCAAAGAACGTCTTGGAAATCATTTTGGAAATGAACTAAAGGTCACAGCTGCCTATGTGGACAAAATCATTGGATGGCCTGCTGTTAAGGCAGAAGATGTTAAAGGGCTACAGGCATATGCATTGTGTTTAGGAGAACGTTGCAATGCTATGGAGGAATTGCAATATTTAGATGAACTCAATATGCCAGCAAACATGAAAACAATCATGCAGAAACCTCCGTACAAGCTCAGAGAAATGTGGGGAGCAGCTGCATGTGAAATCTCTGAAAAAGAATGTTGCAGATCCTTGGCTTTAGAGACTTTAAGTTCATTGAGTACCAAGACAAAATCATTTCTGATCTTTGTCTTCGTTAAAGCTAATAATCCTAAACATTGTCCTACTCTTCTAGTCTAGACCAGGGGAAAAGCTCTTTCTGCTCTGTTGTAATACATGTTCACACCACATGGGAGTGTCCAACTACACAACCAGTGATAATAAAATTCTTCACGGCAGTGTATCACATCAAAGACACTGGGCATGCTGATTTAAAAAATACAAGATTTCAAGATGATAAGATGACTCATTTTATGTTTGTTACGCATTCAGTTGATATATACATGATAAAAACAATGAAAACAGATTACAATACAAAACTACTGAGCGGATACACGTTTCAACACCCCCGAAAAAAATAGGAGCAGACATATTCAAAGTATATTAACCACAATATTGCTGTGACTGCCTATTATCATTTCCTCCCTTTTCTGATATGCAAATGGCCCAATCTGATGCAGCCCGCGGAGTGTGACATTCACAACTACGGATACCCCTAACAAGACTTTCTAATCAATCATTATAGTGAGAAGAATAAGGCTTTCCTTGACAGTTGGCTGGCGCAAGTTACATGCACAGGTTATGCACATGTAAGACACAGCACATGCAGGGAGACTTCTCCAGACGCCATCAGGTGTGTCTTTCCGTGTGATGCATGGACGATTCTTAAAAGCCAATGAAAGCAGGGTCTGGCAAAGTACCTTCCGTATGGCTATTTATGAATCCAAAAGTTCTTTGTTCCAACAGAAATAACTTCCCGAGCATGGGTATGAGAAACCATCAGCATTTCATTTAAACCAACCTCTGACCGGAAGGTCGAGCATGCTTAAACTCTTTTCTACTACAAAATAAATATAAACTGCACTTGATGATGTTAATGCCAGAACTTAGTTCTAACTAAGTTGAAGGTTTGAATGAAAACCCTCCGGTGCCTGACCAGTGTTCACAAGCATAAGTCTGAGCTGTGAATGCAGACAGAAAAGTTGTTTGATCTCTTTTGTGAAAGCCGGCCACCCTGATTCTGAGCCTGCGACTCAATGTGCAAGATCGCTCAGCCTTATAGACAGCAGGAGGCACAGTGCCCCCTGGAAAGGTTTCATCATAGCAAAAGATGTTATTCTGTTGTTTTTTTAACTCGGAACATATTTTTTGCTTTGCCCCGGAAACGGAAATTCGGGCGCCCGGTTGAAGTGTCCCGTTAAGAAGATCCACACAGTGCCGATGATGAAGAGGGAAATGGCAGCCCAGAAACACACCTTGTCAATCATCTTCCCAATCAGGACCCAGCTCTCAATTTCCTGTATTTGGAAATAAAATGATGATTGATTAAATAACTAAGATAAAAGCTAGCCAAAAACAATTATTTATAACAAAACAAGACATATAAAAAATAATTGGGATTGCATTTATGTTGGTTAAAGTGAAACTCACAGATCCAATGCTATTCTGTTGTCGCGTACTCTCAGCAATGAAGTTGCAGGCATCCACACATTGCTTGATTTCGGGTGCAGCTTGCGCCAAACTCTTGTACAGGTTGGCCGTGCTGCTGACATCCATATCATCCACTGGGAGGAAGGAGACACTGACAGTCAGGCAATAGTATGTCACAACATTACAACCAGACACAACAAAACATGTGACAAAAACAAAACATGCTTGTAACACACAAATAAATGGCCCATATAAGGATATGAATAAATGTGGTAGAAAGGTACACAGAAAGAACATTTGTATCATGGTATTTATGACAACCAAAACCCTGCGAACCCAGAAAGCAAAATGGGACACGCTGACTGGTTAGATTTTAGAGATGGGTAATGCGTTTAAAATACACATCTTACCAATGGACCGCGTGAGACCATGCCGCTCTCTTTGTTTGTCAAACATCATTTCACTGCGAGGTTGTTTGAGTACATATTCCTCTGCCCTCTGCAGGAGGCCGAATGAGCTGCGCCGCCGCTCCCTCACGCCGTTCACCACGGTTGTCACCTCGGTGTCGTCCACCAGAGGGGGCATGCCGAGGAAGCGAGGTACCATTTCCAGGAACACCTGGACGATGGAGGCAAAGAGGATAACCCGAAGGGCAGTTGACAGAAAATAACGCTTCAATACACAAATGTGAATAAATTCTGCGTAGAATATATTTACATGTTTGATGGTATTTGACATGGTGTGAGTGCTGGGGCTACGCAGGGAGAAGTTCAGCACCACAATTTGATTAGTGGCAATGAGAGTAGTGACAGACATTACGAAGATCAGGTACCTGGGGGAGACAAAGAGAGGATCTGTGTTGGAGTCTCAAATTGAATGGTACAAAGAAGGATGAAGGATAAAAAAAAAGGCCAGCAGAGGTCAGCAGAGAACACACACACACTCACTTGCCGATGAGAGGGACCGAGAGAGATGTCTCAGGGATCTTCTGGGCAATAAGAAAGAGGAAGACAGTTTGAGCCAGCAGGACAGAGATGGACACGGTCAACTTTTGTCCTCCGGCTGTTGAAGAGACAACAGAAACTTATGAGACAGAGGAATGTAAAAAAACACATTACATTTTGTTGAGATCCAATACTCCCAACACATTCTCAGTCCTTACTTTATTATGGCAGCAGATAATGCTATGGGGATATGATTCATTTGTTGTATTGATTGTGTAAGAAGTAAAGAGTAACCGCAATTAATCATCATTTTGTTTCACGTCCAACATACAAAACACAGTTGATATTTTTCTTGTTTTTGTAATATTGCCCCATCTGAAACAATAACGGTCAAACAAAGGCCTTTACAGACCTTGTGCGGGTAAGAAGTAAGCCAGCACCACCAACGAGGAGATGAGGGAGCAGGGCAGAATGATGTTGATGATGTAGAAGAGGGGTTTCCTTTGGATTACCAGGTTGAATAAGATCTCCTGATACTCCAGGTCGTCGGGGGTGTACCGCGGGTTGATCATCTTCCTGCCTGGCCGATGGACGATGGCCCACTCGCCATTTTCTGACGGATGAAAACATAATAAGCCACAGAGGAATTGTGCACATTATATTTATGAGTCATTAAGCTGACACTTTTATCCAAAGCGACTTACTATAAATGCATTTCAACAAATAAGCCGATTCACAACTTGCTATAGATAAGAGCCATTATGAGTACAATTAATGTGCCACAATTTGTTTTATGTCTTTTAGTCAAAGTGTACTTTGAAGGTTGGAGTATTGAATGTGTATGTACCTGTGAAAGCCTGGGGGTCAATGTCCACCCACTCAATTGTTTCCATTTCGTCTCCGACAGCCAGAATGAGGTCCACTTCATTGGCACTGTACGTCTGGGATCTACGGGTCGTGGCGGTGAGGACAGAACGGAACAGAAAGCGGTTATTAGCGGGACACAGCTCCGTCTCTATGAGCATGTGGTAGCCTTCCAAATGGCCTCGCCATTCATTTCACCCATGATGGCTTCATGTACGAAATTAAAAAAACAAACAAATCAGCAATTGTATATAGTACACTGTTTATTGGAATGATTATAATTGTTTCTCACCTGAATGCTAGCGTGCAGTTTTGATAGTCAAATGGGAAGTAGGTGATCTCAATGGCACAAGTGCTGCGATAGATAGCAGGAGGCAGCCAGTACATCGAACCATCGTAAGAGATTAACACGTTAGCGTAATAAGCCACATCAAACTTGCCATCAATGCTGAAAAGATGGAGGACAAAGAACAGAAACAGCTGAAGTCAGACTAGATTGTGTACAATGTACGCTGCAGGCAAGGAAAAAAATGCACAACCTCACAATTGCCTTACTTGTTCTCCAGGACAATGTCAGGGAGCCAAATAGTTTTGCACGGAACACGAATAACATCAATGCCATGA